TTTAATTTCTAATTGAAACTCTGCAATTATGACGAAAATTCAAGTTTTGCAAGGTTCTGGGATCATCTAAAATACATCAAGGCTTTCAGAAGATGCCAATGGAGATATTCAATTCTCAAATCGAAATTTTTCAGTTTTGAAGAAGATTTTGCAGGAAAAAAAACNATTTAATTTCTAATTGAAACTCTGCAATTATGACGAAAATTCAAGTTTTGGAAGGTTCTGGAATCATCTAAAATACATCAAGGCTTTCAGAAGATGCCAATGGAGATGTTCAATTCTCAAATCGAAATTTTTCAGTTTTGAAGAAGATTTTGCAGGAAAAAAAAATACATTCGACTATGAACAAAATGAACAAATTGATCCCATCCAAATTAAAGAAAGAAGCAAATTAAACAAATTTTTCCTACGAAAATTTATTCCAACTGTTGAAAAAAACTAATAAATTACCTTTTCATGGCTACAATGAAAAACCATCAAATTCCCTCTTCATCTTTGAAAAAATAATTCACCTCTTCATCTTTGAACCAGAAGATGCTCTCAGAAGTCAGGATAAACCATTATGAATGCACATTTAGCCATTTCTGACGACTTGATTACCAAGCGTATGTTTTCCAATCTTAACCGCATTGTCAGACGTTTGTTGAGCACTGCAACATAAATTTCGTCACTTCGACCACAAAAGTACAATCTATGTCTAAGTAAAGATTGATGAATTTTAAGCAGTGTACTTCATTATTTAGCAAAATGAAATATCTATAGCTTTAAATTTTCCCATCCCTCTGAAGGAGAAATGAAGACGTTGATGATGTGTATGGAAGAAGTTTGTGTAGATTCTATTAATTGAAAGCACCTACGGGATCAGAAAAGAATTAATATGAAGAGAAGGACACCATAGAAAAACTCCTCTCCAAGGGAGAATAACTCATCAAAGTCACCTCAATGATACAGAACGTTACTGTGGAAATGTTGTGCTGCTGATTTCAATTAAGCTGCATCTGTTGAAATTTTCGTTCTCCATGTCCTATCATGAGTAGAAATAGAATCACATAGTTCTGAAGAACTTGATGGAATCATAATTACGGTGGAGTGCTCCGAATCATATATATATTTAAGGTTATAACTGACGTATCCGATCGGCTATGACCGCTCCATACACTTCCAATAACCATAACGCTTGTTAAGCGTTTTCAGATGAGATCATATGAAAAACAATTACACTGTTTGCCTTATCATTAGTAATAATTAGTAATAACAAAATGTAAAAGAGCACAATATGTGCGTGGACTCAGGGGTTCTGACTGCCGCATCTTACATTTCATCCACCGTCTAGGAGTCGAGAATCAACCTGGCGTCGCACAACCTGCGCAAGACGGCTGCGCAGTGGGGGACGTGACTGCCGAGTTCTGCGCAATGGAGAAAATACTAATAATTAGATGATTTAAGGACAATTGCAGGGATAATTGAAGAAATAAATGTTTACTGAGGTGTAGAGTCACTCCCTGGACGTCAGGTCGACGGTTTTAACGCCTCAGGGAGAATTCATCGCTACGCGAGCCAAATACGACCGCACGAGGCGCATCGTGCGTCGGACAATGGATCAAGATGGCGGCGATTGAGGTGCGCGGGACTGCTGCGCAGTAGGGGAAATCGAGGGCGAGATATGCGCAGAGGTAAAAATGAATGCGCTACGATTTGAATATAATTATTTGAAGTGAAAATAACAAAACAAAAAATAATTAAATTAAGAAATAGTTGAATGCACCGGAAACCTCTAATTCCTGGACGACTAATATTGATAATCATTCATTGAACCCCAATGATTATTAATCATTGATCCACTAACAATAGTTGACGCATCCTACATTATCATTTCATGGAATAGTCCCGATAAATCGGCGATTCACCTTACTAACAGCGTCAATTGCACATTTGACACGTCAAAATTGCGGCAAGTGTTCTGAAAATCGCAAAAGCCCATTCCTAACAATCCTCCGGTAGTCGCCAGTGGAAGAGTTCAGGGGACGATGTGGTCTTCCCCGAAGGCAATGACCGCCAAAATTTCCGAAATTATCTCTCAACGATAGCCCCTTAACCTCACCCCAAGAGGTTAGAGCGTAAAAGTTCTTCCAGTCATTGAGTAACTCCACAATGTGTTACCAAAAAACTGATTAAAGTGTATTTGAGAGATAGCGAATCATCAGAATCATCAACAATGCCAAGACTTTCGATGCTTCCACGCACCTCGAGGATCGTGGCACTTTGTTCGGCTGCTAATTTCATAAATGCAGCCGACAGAGTCATCATGCCTATTGCTATTGTTCCTATGACTGATGAATTCAAATGGAATCTCCATTGGCAGGGCTGGATACTCTCTGCTTTTGCTTTTGGTTATTTTACGAGTCAGGTAATTTCAGTGGTTCGTCATTTTCATTGCAAGCATTTTCATGATTTTTAAGTTATTAAAAAGCGATTTGAATTTCTCGAGCGATAAATAACTATTTTTTAAAAAGATCTGAATTTTTTATTCATTATTCATTTTATTTTATGATGTGGACTACGTCGAATTCTTCACGTCCCATATGGAGTACGAATTCTTGAAAATTTTGCAATTTTTATTCATTTTATTTTGATTTTGTTCTGATAATTGAAATGATATGATTATGCAGGATTTTTCAGGGGATTAAAGAGTGTCTGAACATCTGTTGAATGTTTTTCCCTCGAAATAATGATGTTCTTCACAGGAATTATCAGGAATAGTTCAATCTCTTGATTAAAGGATTTTTGCTAATTTTATTCACTTCCTATTTTGATAAATGCAGTAATATAATCATTTTTCAGGATTTTTTTTTCTCAGCTTTTGCTTTCGGTTATATTTTTGATTTATCAACTTCATTATGAATATTTTAATGATTTTCAAGTCACTAAAAAGCAATTGGGACTTCTCGAGTGATAAATGATGACTTTTTAAAAAGATCTCAATTATTTTGTCATTATTTATATTATTTTATTATGATGAAAGGGTAAATTCCTTCGAATTCAGCAGTTTTTATTCATTTTATTTTGATCTTGATCTGATCAATGAAATGATATGATTTTCCAGGATTTTTAAAACATTAAGAAGCGAATAAAAATCTCTTCGACAATTATTTTGAAAATAATAATTTTTCGTGTTTTTTTAGATTGTTGGAGCATGCACAGTAAATAAATTTGGTTGTAAAACAGTACTGATGTCAGCTGTCCTGCTCTGGTCAGTCAGTACAGTTGTAACTCCACTCCTAGCCCACTCTGTACCTCTGCTGGTCACGTGTAGAGTCATCCTGGGGCTTGGGGAGGGAATAGGTAAACCCAATCTCAATTATCCCTCATCATTCAGATAATCGTTTCTACTGGATATTTTTCAGGTTTACCTGTTATATTTCACTTATTTGCGCACAGTGTGCCTGTTGAGGAGAGATCAAGAGCGTTTGGGTACCTCGTAGCAGCTGGATCTGTTGGACAAGTTGTTGCCTCTATAGTACGTGACAAAAATCATTCACTCAATTTTTTCCATCAATTCCTTTTTTATGAACAATTAATGAGACGTGAAAAATCGACTTTTAAAAATCGTTCAGCAAAGCCCTTTTGTTAAGTGTTTGTTTATCTCCTAAACCAGTGATTTTAGACGAAAATGTCATAAAATCTTTTTTGTAGAGACTTAAATTTCCAACAAAAAATATCTTATGACATTTTCCTCTAACTCATCATTCCTCCACTCATCACGAAGGTAATTAAGGATTTTATAAATCAACTTGTTAAAAAGTCAAATTAATTCTCTTCAATCAATTCCTTTTTTTCCCAGTTATGTCCTAGGGTGCATTGGCAGACTGGTTTTTATTTATTCGGTACAATAGGAATATTTTGGACGTTATTGTGGATGATTTTGTATCAAGAGTCTAATACACAAGATGAAATACCTCTGTTTGTCCCAAAGGTAATGGAAAATCCAAAGAAAATGATTTCATCTCATTCAATTCAATGAACCAACATTTGCATTGTTTAACGAAAATTAATGAATTTATTCAGGTAACTCAGAATAGAGTAGTCAGATGGACGGAACTGATTGCCCACTGGCCCCTGTGGTCCCTGTACATAGCCCATTTCGCCATGAACTGGAGTAATTACATTATAATGCAGTGGTTGCCGACGTATTTATCCAGAAATCTCTCGGCTAATAAAGAGAGCATCAGTCTCACAGCTCTTCCATACGTAGTTAATTCTCTCGTGGGCATAGGCAAGTGTCCAGAAATTCCCCTTTTCTCAAATAAAAAAATTAAGACTTAATTTGTGTATTTTTTCTGTTGCAGTTGCTGGACACAGTGCTGACAATTTAATCCAAAAAAGATGGCCAATCCTGTTTGTTCGCAGATTAATGACGAATATCGGTCTAATCGGGCCGGGTGCTTTTTTATTAGCATTCTACGCTGTTGATAATTTATTAGCAGCTGTTATGTATGTAAAAAAATGATTAATTTCTTTCGACATTTTTTTTAGCATTGAAATTTTATGTTTGCAGTGATTTTACAAGAAAATGTCATAAAACGTTTTTTGTCGAGAATTGAATTCCCAAGAAAAAATGTCTCGTGACATTTTCCCCAAAAAATACTCATTACCAAGATAATTAAAGATTTAATGACATGTTAAAAATTGACTGGCTGAAAATGTTGAACAAATCACTTTCATTAATTTCTCATTTATCTCACGAACGATTGCTTTACGAACAGATGCTATAGGAGCTTTTTTATAGAGAATTCAATTTCCAGAAAAAAATTTCTTACGAAATTTCCCTCTAAAACGACTCATTACCGAAATAATTCCGCATTTAAGCAGACATGAAACAAATAATTCCTAAATACTGACTATTGGGGGTATTAACTCATCAGCATTTTACATTTTCAGTTTTGTATCGATATCCATGGGCCTGTGTGCCTGTAACTCAGCTGGACACCTGAGTAATCACGCCGATGTGGCTCCAAATCACGCTGGCATAACATTCGCAATATCTAATACAATAGCAACAATACCAGGTATTTTATGTGGACCACTGACTGCTGAATTAGTAACTGCCTCGAGTGGAAGATGGATGCCAGTGTTTGTTCTCGCTGCTGCTATAAATTTCACTGGAGCTATTATTTACCAGAGCCACAGTGCAGCCCTCCCAGTTGTGTGAGTGTCGTCGAAAGAACTTGTTATCTTTCAATCGAATTGAAATTCTCCCAGAGTGAGAACTACCTTCACCTGAGAATTTCCCCAAAAGATTGATTAATTCATTAATTAATTAATTGGTTGTAATTTAGGATTCAATTTTTCTATGGGTCATGCGTGGCCTCTATGACATATCACGTTACAACGAAACGTAATATTCCAATTTTTCAATCCGATATATTTTTCTAAAGAACAATAACGAATTAATTTTTTTGAATTGTCGATTTATTTACACGATCTAATGACAGTTAGTCGTTTGATTATTGTATTTTAATGACACTTGTAAATGATGTATAAACCTTGAATAATGTACATATGAGAGAGTTATTTTTAGGAATAAAAGAACGTGCGTTGTGAGTAAAATCGATTTTTCAAGCATAGTCAGTCTTTATTCAATTAAATTTATTCAATTAAAGTTAGTGTAGTTAGTTAGACATGAAAATAGTACTTGCCTATTCATTGATCGTCGATTGTTTGCTAACAAGAGACCAATTTAATGATTATTCATGATTTATATCATTTTTTTTTCTTCGCTCTTTAGTAAATTAGCAGTAAAGTGTTTCAGTTTTTGGTAAATATCTCTGAATCTGAAGATGTGGACATTTTCGTTTGAACTTTATTTCATCGAGAAAATTTAGAGGTAATGAAAAAACTCTGAACAGAAATTTTTATATCTCCCTTCAATTTTGAGATTTCCAAAAAAAAATCACCAATTGAAATATTTTTTTTTCTTTCATCACTCCACTAATTAATTATTTCTCAATTAATTTAATTGTCGTCTACTCGAGATTGTCCAAGACCAGCTTGCAACAATCCTCGTAATTTTCAATCATAGATACCCTCAGGTGTAAAAGAGAATTCTATAATTTTTATCGAGAAGGATAGAGGAAAAAATAGGACAAACTCGAGGAATTATGCAAATTCCAGTATTTCAGTTTGAGAACTTTTTTCCTCACGAGTTATTTGTCTAATGAGGACTGTGAGGCTTCCTGGGGCATGACGACTCTCTTCATAAGCCCCGAAATCGTGTCCTGGAACTTCAGCTGAATCCCATCCTCCTCGTCTTCAATCGAATCATGAGAATTCAATTGATTCTTCGTATCCATGATACACTCGTGAATGAATGTGCATACAGTGTTGACGTAAACATCCGGATAAACGGCGTAGAGTTTTACGTGTGGTGCATCGGTGAATAATACTAACTGTACACGCACTCCACGTTCTGCTCGGCGACTCCCAAATTTTTCAACGTCCTGGGGATTAATTGAGAGAAAATTAACTGAAGATAATCCATTCATTTTTTTATTAATGAATTTTGGGTTTTTTATTTGCATTTATCTCGAGAACGGTTGATTTTACAAGAAAATGTCATAGAACGTTTTTCATGGAGAGTTGAATTCCCAACAAAAAGGATTTTCTGACGTTTTCCCTTGGAATCACTCATTACGGAGATAATTAAGGATTTAGTGAGATGTAAAAAAATGACTTGTTAAAAATGTTGAACAAAACACTTTCATTAATTCCCGATTTATCTCATGATCAGTTTATTTTTCGAAAAAATGTCATAAGACCTTTTTCGTAGAGAATTAAATTTCCAGCAAAAAATGTCAATGACTTTTCCGCCTAAAACCCCTCATTGCCGAGATAATTCCCATTTAAGAGGCCACGAAAATGAAATGACTAAGTACTCACTATTGCGGGTATTAACGTATCAGCATTAGAGTAAAGAAAGAGTTGTGGCCATGAATGTGGTTCTTCAGTAAGTTCAAAAGGGTTCGTGGATGCTCTTTTCCCTCGACCCCAAGCTCGAGTTAAGATCTAGAGAAAGAACAGGGTTATGAAAAAACGTCCCCAAAAATTTAGCGACTTCTTTTCACCCTTCAATTACCTCGTACAACCAAAAAACTGATAAGAAGATGGTGATAAAAAGAGACATTGGGAGATTAGTCACAGGATGACCACCTACGATTGCACTGGCAGCTCTGAACAATGAAGACACTCTTCTCTCGCCGGGAGAACTGTCGAAAATGACACCCTTCACCTATTTTCAAAGAAAAAATTTTTTTTAAATAGAACATTTCACGACAATTTCATTAATTGTTCACTGAGAATCTAGCATTCCCCTGGGGATTTTAATTGACTTCGTCATAGATTAATTGAAGAATTACATTAATTTGATTCCTCATCTCCTGCATAGTACGACTGATCTGCTGGTAGAGAATAGCCCCTCCGTTACTAAATACGTGAAAGAATATGGGGTGCTGATCGAGGCTTCGGTCGAATATGACCTGGAGCAGTTGTCTACCAATTACTGGGATTTTGTCACGACGCCAGAGGAGAAACTCCACTGGGGCTGTACATCGCATTGTTATACAGCTGAAAATGATTAATTCAGTTACTTCAATTGATAAATTCGTTTAACGAGCGAGAGAATGAAGCGATTTGGATGAGTCAACTTTCATTTTGAGGGCGAAAAAATTATCTTGAAAATGAGATCTGATTTTTTCAATTTCACTGTGGAGATCTCAAGATTTGTTGGATTGAGTGGAGTCCATTTTTCTTGATTTTGGATTTATTTTGGTTTGGAATTTCGTAAAATGTGTTTTACTAAATTTGCGATATCTTGGAACAAATAACGCAATTTGGACAACTCAAAATCCATTTTAAAGGATGGAAGAATACCTTAAAAATAAGTCCTCATATTTTCAATTTCACTCTGCCAATCTGAAGATTTTTAGGATCATAGAAATTTTTCTTTTTTGAATTTAAATAAAAATGGATTTTGTGAATCTGCGATATCTTTTGAAAAAATGGTTTCATTTCAACGACTCAAAATTCATTTTAAAGGGTGAAAAACTACTGAAAAAAACTGATTTTCCTAATTCCACTCTGGCGATGTGAAGATTTTTTAAATTGAGTAGAGTCCATTTTTCTTGATTTTGGATTTATTTTGTTTGGAATTTCGTAAAATGTGTTTTACTAAATCTGCGATATCTTTGGAACAAATAACGCAATTTGGACAACTCAAAATTCATTCATTCAAGGGTGAAAGAAGCCTTAAAAATGAGCTCTGATGTTTTCAATTTCACTCTGCCAATTTGAAGATTTTTAGGATCAACAAAATTTTTCTTTTTTGAAAATTTAATAAAAATGAATTTTGTGAATCTGCTATATCTTTTGAACAAATAGTGCAATTTGAACAACTCAAAACTCATTTTAAAGGATGAAAGAACGCCTCATCCAATACTCGTCCAATTCCGCTCACCCAATCTCAAGATATTCTCCATGAAAATAAACAATTTTTGCTTGTAAAAAAAATTACCTTCTCTCTTCATAAATAGCGCTATACTTGGCCAGATATTTGTCCTGACAGCCGGCCCACCCGAGGAGTATGACGACCGGTCTCTTGTCATCCTCATAGACGAAGACAAAGTCATCCCTCTGATCATTCAATGACACCGGTTGGAGACTGGGTAACACCAGATGGAAATCGAAGTCCACCTCTGCCATTTCCCCCAGGTGTCACGTCCCCAGGACGTGAATCAAACACTCAAAATTCTTGAGAGATCGTCTCCTCTCTATTCCCGATCCTCCAGATTCCCCTCAGCTCCAGGCGCATCCGCTCCGAAGGCCTCGGTGATTTTCACTGGAAATAATTTCTCGGGCCTGCGTAATAGCCGCTCAAACTCTCACCCCCGCACCCCCTTTTCATTCAATAATTCGGCTAAAGTCTGCATGCACATGCATGTCAAGCATCGATCGACTGGCCATTAAATTTTTTTTTATAAATTTTCATGAAAATATTTCAATGTTTCATTTTTACTGTAGTGTCAGGGCGGCGTCATGCCTCTTTTCGGCATCAAGGGCATGCGTTTTATTGATTTGCATGAGGGATCGATGAGAATTTGCCAGCGTCAGTTGAATTAATATTTCACGCCAAGTCATGGTGAAATTTATTACCTTGGGAGTATTACATTGATTTTGTGGGTATGCCAGGTGCAATTCTAGCCTTTGAAATTTAAATAGAAACATTTTTTATTGAAATATTCAGTTGTTATTTAAGGAAATTCAAGTATTCAAGCAAAAAAAATTATAAGAAGATGAAAAATTTTGAGAAATAAATGATGAAAGTGTGAATTTGTAGTTTTCAGTTACCAAATTTGGTAATAATATATGCCTTTTGCTAAAAATTACTCATTTTGAAGCATTCCCTTCTTATACTTGAAAAAACGAATGTTTTTCAACTTTTGGAAACTATTTTTCACATAAACAATCGATGTCTGATACAATTGTGAATATAGACATTTTACGATTCACAAGAAATGATTCTTACGGTGAAAAATTGATTGGTTATTAATTATTTATAAAATAGAATCGCAATCTTCAAAAATGAAAACGTATCAATTATTTCGATAATTTTTTCAAACTCTTCTAACGAATTAAAATGAAGAATCAAATTAGACCTTCAAATCCTTCTTCAATTGTATTTCTTTTTGATTCGTATTGCTTTGAGAAAATTTGTTGTAAGAATTTTATTTTTCATTTCCTCATACATTTATTTATTCACAAAACTACTCAAGTACTTAATCCTCCCTATTCCCTAATATTATTCAATAATGCGTAACATCTGATCTATTGAAAAGTCACTCTCCCCGTCTCGTGCGTCATGACATCATCGTCATGACGTGCTCCTCAATTTTCTTCCGCATTACTCACAATTACTTTTCGCACTCGCCAGAAGGCCAGTTCGTCCTTTCACGATTGATAAACTCCCACAGCCTGGTTTTATCTTACTTGGCAGGTTCCATTGCCCATCAAACGCAGTTCGTCCTTCTCGAGAGTAACCAAGCGAGTAGAATGGATATCACAAAAAAATTGGAACAATTCCCATTGATTTACTGGAGCATTCGTGGAATATTTGGAACGTCATGAGTTCGGCCGATTCCGGGCAGTCGAGTCATCGTTTAATTGAAAGTAAATATTGCAGCATGTGATGTTGTAGATTATCTCTGAAATGATCATCGCTCCTTCTGTCTGTTAGATCATTGCTGATGACAATAAAATACGCATGAAATGTTATACCTTTAATTTTTTTAATTAAACAAATCTATGAGTAAAATGAAAATCTTCAGAAACTCCAAAAATCAACTTTCTAGTTTCGTTATTTCTGCAATACCTCAAAATCGGCGCGAAATAGGAGAAATTTCATGAGAACCTTTTTTGTAGCTCATGATTTCCTCTACAAAAATGAACTTTACAAAAATTTCGCAATCCTCCATAGATTCCGACGTAATTCCTCAAATCAAATCCACGAATAAAATCAACTTCTTCAGGAACACGCAAAATCAACTTCCTAATTACGTTTTTTCTCCAATGTCTCCGAATCGACGCGAAATCGGAGAAATTTCATAAAAACCTTTTTTGTAGCTCATAATATTTGCTACAAAAATCAAGTTGCCAAAAATTCCGCTATCCCCCATAGATTCCAAAATAATTCCTCAAATTAAATCCACGAATAAAATCAACTTCTTCAGGAACACGAAAAATCCACTCTCTAATTTCGTTATTTCTCAAACATCTCCGAATCGAAGCGGAATCGGAGAAATTTCATAGAAACCTTTTTTGTAGCTCATGATTTTCTCTACAACAATGAAATTTACCAAAATTTCGCTATCCCCCATAGATTCCGACATAATTCCTCAAATCAAATCCACGAATAAAATCCAACTTCTTTAGGAACACGAAAAATCAACTTTTTAATGTCGTTATTTCTCAAATATTTCAGAATCGACGCGAAATAGGAGAAATTTCATAAAAATCTTTTATGTAGCTCATAATTTCCTCTACAAGAATGAATTTTATACAAATTTCGCTATCCACCACAGATTCCGACATAATTCCTCAAATCGAATCCACGAATAAAATCAACTTCTTCAGGAACACGAAAAATCAACTTCCTAATTACGTTTTTTCTCCAATGTCTCCGAACCGACGCGGAATCGGAGAAATTTCATAAAAACCTTTTTTGTAGTTCATGATTTACTCTACACAGCTGAACTTGCCAAAAATTCCGCTATCTCCCCAGATTCCGAAATATTTTCCAAAACTGAACTCCCCCCAAAAAATCCTGTACCAAACGCATTATCAGTGAAAACTGGATTCCACATCTGCCCAAAATTACTGAAAAGATAAAAAATCCTCATCACGCACTAAACCGTGACCTTGAGCCCCTAGAACCCGTAGTTCTTTGCAATGAGAGCAGCCAATCCAGGAAAAAGGAACGCGTAAATAATATCCCATGGCCATTCCCCAATCAATACTCCAAAAGCATTGCTGACCCTCACATCCTCCTCCCTCATCACCACAAAACCTCAATTCACAATCTCAACTTAGAATCCGGAAATATTCAAACGTCACTCTCACGTGACCTCCTCGGGTGTCCTCGTGCATTTCCGACAGACGAAGGGGCCCCCCTCGCGCGGCAAACGCATCGATTCCCCCCGAACCGGTGATTTTTACTCCAGTTTGTCGACAAGTATTGACGAGAACATTTCTTACTCCAACAATCTTCACTTTTCCGTTGATAATCAACTCCAAAATGGTCGTCATCATCGAGAACAAAGTAAGTACCCGATTTCCAACTCAACTTCTCCAATTTTCATCATCAATTTTTATTCATTTACATCATTATTCATTTATTCAACTCATGTACTTGTTGATAAAAAAAAATGTGGCACACGTGATTGATAATTCCTCTGGCGCCCGTGACGAGATTCCCCGGAATAATGGACACATCATCGTTATCATTAATCGTCCGGGGAATAGCGCGTGAATATCGGACAATTGTTGGCATAAAAAGGGGAGTAAAGGAAAAAAAGAAATATTTGATCCACTTGACTTCAATGGCGTGCCCCAACCACCGTGGCGCTGGTAATCGCTACGGAATTTGTGGGCGCGTCTTTTTCGTCTGTCTCACTTTGTTATGAAACAATGACGATGACTCTCTCTTTGTCGGGAGAAGTGTCTGGCCTTGATGATCATGATTATCAGACGGATTTGTGAGTTGTACGTGAGCAATCGGTTGGGTTGTTCATTCGTAACGATTGATGATGATGATGATTCCCAGGAGAATCACCCCCATTTTGATGATTTTTTGAATTCGTATTCTATTCCGAATCATTTGTTCTGGAGATATTCAAGAATTGAAATTGTGTTCTCATCTTTTTCATTTTCTTTCAAATTAAAGATTTTTTAATCATAAATATCTCGGGATTGGCTGAGTCGATTTCGGTTAATTAGAATTCATTTTAAAACCCATTTTTTAAGCTTGGAAATGGGAAGAAATTCGTCTGAATCAAATCATTTGTTCTGGAGATATTCAAGAATAAAGATTATTGTTTTTCCACATCTTCTCTTATCTTCTTTCAAATTAAGGTTTTTTTAATTGTAAATATTTCGGCATTGGCTGAGTGAATTTCGATGTGCTAGGGCTCATTTTAAAGACGTTTTTTCGATCTTCAACATGAAGAAAAATCATCCAAATCGTACCATCTGCTCCGGAGATATTCGTGAATAAAGCACACCCTTTTTCCTCAATTTCATTTCAGAATTATCCTGTCATGCCAATTCTCTTAATTTAATTAAAAATTGACTTTCCCTAACGAGCGTTTATCTATTTCGAGATGATTAATTGATGACTGATAAATATTGGACGGGAGATAATTAATGCAATTCGAATGTTCCCGATGAATTGTATACCAATTGCATGACTGATTCATCAATCTATCATCCTCAATTTGTGCATGTAGCCAGAGGAAAATATCTACCCACTTGCATTCACACTAAAACTAATCGTCATCACCCGGGGACAATGGAAAATCATTAATTATTTACGATGAAACAGAATGACTTGATCAAGAGGCTAGAGGAAGCCGGTGACAAGCTCGTCATCATCGACTTCTTTGCCACCTGGTGCGGCCCATGCAAGGTCATTGCTCCCCAGTTTGAGGAGCTGTCGAAGGAGTTCCCAGATATCGTTTTCCTCAAGGTCGATGTCGACGACAACGAGGAAATTGCTACTGAGTATGAGATCGGCAGTATGCCGACGTTCGTCTTCATCAAGAATGGAAAAACCGTGAGTGTGAATGATAACGAGAATTATTCACTCATCAGAATTATGAGTTTTCAACCAGAATGCGTCAATTTCACTTCAGGAAAGATTAGGTTTTGGCAAATATCTCTGGGTATAAAGGAGATAGCAATATAAACAAAAATAAAATATAAAAGTTCACCAGAAATCGAGGAAATGAAATGATTTTTTTCAGGTCTGATTGAAATTTAGAATGAAAGTTTCGCTGTCTTTGACAAAAGATGAAATTGACTTTTTTTCCTAATGTAATTTTTTAGACTTTGATTTTTTGATAAATATCTCAGAATTGAAACCAAATACGGCAATTTCAGTCTCAACATTTTTTGTGGGTCTCAATTTTCTCCACAAAAAAAAACGTAATGAAATTTTCCCAATCTCCCCTAGATTCCAAGATACTCTCCCCCAAGATCACCATCAAACAATTTATTTCATTTTATCGTTGGGTGGACTAATTTTCTGGAGCCAGCCTTAAAAAAGTAGCAAAATAAAAAAAAACAATAAAAGTTTACCAAAAACTGAAGGAATAAAATGACTTTGTTCAGATCTAATTGAAATTCAGAATGAAATTTTCGCTGTCTTTGAAAAAAAATGCAATGAAATTGACTTTTTTTTTCTGAAATAATGTTTCAGATTTTAATTTTTGCTAAATATCTCAAAATTGATGCCAAATACTGCAATTTCAGCCTAAACATTTTTTGTAGGTCTCAATTGTCTCCACAAAAAAGATCTGAATGAAATGTTCCTCATCTCCCCGAGATTCCAAGCGACACCCCTCCAAAATCACCATCAATCAATTTATTTCATTTTATTTTCACAGGTGCACCAATTTACTGGAGCCAGCCTTCAAAAAATCAAGGACGGTATTGAGGCGCACAAGAATTAGACCCAATCTCGCATAATAAACAAACTGTACGCCTTATAACTGTTATATTTAAACCGAAAGAAGTTTAAAATCGAAGATAATTAATGAAAAAAATTGATAATAGTTCAATTAAATCATACACGGCATTAACATTACCATGTTTTGTACATATTCTATTGTGTACTCTTCTCGGACACGGAATTTGAGATGTTTTCACGATAGAAAAGACTGTGAACATGAGTTTAAACAGTAGCAACTTTAATTCGCTACATTTTTTCCATTCGTTTGTATCTGACTTGATTGATGTACTTGGCCTTTTGAAATATACACGATGAATTAGGTGAATAAATTCACACGACTGTCTTCCAATCATTTATTATTATAAAATCTATAAAATACGGGGAAATATACAATTGTCATAACGAATACGTCAGTGATACCTACTTAAAGGGATGATTTCACTGGTTTCATCGCAGAGGACATCTTCAGGTAGACGTCGAAGGCTCCAGTGCCAGTTCTACACGGTTGCCCGAGCATCAAACGACTCGATGGAGACGTTAAGTCATCTCGTTTACCTGACAATTCATTCACGAATGATTAATTTCAGTCTGTCAAACTCGTCTGCGATGTTCCAGACATGATAATGTATCCATGAAGTTCAGAATGATGTGTTTACTTTCATTATCTTGATTCGTAATGATAAAAATGTTTTTATGGAGTATTTTGTAAGAATTTTCACAAGTGAAAGTTGTCTGAATCAACGAAATGCTTCTCTGATGATCTCACCGAGGCATAAATTATTCCATTTGACCATACAAAATTTAAAAACATGAATTTTAAGATCATTTTATAATTCGTGGCCCTTTAATCTTCAACATCTCTAGATTACCCGAGTAAAATTCCTCACTTTCTTGAATGGTAATTTATTCTTGAAATTCAGAATTATGTGTTTACCTGTATTATCTTCATTTGTAATAATAAAGATGTATTTATGGAGTATTTTTAAAGAGTTTCCACAAGTGAAAGTTGTCTGAATCGGGCGTAAATTATTCCATTTAACCATTTAAAAATACGAATCAAGATAATTTAATTTACAGCTCTTTAAATTTTAATTCCCAATTTTTTTCATTTTCAAAAATTTATTATCCCATTAAAAATTATTTTTAACCCATTAAAATGCACTCATTCAACTCCTCAACATCTTCAAAAAATGGATAAACAAAAAAGAGAAAAAAGATGACAAGTCAAACAGTTAAAATATCCTGAATAAAAAATACCTTGCAAAGTAGCACTCTTCAAGAACGTCAACGAGCTCTCAAAACTCATCTGCTGGAGTGGCGAAGCCGAGTTCTCCATGCCCTTCCTGCTCATCGGCTGAAAGCTCCCATCGAAAGTCATATAATCAGCAATAAGTGACAGATGCCTGGGGTCAACAGTGATTCCATACATCTTGAAGACATCCTTCACCTCCTTCACGATGACCCTATTAGCAGCCTCAATCCCATAAGTCTGAGAGATCCCCCAGATGTCATTAGAGTACAGCCTCCTAATGTCCAAGACCTTATCATACTTGAACATCTCCACAATATTGATCCCATCGGTCTTGAGAACAGTCTCCCCCTTGGCATTGGGAAAGGTGAAAGCCTTCTTGATGGAAGGTGTCTCCCAAAGCACCACCTTCCCCGCGACATTCTTCAGGATCGTCGGCAAATCAATCTTAATCATCCTCAGAGGCAGCCAGAACCTGAATTTGCACCAGAGATACTTTCCCGCGTCAAAGTCATACTCCACAGCATAACTGTACATATTAGCAACGTCTATTTTCCTCTGATCAGCAGCCGCCTGATCCGCAAGATCAATCTCCTCGTTCACCTCCTCGACGTCATCTTCAAGGACGTCAGGTTTCCTCTCTTCATCCTCAGCCTCGTCCTCGTCATCATTAATGACCTCGTCCTCCTCAGGATCATCGTACTCCCGGTTCTCCTGATGCCTGGACTTGCTCCTGGCTGCAGTGGCATCCTCATCCTCGGGGGCTTCATCCTCGTCGGAAGACTCATGCTCCTCCCCAAAGTCCTGTTTAATCTTCCTGCTAACTGGTTCTCCATCGTCAGCCTCGTCCAGCATCGAGTCCTCCTGTGCTGTATTCTTCCTCTTCTCCTCCTCCACGTGGAGCAGAGTTCCCGAGACCTTCGCCACCTTCTTTATTTCCCTGAACATCTGCTTAAAGAAGAGGGTCTCAGTTTTTTCAACGACCTCCCTGGACGTGACATTGAACTCGTGCTTGTAGTTTTTGTGAGGAAGATACTGAATTGTCAATGCGTACTCCAGTTGTCTATTGGGATACGTTTCCATCTTCCTGTCGATTTTTATGGACCTCACGACGTCAGACAAGACACATCTCGTCAGTTTTAATTTCAATTTGTTGGACTGTCTCGTGAGATTCTTCAGATCCCTCCTGAAAGGGATCTCCATACTGGGGGTCTTGATGTTCTTCGACGCCATCATGAGGATCTCCCGGAGTCTGGGGATACCCAGGGTCACGTTCATCTCACCACGACCCGCGAAGTGGAAGGTGTTGAGGGTCATCTGGGTGGAGGGTTCACCGATGGACTGAGCAGCGAGAAGACCAACTGCCTCACCAGGGGGACACAGGGTCTTCATGACTTTGCAGGAGAGCATGTCACGAATTTCGTCCCTGGTGACTGGGGGGCCGTAGGACCTTGGGGTCCTCAGGTAGCCGTCCATGAGCTCCTCGAGGTGCTCGGTGAGAACCCCGAACTCCAGGTCTTGACGGTATTTCGAGGTCAAGGGCTCTGGGCATCTATAAATGATAAACGGGGGTCTATAGAATTTAATTCTGGAATTTTAATTGGAATTCTGGAGGAGGGATCACTCAAGAGTTGATTTTTTTGAGATTCTATGAAGAAATGATTTCTATAGAAAAGACTATCGAATACTGTAGAATTCTATAGCTCACTAAAAAATTTATGTGGGTGTTACAAATTCAAAAATTATATCTGGCAAAGAGAATCGAGCCTTATGATTCTATAGCAAAATCATATAGCAATTCTATAGCAAAATTCACTATCGATTCACATAAGTCATGGACATGTCTATAGAATTATTTATATCACACATTGTATTGAAAATGTATTCTATAAACCTTGCAATGTCCCACCAAGCATATCCCGAAAAGTTCTAGAAATCTAAAGAATGCTATAGACAATCCTATAGAGATGTAAAAAATGATAAAAACATGTCAAAATGATCTCAGAAATTATGTCTGACAATGAGAATTGAGTGTTATGATTCTGTAGTAGAACTCTATAAAAAATTATGTACCACTCTATAGTAGTATTTTCTGTAGAATTTCCATTACGTAAATTCTATAGATAAAATCACACTATAGAGTCGCAGAATTTATGGACATGTCTATAGAAAATAAATTCGATCGCCTTGCAATATACAGCCAGCCATATCCCCAAAAATCTAAAAAAAACGCTATAGATGATCCTATAGCCATGTAAAAAAATTTACACAATTCGATAGAATTTCCCCACACACAAATCACCGAAGAACGAGTAAAACATGTAACCCACCTGACAACTTTATCATTGAAAGACTTCTTGACCTCCCCATCAGCTCGAACCCACTTCTTGACCAGTGACAGTGACCCCTTGCTCCTCCCAACAGTGCCATCAATAATATTCCCTTTTGCGCTATTAGATCCATTCTCCTTCGTGAAAATGGTAAACCCACTTTCCCTGGACTTTCTCAACACATCTCCATGCTTGCTCTTCCACTTCCTCAACCTCTTCCCCATCTTCTGAATATTCTTGGTATCACTCGTTTCCTTGAGACTCTCCACGAGCCTCTCGTCGACAATAGCCCCTCTGTTCTCCACCAGGAACTCCATCTGCTCCTTCCTCAAGAACCTGGAGTTCGGTATGTCCAGGCCATCCTCTCCGTAGTACATCTGCACAAGACTGCCGTCAGAGTCTCTCACTGTGGAGTCATAGCCAACCGTCAGTCCTTCAAGATGCTTGATCAGGCACCTCTGAAGGTATCCAGACCTGCTCGTCTTCACAGCTGTATCAATCAGCCCCTCACGCCCTGCCATGCAATGAAAGAAGAACTCCTGAGGCTGAATTCCAGTCATAAATCTTCCATCAATGAACCCCCCAGCCCTGGGGGACGAGTCGTAAGGTGGAAAACTAGGGAGAGACTTTCCACTGATCATCAGGGGCGGTCTTTTCCCCTCGAGTTCAATCTGCCCTAGAAGACAGGAGATCTGCATGGTGTTGACGGTGGATCCCTTCGCCCCCGAAGTCACCATCAGCTGAAGATTATTCTCTGGAAACTTCTTCCTCAGCCCCGCAGGGAGACAAGTCTTGTTGATCTCGTTGGTGAAGGGATCCAAAGCTGTCTTGTACTTTCTGTCAATCAGCCCTCGGAACCTCTTGTTCCTCCAGTTGTTCTCCTCCATCTTCTTGAGGACAACATCGCGTGGAGTGTCCTCAGGCAGTTCCAGTGCTGTTTTCTGGATATCATCACCGATCTTCCTGCACCTCTCGATGATCTCTTTTCGTTTATTGTCGCTCTTTGGGAGGACCAGGATGTCTTCGATGCCGAGGGTGAAGCCGCAGAGTTGAAGGTGCGACTGGAAGACTTTCCCAAAGGCACTGAGGACCTTCGAGGAACAGGGGCCACCGTACAACTCGTACATGCAGTGGATGAGACCGTAGGGAGTTGCTCCATAATGGGTTTTATCAAGAACTCCGGACAGAAGTTCTCCATTTCTGATGATGACTTCAGCCTCGGACATGGTCTTGGGGTCAGTGAATTCAATTCCCTGTCGCCATTTTCTCGGTGGCTGTCTCTCCCAGGATTTCGCTGGGATTTTAGCACCAGCTGTCAAGTTTATCCTAGCTTTTCCCCTGGGAATGCTGTTGATGATGATCGTGGACAGCACCTGCTTTCCCGACCAGAGTTGAACGGGTTTGATGATGGCTGGGGGGAGGATCTGAATGTCCCCACGGTGGTCGTAGAGACCTGCATAGACCAGTTGCATGTAGTCTTGCTTGGAGAGGAATTTTCCTCGGACGGTCAGACGCACCCCTGAGATGACGTGATCCTGGATGAGGCCCCCCAAGGGGGTCCCGTCCTTCGGGACCAGGTACTGGTTGGAGACGTTGGCGATGAAGTAGCCCTCGGATCTGGAGACCTCGTTCTGGGGGAAGTGAACGTTCATCTCGTCACCGTCGAAGTCGGCGTTGTAGGCTTTGCAGTTTGAATAGTGAAGGCGGAGGGTTTTTTCACCTTTTGGGGAGGAAATTGGAGATGAGGTTTAGGTGAGATTTTTCTTTATTATGATTTTGGGATATAGAATTTTTCATGTGAAGACTCATCAGATGGAAAATTCTATAGACATGCGTATAAGATTCTGCATTATTTCTATTGAATTATTCCTATTGAATTCATATTATAGAATTCGATAAGTTCGTAATGTCCTATAGACGTGTTACGAGTTCATAAATTATGTCTATAAGAATTGAATTTCAAGATTCAATGAAAATTACTCTATAGAAAATTCTATAGACATGGGTATAATGTTCTGCATTATTTCTCTCTATATAATATAAAAAAATAAGCCCAAAAATTCAGGCGACGCTCAAAATTCAGGCGACTTCTGATTCGGCCCTGTGGCGACAGATGCGGCCCTGGAGCGACACTGATGCGACCCTGGGGCGACACTGATGCGGCCCTGGGGCGACACTGATGTGGTCCTGGGGCCGACCTGACGTGATCCGAGTCGACCCGACGTGACCCGAGCCGACGTGACCCCAACCGACCTGATGTGACCTGATGTGACTCAAGCCAACCCAATCTTGACAGGTCACAGGGTGATTTTATATATATTTCTCTCTATATAATAAAAAAATAAGGGCAAAATTTAAGACAATTCAGGCGACGCAAAAATTCAGGCGACGCCAAAATTCAGGCGACGCAAAAATTCAAGCGACGCCTAAAGGNGGTCGGGGGGCGGGGTTAGAAGGAAGGAGGGTGTCCCGGGGTCAGACGCGGTGGGGGGGCTGACAGTTGGATTGGGGGGGAGCGAGCGAAGCGAGCGGGGGGGCGAAGCCCCCCGGGGTTGGCGAGCGAAGCGAGCAGGGGGCGAAGCCCCCTAGTCTATTAACTAGTATTATTTATGAGGTTTTTGTAAAAGTATAAACGTCTATAGAATTTATGGAGAAAATAATGATACAATTATACCCAATAGATGCTTAATGTTCTATAAAACACCTTTCAAAATTATGTACACAAGTTATGAATATGAGAATTCATAAGAGAACACGCTATAGAATTTCTAAATGAATTTTTATAGACTTACACGATTCCCAATAAAAAAAATCTATATAATTCATACACGATATCATGTGCAATAGAATTTCTATTGATTTTTTATGGTATTCTATAGAAATTCTATAGACAAAATTATTCTATATGTTTGAATAATTCCCGAGATGATATTTCAGAACCCCATCGATGTGTTATCAACATGTCCATAGAATTCTCTACATCAGTTTCTATAGAAATTCAATTCTATAGGCTTGCAATATCCCACGAGAAATGTTCCAAAATTTCCTAAATAACTAAAACAGGCTATAAATAATTCTATATCCAATTCTATAGACAACTGACTTTCCCCGAAAAATAAAAAACCCATGTAACGCTTATAACAGTATTTCATATAGAATTTCTACGGCAGTCTACAGAAATTCTATAGACAAATTCTTTTAGCTGTTCAAATATTTCCCGAGATGATATTCCACGTCTATATAATTCCCACGAGAAATGTACCAAAATTTCCTAGAAAACTTAAAACCCAGACTATAGACATTTCTATAGATAATTCTATAGCCAACTCTATAAATCATTGACTTTTTCCGAAAAATAAAAACACTTACCTTTGAGAATCCTCGCCTTGTGCGCCATAATAGACGGTTTATGGAGAGTTGGCTGTCGATTCAACAGCATAATATCCCCATTCTGTAGATGCCTGTGCACAATCTTGACCCCTTGAAAGGACTTTTCATTCTTGTGTCCCTCTGTGAGAAGCCTCTTAGCAATGGCTTCCCTGCTGATCCTGTCATTGGGATTGATTCTCCTGATGAAACCGTCCTCACCCTCGATCTTCACAGCCCCCGGATGCTGATCAGGACCATTCATCACCAATTCCCTCATTTCTGCGACGTTCCACGGAGTCACGGGGACGGGGTACGTCAACTTGAGAGCAAATGCCTCTGGAATTCCTATCTCATCGATGTTCAGATTGGGGTCTGGAGTTATGACTGATCTGGCCGCGTAATTCACACGCTTTCCCATCATGTGCATTCTTATCGCCCCTTCCTTCTTCTCGATGATCTGTTTCAAGCCTTGACAGAGCATCGATTCAGCTGTCTTCGACATGTCCCTGTCCATGAGGTGGTCCACGTTACCCTGAAGGGCTGACCACGCGTTGTGGAGTTTCTCCAGGGGAGTCGTCCCTCGAATAGTCTCGAAGACCAGTTTCCCTTCTTCGGGGAGTTGGCTGGTGTCACCGTCTTGGATCGTTTGGATGATGTTCCTGAGGACCAGGCAGTCCTGCATTATGTGCTTGTAGACTTGCGTCTGGGGGTGTTCCATTAATTGCCCGTCGAGGAAGTTCACCGGGCGAACTATTGGGGGGAGCACTGGAATCACCTCGAAGTAGAAGACATCCACGGGGTACTCGGTTTTGAGAACCCCTAGGCAGGGAACAATTACCTGAAGGTAATTCAAGGGGATTCGTTATTTTTTTTTATTAAACAATTCTATAGCTTTCGGAATTTTGTACATCTTTTCAAATTTTTATTTTCAATTGAAACAACTTAAAAATTCGACTGTAATGGTAAACAAATTTTGAGAGGAACTTGTTTTCAAGAGAAAATCAAGAGCTACAAAAGGACTATAAAACAAAACTGAAGTGAAAATAAGATTAATCCATAAGTTTTATATTTTTCCGATTTACAAATTGTCATTTTCAATTGAATTAATTAAAAGACCGAACTATAATGGCCAAACAAATTTCGAGAGGAACTTATTTCCAAGGGAAAATCAAGAGCTATAAATGAATTATTTTAAAAATGGGAGCAAAAATTAGATTTATCGAGAAATTCTATACTTTTTCTAGTTTTGTCGACTTTACAAATTTTTATTTTCAATTGAAATAATTTAAGTCTAACTGTAATGGCTAAATAAATTTTGAGAGGAACATATTTCGAAGAGGAAATCAAAGGCTAGAAAAAGATTATAAAAAAGTTGGAGTAAAAATAAGATTAATCCGTATATTCTATAATTTTCCTAACGTTGTCACCTTTACAAATTTTTATTCTCAATCGAAATAATTGAAAAACCTAGCTATAATGGTTAAACAAATTTCCAGAGGAGCTTATGTCCATGAGAAAATTCCAGAAAAATATTATTAAAAAACTGGATTAAAAATAAGATAAATCCATAAATTCTATAATTTTCCTAATTTTGTCAACTTTATTTCTAATTCAAACAACTAAAATTCCCAGCTATAATGGCTAAACAAATTTTGAGAGGAACTTATTTCCACGACATAATCAAGCCCTACAAAAGGATTATAAAAGACTGGTTTAAAAATAAGATTAATCCATAAATTTTATAATTTTGCTATTTTTGTCAACTTGAAAAATTTTTATTTTCAACTGAAACAATTTAAAAACTATAATGGCTAGACAATTTTTAAATGGAACTTATTTTAGAGAATTACAAAAGAAATGTAAAAAACTGTACTAAAAATATGATTAACCCCGAATTCCGATATTTTCCCGAATTTTCTTACCTGTACAAATTTTCATTTTCACTCGAAACGAGTAAACACCCCAACTATAACGGCTAAACAAATTTCCAAAGGAGCTTATTTTCCAGAGAAAATCTCGACCTCCAAAAACATTGGAAATGAATTCCCCTAAAAATAAATTAATCCAAAAATTCCCCTGCTCACCTTCAAGATCTCCCTATCATTATCCCAAACGCGTCTCATGTACTTCCTGGACTGATCCGGCATAAGCAGAACACTCATGGTCTTCTGGGCCACCCCCCTGTGCTCGTCGTCATAAATAGCAGCCTTAGAGATCATGATCCTATTCTTCAGAATGGACACCTTGGAGATGGGTATCTTGCAGTAAAGACAGACCTTCTCCGGCTTGTGCATCTTCACCACAGACTCCACATGGATCTGCCACAAAGTATTAACGTTCTTCGTGTGCACCTGGACTTCGCCCTCGCACATTTTCCCGTAGGCCCTCCTCTCGTGGAGGTTCCTGACGTAACCATCGACGGCCTCGCGCACCAGCTCGGCCTGTGCCTCCTGGCCCACTGCAGGCTCCGACAGGACCGAGGCAACCTCTTGCTCCAGACCCTCGAGGTCAGTGTAAAATCCTTCATTAATCAGTTTTAATTTCGCTGACAGCACGAGCTTGACGTGCGCAGGAATCTGAATGGTGAAGCAGTTCAGACATGACAATTTCACGAGACTGCAGAGGACTTTGTGGAAGAGGGGGTTGACCACCAGCACTGGGAGCTCAATGTGTCCAAAGTGCCCGGTGCAGGTGTAGACGTTCTCCCCGCAGGTGCCACAGGGGTCAGAGTGTTCGTTCAGTGGCCCCAGGGAGGGGTCGTACAGGCCTCCCCTGAGGGGGTGCCCCAGGACGTTGAAGGACAAGGGCGTGCAGATCTTCACGACACTGAGGTTCTTTATGTCCTCCGCTGTGAAGACCGAGAAGACGAGGCTCTTGGGGTAGAGGTGCTTCGGGGTCTGGTCTGACGGTAAACCACTGCGGAATGCCATCTCTGGGGATTTATGTGGCTTTCAGAGGAATTTCCCTGATTTTCACTCCGAGGAAATGTTTTTTTATAACGGAACGAGTTTATCACCGATTGAGGCAGATATTCGACCATTAATTCACATTTTTTAGATTATTTTGGTAAACAACGGCAGGTGAAGGACACGTGAGGGTTTGAAGACACGTGAGTTATTGAAGGTTAGGAAAACACAGCTCCAGCCTCCAGTCGAGGGCCAGATGATTCGGGGAGGAGATGAGGAAAATAGGTCTTATTTAAACTTTAATAAGTCGCGATCCGCAGAGTGGAATGAATACTTTTTTATTTCAGTTTCAAGACATTTTTTTAATCTTCAAAATGAGTACAGATTTATTGGAATCGGATGGTTGGGTTGGGAGATATTGACGAGTGAAGGAGGTGTAATTCACCTCACTTTTCATCTTTTTGGAGATTCGAATAGTCAGATGACTCTGAGAAGATGCGCAGACACGGTGGAGTGGGTCTGCGCATGTGCTTGCGCTCCGTGCCGACGCCATGTTGAATCCATTCGGTGTTTTCATTTGCGAGGCAATCGGGGGTCGTGTGCCGCATAAACACACGAAAGTAAATGATCTCACTGTCGTGGGGAGTGGAGGACGCGAGTGGTGTGATCAGGTGTGATGAGAGTTATGACACAGTGATGATTGCTTGTGCAGTTGGATTAGCCGATCCAGAGAAAACTGTTTGATGGGGACAAGTCCAAGTCGACGACACGTTGAATATCATTCGGTGAACGGTTTTTGAACGTTAATAAGTCGGGATCCGCAGAGTGGAATAAAAACTTTGTTTTTCGTTTTCAAGAAGATTTTTCAATCTTCAAAATGAATTCAGATTTATTGGAATCGGATCGTTGGGTTGGGAGATATTGACGAGTGAAGGAGGTGTACTTCACCTCACTTTTCATCTTTTTGGAGATTCGAATAGTCATATGACTCCGTGAAGATGAGCAGACGCGGGAGAGCAGGTCTGCGCACGCGCATGCGTTCCATGCCGACGCCATGTTGAATTCCATTCTTTGTTTCGATTTGCGAGAGGGAATCGGGAGTCGAGTGCCGCATAAACACACGAAAATCGTCGATCTAGCGGTCGTGGTAAGTGGAGGACGCGGGATGGTGATGAACTAGTCGATATCGGGTTCAAATGGACACGAAATCGAAACAAAGGACTCGGTTGATGCGTCTAGTGGTGATTTCGGGGTGTGACAATGATTTTTATCGAGGTGATGAGGTACATCGGACGAACTGTGATTTCTTATTGTGGTGACGGAGGTGGGAGTGAATGAAAATGCCGGCCGGCAGCCTTTGTTTGTTCACAATCGGTTGTTTGTTGGGGATTCGAAGGGTCTAATGTAGTGTTCAGTGTTTCAATCCGGGGTATTTGGAATATGTGTCGAGTGCTGGAGGAGTATTCAAAGAGGTTCCAGAGTCATTTTTCTTGGGGAAGAGAGTAAAATTGAGGGGCACAATTTTTTTTCCGTTGGGTTGTAGTGGTTCCGAGGTGTTGAGGCAATTTGTTGTGGTTCGAGCGAATTTCTTTGGTTTATTTTTTTTTTGTGGGAGTGGAGTGTGTTGTTTTGGCAGTGAAAGTGCATCCCAGAGGAGTAATCACCGTAGATTGGAATCGAGGTAGCTTGTTGGAGAGGTGAAAACGAAGCTGTTGTTTTCATCCAACGCCGGTGAGTGATTTCAACCCTCTATTTACTCGTTTTATCCATAAACTTTGGCGTTTCTCATTCTATTAAATTATCGTGGATCTTTAGTAAATTATGGCAGACACAATTTCAGAGAAAACGTCTCTTGACATTTCTCCTTAAACTCATTTCCAAGATGAATCAATCATCATGAAAACTCATTACATATGGAAATCACAACTTCGATCGAACACAAAGTGCTGAATTCCCATAAATGTCCGATGAATACAAACATCTGTGATGTTTGTTGATCTGGTGACCCCTCGGATTTCCCAAAAGGTCAATCCACTGTCACCCGACTGCTTATAAAACCCCACGACGCGTAGTCGTCACTCAGTGAACAAAGAAACATGAAGATGACAGTGTGTGATAACAGTAAGTTAATTCATTAATATTTCCATCATCATCATCACCTCAAACCCTCGATATCTCCGGACCAAACGGTGCGATTCGAACAAGTCATATCTCATTTGAAGGATATTTTTTCATTCTCGAAAATAAGATCTGATTTTTCAATTTTCACTCAGCCAGTTTCGAGATATTGCCCCTCAAAACCCCTCCCCCTTTTTTCAATTTCCACTGAGAATTAATTAACCCGTTGATTTAATTACTCAGTTAATTGAATCTTTGAACTTCCCCCTCAGCTACTAAATACGTGGACCTCGAGGAAGGTTCCTTCGAGAAGAGACTCGAGATCCTAGTGACAAAGGGCCCCAAGTCCCCCTGCTTCAGGTATCTAAAAATAATAATCTACCTGGAGCTCATTTTATTCATCGGATTCTTGGGGTTCATGACTGCGCAGAAGTACTTCGAGCAGCCGTACTGGTCCCCACCACCTGTTGACCACCCGGTTGATCCTCCAGCCTCATCAGACACTACCGACAACCCCTTGACCCCTGAGCTATCAACGTCATCTCCAAGCGTCCTTGACCCTGAGTCAATTGCGCAAAACTCGGAAATACGTTTCCCAGAGCGTCCTTTCTCATTCCCACACGATCAATTGATAGAGGAGCTTAAAAGAGAGTTGGAAAATTCCAGAAATGGAGATCTCCAGGAAACTGATCAGAATTCAGATGCTTTATTCCAGCCTTTCTTGGAAATTGCGAAGGCATTGGAGAATAACGAGGAATCCAGAGTAGAAGAGAACGAAGAAAATGAAGATAATCGTGAGGTTCATGATCCACAAGGGGATGATCAAGTCTCCAAACAGATGTCTGTCGAAAGCCATGAGGATGATAGAGGATTTGCCCCAGGAGCCAATCTACACGTGTTCCTCAATCCTTTCTTCCACGTCGCAAAGGAATCGGAGGTTTATGATGAAAGGAACAGCCGAGAAAACTTCTCAGAGGAGTCCAGAGTAGAAGACAATGAAAGAGATGAAGATAATCATGAGGTTTATGATCAACAAGGGGATGATCAAGTCTCCAAACAGTTGTCTGAGGAAAGCGACGAGAATGACGGAGGATTTTCCCCTGGAGACAATCCACACGTGTTACTCCTCAATCCTTTCTTCCACATTATGAAGGAATTGGAGATTGATGAGGAAAGAAACAGCAGGGAAAACTTCTCAGGGGAGTCCAGACTAGAAGACAACGAAAGAGATGAAGTTAATCGTGAGGTTCATGATCAACAAGGGGACGATCAAGTCTCCAAACAGTTGTCTGACGAACGTCATGAGGATGACAGAGGATTTGCCCCTGGAGACAATCCACACGTGTTACTCTTCAATCCTTTCTTCCACATTGCGAAGGAATTGGAGATTTATGATGAAAAAAAGAGCAGGGAAAATGAAGACAATCATGAGGTTCATCATCCACAAGAGGATCAACGTGATGAAGAGGATCAACTCTCCAAACAGTCGTCTGAAAGCGACGACAGCAGTTACAACTACCGAGACGTTTATGATAATTCGGAGGACGATCTTAATGAAGATGAAGTAGAAGATCTGCCAACAGTGACGCCTGAATCCAGATTATTCGAGATGCTCTACCGGCTTGCATTTGCTGATGCCTCTGAAAGCAATGAGCCGATACTGGAGCCATCAGAACAGTCCCAGAATCCTCGATTAGTCTTCCCTGAAGGCCCTGGAGACCTCGAGGGCTCCCACGAGACGTTCATTCATCCGAGTTCTTTCATTCATCAAGTGGAATCAACGCAGAGGACTGATGACCCCGAGATAACAGCTGACCCCGGGTCTATTGAAACGTCAGCAGATTCCGATGGAAATGTTGAGAAATCTGAGACGAGTGCAACTGAATCTGTCGGAGATGCCCAAGTGTCTGAGGATCCTGAACCTGCGAACAAGAGTTCTGGGCAGACTGAGGCGGATTGTGACCCCGAGAGCGAGATATTCATCGAGGATTCCACGATGTTTCCAGCCTGGGCGAATACGTGTGTTAAGAAATATGCTTTGAGCTATGCCCTGAGCAGAAGGGACAGACCCGGCTGGAGAAGACCAGGCTTTTTCCCTTCGTTCCATCCGCGTTTTTTCAGTGATTTTGAATGATAAAGTTATGATTTTCTCTCAGACGATTGGGAGGAAACAGTGATAAGAGAAGAATAAAACACATGTTGATGGAATAATAGAATAAAAGAATTTTTTCGAGGGCTGGAAATGAGGTTTCTTGGTCTAGGCCATGTCAATTCCTTGGGGCAACACATTCTATTTCTATTCCAAATCTATTTTAATTTCTTTCTAATTAATCAACACAGTTGGATGAAAAAAATTAATTCATTGGTGATGCAATATAATGCATCTATATAATGCAATATAATAATGCAATATAATGCAATTGATCGAGTCTCTCCAACTCAGGATTAATAATTAAATTAAGATCATCGTCAAAATCATCTATCTTGTCTTCGTTTTAATAAAATAATTATCTAATAAATATCAAATAATTAGATAATTACATAATTCAATCATTGAATGAGGATGATACAAGTTTTCACGTAAAGTATCAATTCCTTGAAACAACCAAATTTATTTCAATTAGTTTCTTGAATAATCAACGCAATTAGGTTAAAAAAATTGTTTATTGTGGTTTATTGTGGTTATTATTCTCTTCTTAATAATTATAACACAATTGTATGAGTCTCTCCAGCTCAGGATGAACAAGATCAAAACCATCTTGATTAAATCAAGATCATCATCAAAACCATCCATCTTGTCTTCGTTTTAATAAAATAATTATCTAAATATCAAATAATTAGATAATTACATAAATAAATAATTGAATGAGGATGATTCAAGTTTTCACGTAAAGTATCAATTCATTGAAACAACCGAATTGATTCCAATTATTTTCTTAATTAATTTCTTGATTAATCAACAGAATTAGATTTCAAAAATAAGTTTCTTGCGGTTATTTTTCTCTTTTTAATAATTACAACACACAAAGTATCAATCCTTTGAAACAACCAAATTGATGTCGATTCTTTTCTTAATTAATTTTTCAATTAATCAACGCAATTAGATTAAAAAAATAAGTTTATTGGGATTATTTTTCTCTTGTTAATAATTATGCCGCAATTGATTGAGTCCGTCCAACTCCGGATTAGTAATTAAACGTCTCTCTTCGTATATCGCTATCATTTATTGATGATCATCATTGAAATCATTTATTTCGTTGGCTTCATTGACGATTAAAAGATGACATTTAACATAGTCTTCCTTCTTCTCTCACCTTGTCTTCACTTTTGCAAAACAATTGTATAAATATTAACTAATTAAATAATTGAATTGAATAATTCAACTTTTCAAACATTTGTTTACATGAAGTATTCTTTGAAACAACTAAATTTATTCCAATTTGTTTCTAGTTAATCAACGCAATTAGATAAGAAAAAATAAGTTTATTGCGGTTATTTTTCTCTTCTTAATAATTATAACGCAATTGGTTGAGTCTCTCCAACTCGGGATTAGTAATTAAACGACTCTCTTCGTATATCTCCATCAGTGATCGATCGTCATTATCAAAATTATCTATTTTGTTGGCTTCATCGACGATTAAAAGATGGCATTTGCCATGATCTTCGCTCCTCTCCCACTTTGTCTTCACAATTTTGTCAACAATTACCCAGAGACAGAAATTGTTTCTCCTCCCGGTGACGCTAGATGCTGTTTTGAGGACCTTCTCAGTGACGTTGGTACCAGCCAAGTTCAAATACCTCAGGTTTGGGGAATTATTCACGAGTGTGGTGATCCCAGGATCATCGACACTCCAGCAATCTTCGCACTCCAACTTCTTGAGACTCCGTAGCCTCTTGAAAACATCGTCTGTGATTCTGCAGGAATTGAGAAAAAGCTCTTCGAGATGTGGCAAATTCCCCAGATTACTCAGTCCTCCAGTGGTGATCCCCGGGCACCGATTGAGGTTCAAATACCTCAGGTTTCTGGAGTTGTTCGTCAGCGCAGTGATGAAGTCATCGCCGATGTTGATGATTTTACTGAGGTTCAGGTGCTCTAGACTGAATAGTTTAGTGAGAGGAGAAAAATTCTTGGCACGACTGTTCGCGAGGGAGAGGCAGGTGAGGTCAGGATTAGCACTGATCAGCCTGATCACCCCTGGCTCCAGGGTGAATCCCTCCAAAGTCATCGCTGTGAGGTTCGTGAATTGTTTCAGCCCCTGGAGAACATTAAATATGAAATTCAAAGTAGGATTGGAGCTTTTTAAAAAGGATTACCAGGCTTTGCATGCCAGTGAAATATCTTGGGATTCATTCATACGATTACGATAAATCTGGCTTCATTTTGAAGCTTGATAAAATATCTTGAAAATAAAAAAAAATGTTAAATTCCACTCTGGGAAGTTAACGGTTTTTTACCTGATGTTTATTGAGAATTCATTTCTTGTTTTTTAAGAAGATTTTTTGAAAAGGGATTTGTTGAATTCCAAATATCTTTTGAATGAACAGTTCTATTTGAGTAACTCAGCGCTCATTTTAAAGCTTGGAAGAATACCTTGAAAATGAGACTTAATTCATTGAATTTCACTCTGCCAATCTCGAGATATTAGAAATTGAATCTGATTGTCATTTAAATGAATTGCATAATTTGGCAATTCATTTTTTCAGAAATTTCCATGGAGACTGACTGATTCCTCAATATCTCCTGGGCAAATAATGCGATTTGGATAACTCAGCTCTCATTTTAAAGCATAAAAGAATATCTTGAAAATGAAATGATTCATACAATTTCACTCTGCCAATCTCGATATATTTAAAATTAAAGTTCATAATAATTTTGCATAATTTTAAAATGTACTTTTTCATCAACTTCTATGGTGTTTTATTGATTCCTTAATGTCTCCTGCACAAATAATGCGATTTGAATAACTCAGCGCTCATTTTAAACCTTGAAAAAATGCCTTGAAAATGAAAAAAAAATCGTTGAAATCCGCTCAGTCAATTTCAAGATATTGGAGACTAACTCATAAAAAAACTCACAGAGGAATAAATCCTAGGCCTCACAGTTCCATTCTCTTCGCAATGCTGTGAGCAGAGATGAATTTCCCTCAAATTGTTGATCGAATGCCCCCAGAAGTCTTGAAAAACATCCTTTCCGAGATTCTTCATCCCGAAATACTCCAATTTATTCATTTTCGAGAATAAAGTCGTGAACCTCTGTCCATACCTGTCAAACGAGACTTCGAGTCTAGACAAATTGACGCAATATTCTCCAACGAGGCCCAGGATTTTGTAAGTGCAAGGATCCCCTATTTTTAATTCCCTGAGATACCCCCCACAACGCTTCAGGATGGCCCCGATGTGGGTGTTTGACCTGAAGGCAGGGGGCAATTCATCCAAATCATTCCACAGTGGGGATTTCGAGAAATTCAGGGCTCTCACGTTGCTCCAGGCTAATTTAGACGCTTTCTCCCAACGTTTGGAGACTATTCTCACTGTTAGGCGAGATGTCAAGGGAAGGCACTTGAAGATCCGTTCAAGACAGTCGTCGTTGAGGTCATTGATGGAAGCAGGAGCTGATTGTTGAGGAATTTCTGGAATGAATTTCTCGATCTTCTCCTGTTTTCGTCTTTTTTGAGGAGATTCAGGGAAGATCGATCTGCTTTCTGATGGCTCAGGTTCATTGTTGACTTCGAAGATTGATATTTTCCTCTTTTTTATCCATTTCTCGTTCCCTGAAAGTGATGAAACAATTTTAAGAAATGTTCGTGAATGATTAGTTTGGGAGGAAAGAGGTAGAGTTTTTTTCAATTGCTAATATCCCAGGACCAGATAATGCGATTTAAGTCACTCACCTCTCATTTTCAAGATATTTTTTCAATCTTCAAAATGAGTCTTTATTCATCTAATTTCACTCCACCAATCGCGAGATATTTGAAGTTAAACCCAACAATAATTTTGTATAATTAAAACATTTACGTTTCCATCAATTTCTGCAGAATCTTATTGATTTCTTAATATCGCCTGCACAAATTATGCGATTGGGATAAATCAACTCTCATTTTCAAGATATTTTTTCAAGCTTGAAAATGAGGTTTGATTCATCCAATTTCACTCTACCAATCTGGAGACATTTAAAATTAAACATTATATCAATTTTCCATAATTTTAAAATGTACTTTTTCATCAATTTCTACAGAGTCTTATTGATTTCTCAATATCTCTTGCACAAATTATGCGATTGGGATAAGTCACCTCTCATTTTAAGGTTGAAAAAATATCATGAAAATGAGACTAAATTCGTTCCATTTTATTCAACCAATCTCTAGATATTCCAGATCAAACCCCACGGAATTTCTTCCAATTTCTTCTACAAAACAAATTTAATTACCTGTCATTTTAACTTGACATTAGAATCCACTAGCTGTTAAAATCGACTGCAACAGCCATTCCTGGCTCCCACGTGGGCACCACTATGTATAAATATACTGTTTACGAACCCCCCCCCCCCTGGCTACCAAAACTCCAGAGCTGGGTCAGGTTAGTTTGATCAATGCCCCGTTGAACCTCCATACCACGTGAAACGCCATTACCTCGTCGCTTTGTTATTGATGAGACAAAACTCATCGTCATGTTGACACCCAGATTCGAATTAAAACAAGATGATGACGAGGTGACAATCAGTATTTACGCGCGTTATGCTAACATCAGAGATACCGAAGTTTATGTCGAGGGAAATGATTTTCGCTTCCACTCGTCTCCCTATTATCTGCGGTGAGTTTGTTTACAGTTATTGATTCCAACAAAAAAAAAATTGCAAGCATCATTACCCGTCACTACCCGTTATTTCCACAAACGAAAACTTTTAAAAAAAAAAGCAAGAGGATTTTATGGAAAATTCCATTTGATTTCTACTGAATTTCTATTAAAAACTATTAGCTTTTGGCTTATTAGAAAATTTAAACTATTAGAAAAGTTCCAATAGAAACTATTTTATGTAAAAAATGAGTAGAATTTCATCTTTTTATGCAAATTTTTGCATTGTTGCAAGTTTTTTCACTCAATTTCTTCCTTTTTCATTAAAAAATGAAAAAAAACTGAATTTTTTCTATTGAACATTTGTATTGAAAAAAGCGCAGATAAAGTGTAGAAGTTTCATTGGTTCCATTGGATTTTTATTGAACTTCTATTCAAAACTATTAGTTTTTGGCTTATTAGAAAATTTAAACTATTAGAAAATCTCCAATAGAAACTATTTTATAAAAAAAATAAGTAAAATTTCATCTTTTTATGAAAACTTCTCTATTGCGCCAAGTTTTTCACTCAATTCCTTCTCTTTTCGTTAAAAAAAATTAGAAGAAAAAACGCTGATTAGTTTCCATTGAACATTTGTATTGAAAAAAACGCAGATAAGTTACGGAATTTTTATTCGTTCATTTTTTTTTTGCAAAAAATATCAATAAGAATATATTGAATATACTACATCAGACTGAAATTACCCGGAAAAATCATTGAGAATGACGACTCCAAAGGGTCTTACGACTGCGACACTGGAACATTCACCCTGAAATTCTCCAAATTGAATAAAGGAGAGCACTTCGAGAATTTGGATATGATAACGACACTTCTAGCTCCTCCCAAAAAGAACAAAGACGTTGCTCCGACAATCGAAGTCATTGGTAATCCAGCTGCCCAGCATGAAGATGGAGTTGATCCTCTTTCCGAAGGTCCAGACCAAGGAGATGATGACGATGGAGACGACTGGTTCATTCCCCAGGTTTCAGTCGCTCCTGGGGTTTCTAATATTCTCTCTGGACAACCGAAGTATGGATTCGCGAATAAAGTTTCTGGAGCTCTAACTTCATTCGATGTAAGCTCATCTTTATTTATTTACCCCATCAATTTTTTTTCATTTTTTATTTTCTAATTCCACTGAAATTTCAGTGGAATTTCAGTGAGAATTTAAAATTCAAAAATTTATGGAAAAATCGATGAAAACTGTCAATTTTAGGGCAATTATTTGATTAGAATTATTAGAAATCAGAAAATTTCAGGTTAAAATTTTTAATCAATTGAAAATTCAGTGTAATTTAATCCAAAAAATTCAAAAAAATTTGGAATTTCACTGAATTTACGGTGAAATTTAAAATTTCATGTCTTTTTCTCTTTATAATTGACTCAAATGTCAATGAAAATTATTGTTTTTCTAACACTGCAATGAAGTGATGAAGAAACACAAGTAATTTTCTCATGACTTCAGTTTTCATTAAATATCTCAGAATTGAATGTAGATGACGTACTGTTCATACGGACCTTTTTTGTAGCTCTAAATCCGTTCTACACAAAATCTCGTCATAAGAATCCCCGTATCTCCCTTCAACTCCAAGACATTCATCAAAAACTGTCTTCGAGTTGAATTAACTCATCTTATCGTAATAATTCACGATTTTAAATAATCTTATTTTAACTTTTCCCTCCTGCATTAAGAGAAAAATCGACATAATATCACAAGAATGATTACTTGACCGAAAAACATCGTATACATGTTTGATCAATTTATGGTAGGTTTCAGACAAGAAATCGGTGTTCTTCGGGCTAAGGAGAAAGTTACTGAACGAAAAAGTCACGTCGTTTTTCGAAATTAGATAATATTCCTTAAAAGACGTGAATAGTTTGACAGAAGGATAAGAAGATATTGCTTCCCTTCGAACTCAAAGCGATTGAGCGACGGTTATATTCTTTTAATATCTGGAGGTTTTCCTCTGCATAAACTCTCTATTCATTCAATATGAAAGTCTCTGATTCATGATTCACTGAATTGAAGGTTTTTATATTTTTAGTCATTTTCTCATCTTCTGACACGAAAAAACCGATTTCTTGTTGCAAGAAATTCTCACTTTATTACGAACTGTTCATGTTCAAGTCATGAACACTTCACCGAAATCTGACATTGTCTGACACATCCGGAATTTTTATTCCAAGAAATTTATCCTCAAGAGATGAGACATTCGGCGCCAGAAATTAGTTTTGTGATATTATGCCGATATTTCTCTCAGTGTTTAAATCCATCCTCAAAATAATCTATTCATCCTGGCTCGCAGTCTGGCTGGTTGAGAGACGTCATCGACCTCCCCCACCCCGACTCCACCCCCGCAGCCCAGCGAAAATCCCTCCGAGAGGCCGATGAAAAAGCGCATTTTAGTGACGACCACTATATGGCAGACCTGGTTCAGGTAGAAGAAACTGCTAAACCGAGCATTATCTTCTCTCCCCAGTGGTACCAATCATCACCAGAATCCATTCTCCTAACCGATAATGAGAAAGACATCCTGAAGGAGCTGCCCAACAAGGAGTACCTCCTAGACAACGAGGAGAAGCAGGCGGTGCTCTACGGTCTGGTGGACATCCTCTTCGCCTCGTGCTACAACCACCGAGTGACTCAAGGGGAGAATTCATCGGAGAGCAGCTGGGACATCAACAAAATCTCGTCCACTCTCTCCTGGTTCCAGACGTATTCCTCCCTGGAAGACGTTATCAGAACGTCAATCAGAAGGTCCTTGTGCTACCCCCTGTACCGCCACTGGGACCTCTCCATGAAGGTCCTGGAGGACGTCAAACAGATCCTGAAGCTGGGTAAGAAGATGGTACTGAAGAGATTCTGCGAGATTCACGAGCTCTTCAATAACTCCTTCGAGCCTAGATACCTCCTGAATCAATTGTACATCAGGGATTATCTCATCTGGATTCAGCAGGCGCCTGATTCCCTCATTCTCTCGCTGTTCAACGCTCTTGATGGTCTGCTACCGAAGAAAGAGGACATGGGGTTCGATCTGGTGGAGCTGGAGACAGCCGCCTGGTCAGTCCTCGAGGAGGAGAATCAACAGGAGAGGATTGATGAAGGGTCTGAGGAGCAGAATCTGATCATTGGGAACTCGATTCACGATGTGGTTAATCAGCTTAACAAGATGGAGATGGGTTCTGAGGGGAGTGATGAGAGCGACTCCGAAACGGATTCTGATATTGATACGAGCTCGAGTAGCTCCTTGAGCTCCAGCAGTTGTAGTTCCTCCAGTGAGAGCTCGACAGAGTCGAGTGATGAGTCCAGTGGGGAGAGGAAGAGAGGACCATTGATACTGGAGATGGGGAAGGAGTTGGATAGTGATGATTCTACGGATGAAGATCATTGAGGAGAGAATTTAAAAGAGGGATATGTACGAAAAACTGATGAGATTAATTATTTTTTGGGTTTTAGCTCTTACTTGAAGTGATCTGTTCCCTATCATAACTGATTTATCTCGAACTACCACTTCAATTCTTCAGAACATGTATCCAGAACACATATTTATTTTTAGATTATTATTATTACTTAATGTTTAAAATACATTTCTATAATAATACTTCCTAAAAATGAACAATCATAAATTCATGAAATGAACATTCATCATACATAAATTACATCTATCTTTCATTCCTCTAGAACGTAAGAAATCCAAGGAAGTAGCTTACTATAATGAGCGATTAATTTGCTCCTCGAGATTTCCTCCTCAACCGTGAAATCCGGCAAGTTCGTCATTCCCGCGTCCATAAGATCTGGAACTATAGTCACGATAGGTTCCCCATTGCGTCCTTGCTCCCAAGGCATGCCATCTTCGTTAATCTTCTCCCCTTCAACTTCATCCCACCAGGAATTCACGACTTCGCCGAAAAGCCCTGGGCCCTCGTCCTTTAGGAAGGTGATGCCCTCGAGCAATGATCCCTGAAACTCCTCCTCATCCTTCTCTCCGCTCATGTTATCTGTGTCGTATGTTGGGTCGTTAAGGTGCCCATGATAGTCCGGTTTATTCTCTTTCAGAAGTAGGTACTCGTGCAGCTCGTTGGAGTCGCCGTGATAATGAGGCGCGTGCATGATGATCTTCAAGTCCGGTAGCACCCCTGGTGAAAAAACATTCTTGATTCCTATTAAAAAAATTTAAGGTAATAGGGAAATAGGTGTGTTATTGTTCAAACCCACATAATTTCCTATTACCTCTACTGAGTGATTAATCAGGCTGGTTCGAATAGGAAATAAGGGAACGAACCCATAAAACATTATAATTTTTCTGTTGATAGGGAGCAGATGGTGGATAATAGGAATTAAATCAAGAGAATTTGAAAAATTGATTTCTGAACCTAGGTCATTCTAGGGACAGGTATCAGTGGAAATTATAATGAAAATCTTTCTGCTATTTACGATGGTCATTCCTGGGGATAATTAGTAGGAAATGAGATGTCAATGGGTTTTAATGGAAATACTCTGAAATACCTAATAAATGATGTGACTATTTGACAGAGAAAAAGCTTGAAATAAGAATCAGGAGGGTCAAAATAAGAGGTAGGTGGGGTCTACAATGAAGGTCGAGATGAAGGTCTGGAGGGTCAAATTATCATTCCCGGGGGTAATTAGTGGGAAATGAGATGTCAATGGGTTTTAATGGAAAGGCTCTGAAATACCTATTAATTGATGTGACTATTCGGAAGAGAAAAAGCTTGAAATAAGGATCAGGGGGGTCAAAATAAGAGGTAGGGGGGTCGACAATGAAGGTCAACATGAAGGTCTGGAGGGTCAAATTATCATTCCCGGGGGTAATTAGTGGGAAATGAGATGTCAATGGGTTTTAAGAATTCAGAAGAGTCAAAAGAAGGGTCCCGAAGGGTGAGAATAGGCGTGAAAAAGCTGGAAATAAGGATCAGGAGGATCAAAATAAGAGTTAGGGCGGTTACCATGAAGGTCAACATGGAGGTCTGGAGGGTCAAACTATGATTCTCGGGGGTAATTAGTGGGAACTAAGATGTCAATGGGTTTTAATGGAAACGCTCCAAAATACCTATTAATCAAGTGGGTCAGAAGGATCAAGAAAATGAAAATGAGGATCAACAGGGTCACGTTACGGGTCAGAAGGGTCGAAATAAGGGTCACGAAGGGTGAGAATCTGCGTGAAAAAACTTGAAATAAGGATCAGGAGGGTCAAAATAAGAGGTGGGGAGGGCTACAATGAAGGTCAACATGAAGGTCCGGAGGATCAAATTATCATTCCCCGGGGTAATTAGTGGGAAATAAGATGTCAATGGGTTTTAATGGAAATGCTCTGAAATACCTATTAATTGATGTGACTATTTGAAAGGTCAAAATGAGTTTCAAGGAGGTCAGAAGGATCAAGAAGATAAAAATGAGGATCAACAGGGTCACGTTACGAGTCAGAAGAGTCAAAATAACGGTCACGAAGGGTGAGAATAGGCGTGAAAGAGGTCCAAATAAGGATCAGGAGGGTCAAAATAAGAGGTGGGGGGGGCTACAATGGAGGTCAACATGAAGGTCTGGAGGGTCAAATTATCATTCCCGGAGGTAATTAGTGGGAAAAAAGATGTCAATGGGTTTTCATGGAAATGCTTCGAAATACCTATCATATGGGCATGACGCTGGTGTCATACGGGGATCATGTAGGGTCATATTGAGGTCAAAAGGTGGTAAGATCATATGGAGGTCTCAGTGTTCAACATAGGTATCAGGAAGGGTCCAAAAAGACGCTCTGGGGAGGGTCAATTTGAGAGTGAGAAGGGTTATCATGAAGGTCGACGTAAAGTTCGGGAGGGTCAAAGTAATGGTCAGTATACGAGCCAAACGGGTTACGAGGGTCAAAATAAGAGTGAAACTGATGAAGATAAGCGTCAAGATGATTGGAATAAGAGTTAGAGGTCTAGAGACTCCAAAATAAAAGTTCAAATGAGGATCCGGATCATCAAATTCAAAATCAGGAGAGGTCAAAAGAAGACTCACCCTGGTACAACATGAAGGTCATTAACAGAAAGAATCAGGGTATAAGGAGGTCATATGCGGTCATATGAAAGTTATGGAGGAGTCAGATGGGGATCATATGGGGTCCCATGAAGTCACAGTCAGGTTCTTTATGAAAAATAATTTTTCGGAACCATTTCATAAAAACCATACCGTCAATTTTTTTCATTGGACTGACAATCTGCAAGCACTACAAACAACTACAAACGATTACAGATCAAAATCCGATGCCAATTGAGCTGCAACTGCAAAATAGTTCCTAACTGTCTTTCAAAAATGAATGAGGCGTCTAATTGAAGTCGAATTCGAAAAATTTCAAAACTACAATCAACTACAAACGATTGCAGATGAAAATCCGATGCCAATTGAGCTGCAACTGCAAAATAGTTCCTAACTGTCTTTCAAAAATGAATGAGGCGTCTAATTGAAGTCGAATTCGAAAAATTTCAAAACTACAATCAACTACAAACGATTGCAGATGAAAATCCGATGCCAATTGAGCTGCAACTGCAAAATAGTTCCTAACTGTCTTTCAAAAATGAATGAGGCGTCTAATTGAAGTCGAATTCGAAAAATTTCAAAACTACAATCAACTACAAACGATTGCAGATGAAAATCCGATGCCAATTGAGCTGCAACTGCAAAATAGTTCCTAACTGTCTTTCAAAAATGAATGAGGCGTCTAATTGAAGTCGAATTCGAAAAATTTCAAAACTACAATCAACTACAAACGATTGCAGATGAAAATCCGATGCCAATTGAGCTGCAACTGCAAAATAGTTCCTAACTGTCTTTCGAAAATGAATGAGGCGGTTATTTGAAGTCGGATAGGAAAAATTTCAAAACTACAATCAACTACAAACAATTGCAGATAAGAATCCGATGTCCTTTTAGCTGTAACTATGAAATAGTTCCTGTCTTTTGAAAATGTATGGGGCGCTTATTTTTCAACTACAAACAAAAAAATGCTACTACTATCATGTGGCGGTCAAAATCTACCAAATATCAAATTTTCATTTCAATTCTTCAAGGTGGGGTGCCAACTTCACAGAGCTGTTTATGGTTTCAGAATTAGAGGAAATTCTCCGGTTTCCAAGACAGTTCTAGAAAATTCTCCATTTTTGTAGAAAAATTCAGAAAATTCTCCAGTTTCCAAGACAATTCTCTGGTTTTCTGGAAAATTCTAGAAGACTCCAGTTTTCTAGAAAATTCTCTGGTTTTCGAGCAAATTCTAAAAAGTTCTCCAGTTTTCTAGAAAATTCGAAAATATTCTTCGATTTAGAAGAAAACTCTATAAAAATCTCCAGTTTTCGGAAGAAATTTCCGGATCTCTGAAAAAAAAAAGAAATGAGGAACTATCCGGTTTCCCAGGGAATTCGAGACAATCTTCCGGTTTCCTAAACAATTTGAGAAAATTATGCAATTTTTCTGGAAAATGAGAAAAAACTACAGTTCTCTAGAAAATTCGGGGAAATTCGCCGATTTTATTAACTGAGCGAAGATTTAAAATTTTTCATTGATTTTTTACTTATCATTCATCTATACCGACGGTAGTGGCCGTGCGGTTTCTCACACTTTTTCTTTTTTTTTCAAGCGCATACAAACAAAGACAATTGTCTTTTAAAAGAGCTCTACAACAGAGCTAAGGTTTAAAACCTTATAATAATAATAATAATAAATCTAGCAAATTGTCCAATAAAAAATTGAACACGAGTGTCACAAAGTGACCAATGTTTATCGAACACCAGATACTAAATCCCATTTTTTTATGTACCTGTGTTTTTATGTAAATAGCTGTGGATATTGTAAATACCTACTGTATAAAGTAAATGAAAAACATGGTTAGAAAAAAAAACAAGCAGGGGTTGGAGCCTTTTTGGTTGAAGCCATCTGACCATTACCTTATGTGTTATAACTCTTTTTTCATTTTTCATTTCTTCCAATTCCATTGGTAGTTCGCTTCCGAATGGATTTGTACAAATTCTATTTAGAAAACAAGCTTACCACATAAAAATGAAAAAATAAAAATATCTGGAAAACTTCCAATGGAACGGTACTTGCATTTTAATCTAGTCAGATAGCCACCATTATAGAAATATTTTGAAAAAAAAAATTGAATTCGACCGAGTCGTTTTTGAGATATTGAAGAACGTAGTTTCACATTCAAAGTTGCATATCTCCGGAATTACTCGTCCGATTTCGCTCATTAAAAATACTGAACTTTGTTATCATGAGACCTAGAATCATACGGAGTTTGAAGTTCCTATCTCAATTATTTTTCAACTTATCGTCGAAACAAGCGATTTTCTCGAAAAACTGAAAAAATAACAATAAAACCTCATTTCCCATAGCAGTGTGATTAAATTCCCAGGTGATAAGATAGGTATCATCATGACTAATATTTTGAAAAAAAAAATGAAATTGGTCCAGTCGATTTTAAGATCTTTGCAAAAAACCATTTTTGAGAAATCCCTATATTTCAGGAACGACTGAACCAATCGAACTGAAATTTAGCACAGATCTGAGTTTCATTGGTACCAACTATGAGCCAAAATTTCAACTCTTTGGTAATTACCGTTCTGATGTTATTGACCCAGTTCTGGACGAACGCACACACATACACACATACGAGCACACATACATACAGACATCGCTTAACCGGAGTAATATCTCGACATTTCAGACTATACTGAGTCATATTCAAGAAAAATTAGAAAATCGAAAAAAAATTGCATTTTTAAAGGCTTCCATTCAGAAGCAAAAAAAAGCAGTGGCCATCATGCGGTTAGAATGCTAAACTAGCATGCCAGAGATCCGGGTTCGATTCCCAGTGACGGCGGTCAAAATTTGTAGCGCTCTAATCTCACAGTTTCACTGCCGAGCGGTAGTCTCATCAAAGGGACGACTGTACCTATGGGCAGGTTTTTCCCTCAAAGCGAGGTTTTCCCTACTCATTCGGCGAATGCGGTACAGGGAGTTGGGGGGTGGGATGGGAACAAATCGTAAAAACCCGAAAGGGTATACGAAGAGAACGAAAAAATTACTTATCATTCATCTTTATTTACCATTTTTGCTGGATGTTTAAAATGGAAGCATGAAGTAACTTGTTCTTCTAGAAAATTCGAGAAAATTCTAGTTTTCTAGAAAATTCTGAATTCTTCTAGGAAATGCGATATAATTCTAGATCCTTTTAGAAAATTCAAGAAAATTCTAAATTCCAAAAAATTCTAGATTCTCCTAGAAGATTCGAGGAAATTGTAGATTTTTATAGAAAATTGGAGAAAATCCTCGATATGTAGCAACACATCAACTCATCCTTACATAAATAACAGAGACGTATCCACGTCAAGTTTATCGGCTGTATCAAGGTTACAGCCGGTCAAGTTTTTTTTCTGTAAGTTTTCCGTATCAAATTGTAGAATTTCCGTGAATTTTCTGTAAAACTAGAGATTTTTCCAAATCTTCTTAAGAAACCGGCGAATTTTCATGAATTTTCTGTAAAACCAGAGAATTTCTATCGAATTTTCTAGAGAATCGAAGGATTTTGGAGATTTTCCTTAAGAACTGAAGATTTTTTTCGAATTGTATTTCCCAGAAAACTGGAGAATTTCCTCAAATTTTCGGTAAAACCGGAGAATTTTCTCGAATTCTCTAGACAAATCTAAAAGAATGTAGAATTTTCTAGAAGAATCTAGAGTTTTTTCGAATTTTCTAATTGAATCTCAAATTTTCAGTAATTTTATAGAAAAATCTAGAATTGTCTCGATTTTTCTAGAAGAATCGAGAATTTTCTAGAAGACTCCAGAATTTTGTAGAAGACTTTTGAGTTTTCTCTAATTTTATAGGAGGATCTAGAATTATCTCGGAGGATCTGTAATTATCTCGAATTTTATCTAAAAATCTTGAATTTTCCAGAAAAATAAAAAAATCCCTCGAAATTTCTAGAAACTCCTTGAATTCCCTCATTTTTTGAAACTTCGCGAATTACCTCAAAATTTCTAGTAATTACTTTCATTCCTTCGAATTTTCCAGAAACTTCTCGGATTCTCTCGAAATTTCAAGAAATCCTTCGAATTCCTTCGAATTTTCTATAAACTCCGTGAATTTCCTCGAAATTTCTAGAAATTGCTTGAATTCCCTTGAACAAGAAACTCCTTGAGTTCCCTCGAATATTCTAGAAACTTTGTGGATTTTCTAGAAATTGCGTGAATTCCTTCGAAATTTATAAGGAATCCTTGAATTCTCTCGAATTTTGTAGAAAAATCTAGAATTTTCTAGAACGCCAATAAATAGCGCTGATCGTTCAGGGTCACTCCAAAAATAACCCCAAACATAAAATGTAAGACGTGTCTACGTCAAAAGAAAATCCTATGTCGATTCTCTTCGGAGTTGTCAACACTTTTACCGAATTTGCATAGGTATAAGTCATCATTCATTAGAGCTCGAATTTAGTATTTTTTTCATTAGGCTCATATGTATATTATAGTAAATTTCAATTATTACCAGAATTTTCCATTATTTTTTGAAGATTCTTTGATTTGACGAATAGCATCAATATTCCCTCTAGATTCCCTGAATGGAAACGTCTATTGATCAGGGTAGTTGATATGCGTCTCATGAGGATTGTACTTTTCTTTATTTCACAGTCATTTATCGAACAATTGAATTATTTGGGAATGTTTATCACGCTTGAACGATATTTTATTTCTTTCATTGTATTTGTGTAATCTATTTATGGAATGCACTCCCATTTGATACTTGATAATTCAATCAATTTTAATTATTCTTATTGGATATGTAGGAAAAATTGAATACTAAATATAGTTTTATGGACTGATAATAAATGCTAAATACTTTTCTATTCAATATTTAGAACAATAGTCCAAATACCTAAAAGACTGTAAAATCCAGGTTTAATCTAAGTAATGTGTAATAAGAAGACGTAATTGAATTAATATTGATTAATATATGAAAGTGTAAATAACCTAATGTATGGGTTTCAGTACTCTAAAACAATTAAAAAAAAAATAAAAAAAAAGAACAATAGTCTAATTACTAAATATTCAAGTATTTAGTATTTAGATGGTATTTAAATAGTGAATATCCCAGTATTTAGTTATTTAGTATTTAGTCAATACTTTTTTACCCAACATTAAGTTTAGGAGACAAAATTTGACAGAATGATAACTCCTCCAGCTATTATTATTTTTCAACGAATTTATTTTTAAAATGTTCGGCTGACAAACAACTTCTCGGTGAAAAATCGGCAAGGGGATCCCCCGAGAAATTCCCCGCTCTCGACTTCATTGGCTATGTATTTAGAAGTTGAACTGCTCATATGCCAGTGTGAATTGCGCTATGAATTTTCACCCATGTATGAAAGAATTTCAGAAATATGGTCCAAGAATAAAAGCCACATGAGTCGGGAATGAGAGTCAAAGAAATGATTTGCAGAGATAGTAGTGAAAATTGAAGGTCGCAAAGATCAGGCTTACCCCATAGAATAAGGGCGGAGCTCCTATGAAATGCACACATCAATAGATCATCACTCATATAATCATAAAATCATTCTACACAACCGAATATAACAACCCATATTAATTCCATAAGAGCCCATAAAATCTTTCTGTTGGGACCCCTATGTGACCGATCATCGGAAATCAATGGCTGACCTTTTGCTCATATAAAATAACTTAACATCGCTCGAGGCCTTATTTGACTCTTAGCGTCTACACGCACCCCACGTATCGATCCCTACTAGACTCTGAATCATAGAACCTTTATGATTCTTATGACTCACGCCCCCTATCCTTATGCTCCATTATTAGATTCAAAGATGTTTATGATCCTCATTTGACAGCTACCTCCCAGCCCCATGATTGCACCTTATATCATCGGATTAATTCAATAGCATATATGTGACCCTCAGCTCCCCGATACCCTATCTTTAGAATTCAAATCATCTGGAATGATTCAATGACTCTTACAACCCTCGTTTGGTTCATACCCCCCCCCCCCTCATCACACCGAAATTAGTAAACCCTAAATCATCGAAATGGGTTTTAACTGGTTCTTAGCATCCTCCGCTCTTTATTCCCTATCACTATATCTCGAATCATCAAAATTATTCAATGACTCTTCCGGCCCTCATTTGAACTTCACTGCCACTCCCCCCATTTTCTCAAACCCCATGATGAGGCCTGCGATCATCGACAATGATTCAGTGACCCTAATATGACCCTCAAGACTTCATTCCCCCTATGACCGGGCTACCACGTGACTCCTTGCTCGCCAGGGCTCATATACGAACCCCCACAACACTCATATGTCTCTGACCCTCATTCCAATCCCAACTCGACCACATATGACCCACATATTGAACATCCTCATCCCCTATTCTAAACACCATATGACCCACATATGACCCACATATGAACGACTGTGACTTCATGGGACCCCATATGATTCCCATCTGACTCCTCCATAACCCGCATATGACCGCATACGACCTCCCTATACCCTCATTCTTTCTCTTGATGACCTTCATGTTGAACCAGAGTGAGTCTTCTTTTGACCTCTCCTGATCTTGAATTTGATGATCTGGATCCTCATTTGAACTTTTATTTCGGAGTCTCTTGACCTCTAACTCTTATTCCAATCATCTTGACGCTTATCTTCATCAGTTTCCCTCTTATTTTAACCCTCGTAACTCTTTTGGCTCGTATACTGACCATTACTTTGACCCTCCTGAACTTTGCGTCAACCTTCACGGTAACCCTTCTAACTCTCAAATTGACCCTCCCCAAAGCCTCTTTTTTGACCCTTCCTGATACCGATGTTGAATACTATGAGACCTCCATATGATCTTACAACCTTTTGACCTCAATATGACCCCATATGATCCCCGTATGACACCAGCGTCATGCCCATATGATAGGTATTTCGAAGCATTTCCATGAAAACCCACTGACATTTTTTATCCTACTAATTACCTCCGGGAATGATAATTTGACCCTCCAGACCTTCATGTTGACAACCTTCATTGTAGCCCCCCCTACCTCTAATTTTGACCCTCCTGATCCTTATTTCAAGCTTTTTCACGCCTATTCTCACCCTTCGTGACCCTTATTTTGACTCTTTTGACCCGTAACGTGACCCTGTTGATCCTCATTTCCATCTTCTAGATCCTTCTGACCTCCTTGACCCTCATTTTGACATTTCAAATAGTCACATCAATTAATAAGTATTTCAGAGCATTTCCATTAAAACTCATTGACATCTTATTTCCCGCTAATTACCCCCGGAAATGATAATTTGATTCTCCAGACCTTCATGTTGACCTTCATGGTAACCCCCCTAACTCTTATTTTGATCCTCCTGATCCTTATTTTCAGCTTTTTCACGCCTATTCTCACCCTTCGTGACCCTTATTTTGACTCTTCTGACCCGTTCAAGCTTTTTCTCTTTCAAATAGTCACATCAATTAATAGGTATTTCAAAGCATTCCCATTAAAACCCATTGACATCTCATTTACCACTAATTATCCCCAGGAATGACCATCGTAAATGGCAGAAAGATTTTCATTATAATTTCCACTGATACCTGTTCCTAGAATGACCTAGGTTCAGAAATCAATTTTTTTAATCCTCTTGATTTAATTCCTATTGTCCACCATCTGCCCCCCATCAACAGAAAAATTATAATGTTTTATGGGTTCGTTCCCTTATTTCCTATTCGAACCAGCCTGATCAATCACTCAGTAGAGGTAATAGAAAATTATGTGGGTTTGGACAATGACACACCTATTTTCCTATTATCTTGTATTTTTTTAATAGGAATCAAGAATGTTTTTTCACCAGGGACTGGCTGAACGGTATTTTTGGTGGTGACTGATTCTTCGAAAATTGATTCGGGAGGAGTGGTTGTTGTCTCAAAATCGACCTCGGTAACATTTTGAGGTTCTTTAAGAAGAAAAACAGCTTTTTAAATGTTTTGATCTGTATATGACCTATATAAGGCCTTCATATGACCTCCATAAAATGCAATAGTACATTTCGACACTAGGCCGTGAGCAACTTTTCGGGCGAATATGAGGTTACAGGACGAGCCGAAGGCGAGTTCTGTAATCATGAGGCAGAAAAGTTGTTCACGGCTGTGTATCGAACAGTATTTTTTGTCATTTAGTCCGGGAACGGTGATTCACGGACTGAGTGACAAAAAGATTCTTATGAGGCCTCAGTAAGGCCTGCGTATAATTCTCATGTAACCCGATATGGTCTTTTGTGGCCTGCATAAGACCCCCATAAGACCTATCCATCACATTCATGTAACCTGATATGGCTGGTTATGACCTCCATATGACCTATATATAATATTCGTGTAACCTAATATGGCCGGACATGATCTCCATATGACCTGCATGAGACCCCCATAAGACCTCTGTATGACCTGCATATAACCTGACAGCCCTTTATGACCCGCATATCACCTACATTCTACAAGTCGATCTGCATTTTCATAACACAGAAACAAATTAATATAATCTTACCCATCTCAGTGGCGTTTTTTCCATTCACCGTCTGCTCAGACCCAACGCCCGTAGCATTAACATTACAGGGTCCACAAGGGTTGTCGTTAAGAGTCGACAAAATGGCGGCTTTCACGTAGGGAAAATGAAGAATGCTCCAGGGGACAATGATCTGGTACGCCAGCCTACCACATCTGTCGATCACCTGGATCTGGTCCTTCGATCCACGGAGCTCCTTCCATAGTCCATGCTCTTTGGTGTCCTCGATTACGAAAATGTCCGGGGAGATGATCTTCTCCAAGGGCTCGGCGAGGACAAACCCTGAGGAGATCTTCTTTGCTTCCTCTGAGGCCACTTCCTTCCACGCCCGCCTCTCGATTTCCTCCGATTCGATCTCGATTTCGGAGAAGTTTGAAGAGTCTTCCGATTTTATTACGATGAATAGGGATTTGGGGAAACCCGATCTATCAAGTCGATATTTCAGAACGTTCAACCTGAAGATAAGAAGAATTAAAAAATTGAACTTTATTTTGACCCTTGCGACCCTTAATTTTGGAGTCTTATTTTCGAGTACCAAATTTTCAACACCAGAAGTCGATTTGGATTTTTATAATATAGAGAGAGATATTCTGAGCCTTGTAACCCTTAATCTGACCATTGTGACCCTTAATCTCACTCTCGTGACCCTCATTTTCACCCTCGTGATCCTTATTTTGACCCTGATGACCTTTATTTTAACCGTCATGAGCTTTATTCTGACCCTCATGATCTTTATTCTGACCCATGCGACCCTTAATTTTGGAGTCTTAATTTCGAGGACTAAATTTTCATCACCAGAAATCGATTGAATTTTTATAATATAGAGAGATATTCTGAGCCTTGACCCTTACTCTCACTCTCGTGACCCTCATTTTCACTCTCGTGACTCTTATTTTGACTCTGGTGAGCTTTACTTTCTGACCCGTGGTTTTTGACCCCCATGACTTTTATTTTGACCCTCGTGAGCCTTAATCTGACGCTCGTGACCCTTATTTTGAGCCTCATGATCTTTATTCTGACCCTTGTGACTCTTAATTTTGAAGTCTGAATTTCGAGTATCAAATTTTCATCACCAGAAATCGGTTTGTATTTTTATAATATAGAGAGATATTCTGAGCCTTGTGACCCTTAATCTCACTCTCGGGACCAGGGATCGGCATAATCGTAATCGAGGATTATGATTAATGAATTACTTCATCAATTAAATAATCTGAAGGCAAAATTTTTTGATTATTCCGATAATCAAAAATAAAATTGGAATATTCTCGAATACTTCGTTAATCGGCAATCAAGGTCGGCAATAACCGATTAAATTAATTAATCAATAATTGACATTTCAATTATCTGATTAATTTTTAATCCCATCCGGTAAATATATGATTATTTATGTAAACATTAATCGAAGCTAGGGATTATTCGATTTTTTAATTAACCACTACTCGAGATCCTGAATTTTTCAATTTTATAAGCAATCAGTAACTGAAATTCACGATTAGTCGATTACTTAATCAATTATTCATTAACAATGAAAAATACTTGAATACTAAAAGACTTATGTATCAGGATTGTGTGTATATTGTATTTGATGTTTTTTGGATTCCTATATCCATTTATTATGAGTGCTGGTCTTGTGGACACTCCACCGTATAGTGGAAATAAAATCTCTTGATAGCATAACATAACACAATACATTTAATGATAATTTTCCAATAATTTTCAACAAAACACATTACCGAATCATCTCGAATATCAACAAAAAAATAGATTCTAGATTCTCATAATTAACAAAAATGGAAATAAATAGCAATTTCCCTCTTTTCTCTCCATACATGCACGAAATTTTTCTGCAATTTTGAACTAAAAAAAAAAATGTCATAAATGACTAACAAACAAAATTATATGTCAAAATATGTCGCTTCCTCTAAAAAATTCCATTGATTTTCTTTGAAACTCTATAAGAATTCTATGAGATTTTTATTAAAATTCTATTGAAAAATTTCATTTTTTGCACCAATTCTATTAGAAATTCTGCAATTTTCCTATGCATTTGTTAATAGATATTTGTTCACAGAATAAAGCCGATGAAGGTCGATTTTTCTATATAACTTATTCTTTTGGAATTCTTCTTATGTGACATTTTGGGCATGAATTTTCCAAGTTTCATTTTGTGATTTTATTATGAGGAACAAATAAAATTTAAAAAATTTGAAAAAATTTGATATGATAAAATGGAAAAAAACATGATATTAAATTTAAAAAATATAAAAAATAGGTCTTCCTGCCTCATTTTTTCTAAAAACATGAGTATTTAGTAATCTGACAGTGTAATCGATTAATTTTCAGTTCTGATTACGAATTATTCAATCAAAGAAGTCTTGAGTTGAATTAACGTGTAATCAAATATTAAAATAATTTTTGAGTCAGATTAACGCTTAATTAATTAATCAAATAATTTCTCAGTCAGATCAACGCTTAATGTAATAATTAAATAATTTTTGAAATTGATTGACGATTGATGGAGTAATTCATCAATACAACTTGCGATTGATTAATTATTATGTAATCAAGCACATTTACGTTATGATTATCGATTGATTAAATATTCAAGAGTTTTGAGTCCTGATTTCCGATTTGTCTTGTAATCAAAAAATCAGTGGAGGGATTAATGGATTACAAATATAATCATCAATCTGAGCTGTAATCATTACCAAAGNTTTTTGCACCAATTCTATTAGAAATTCTGCAATTTTCCTATGCATTTGTTAATAGATATTTGTTCACAGAATAAAGCCGATGAAGGTCGATTTTTCTATATAACTTATTCTTTTGGAATTCTTCTTATGTGACATTTTGGGCATGAATTTTCCAAGTTTCATTTTGTGATTTTATTATGAGGAACAAATAAAATTTAAAAAATTTGAAAAAATTTGATATGATAAAATGGAAAAAAACATGATATTAAATTTAAAAAATATAAAAAATAGGTCTTCCTGCCTCATTTTTTCTAAAAACATGAGTATTTAGTAATCTGACAGTGTAATCGATTAATTTTCAGTTCTGATTACGAATTATTCAATCAAAGAAGTCTTGAGTTGAATTAACGTGTAATCAAATATTAAAATAATTTTTGAGTCAGATTAACGCTTAATTAATTAATCAAATAATTTCTCAGTCAGATCAACGCTTAATGTAATAATTAAATAATTTTTGAAATTGATTGACGATTGATGGAGTAATTCATCAATACAACTTGCGATTGATTAATTATTATGTAATCAAGCACATTTACGTTATGATTATCGATTGATTAAATATTCAAGAGTTTTGAGTCCTGATTTCCGATTTGTCTTGTAATCAAAAAATCAGTGGAGGGATTAATGGATTACAAATATAATCATCAATCTGAGCTGTAATCATTACCAAAGTAATGATTAATGCCGATCCCTGATTTTCACCCTCGTGAACTTTATTTTGACCCTGGTGACCAATTTACTTTCTGACCCGTGGTTTTTGATCCCCATGACTCTTATTTTGATCCTCGTGAGTCTTAATCTGACCCTTGTGACCCTTATTCTGGCCCTCATGACCCTTATTTTGACCCTTAATTTTGAAATCTCAAATTTGAGTACCAAATTTTCATCACCAGAAGTCGATTTGGATTTTTATAATATTGAGAGATTCCCCGACATATGGAATCCTCATAACAATAAAAATTTAAACATTTACAATCAATAGTTGAAAATAATACTCACATAGATGCTTGTTTATGACTATATGCCCAAGAATTATTAAAAAACGCCAAAACCTGGACAACCCCCAACTCTCCTATCATGACATCAACCGGAGCGCACGGTTCGAACCAGTCCGAATTTTCTCTCTTGTTGACGTTAAAAAATTCGCGAAACTCATCGAAAAGAATGTTTTCACTCCTCACAAAACCCACCAGCATTACCGAAGTAATGAAGATCGTCTTCATGATTTGATCGCAAAACCGAGCGTTTAAAAACGGATTTTAAATAATTTCAGACCGAGGAGGTGCGACCGGTTCTCTCGGCGACTCTTGACTATCTGCCTTTAGATGTCTACACTGTCATCCCTCCCACTCATGCGGCCAAGAACATGGCACTGAATTTACTCTATTACGAGAATAAATGAATAAAGAAGACGAAGTAGACTCTCTTCTTCTGAAAGTTCATGTCTGGATCAATTTTTTGTTTAATTCATACTCTCGGAGGAGCTCTCGTGGCTCCGCGCGAGCACAAAGAGGATTACTGTTGTTCCGTCTCTGTCTCGCGGCCCTCCCATCTCCCTGGACCACTCGAACCTCAAGCATCTCGTGATGTCGACCACCAGTTGCTGGTGCGAATCTCAACCCGGTCAGCACAATGTTACGCGTTCTGCTGATGCTGGGGGTAGTCTTTGCCGGGGAAGAGGCCTCGAGTTCCCGCGATACCAGTCACTATCGGTATGCGCAATCAAACGGAAGTGAGTGGACGCGAAGATATGGAAATAGTGATTTTCACGGAAATGAGAGGCTCTTTCGGTCCAGCGATGGAGATGGCATTGGGAAGATTCAGGCTTTGGCGATGATTCTTAAGGAGAATATCGATCATGTGCGGTTGGATTTTGATAGGGTAATTAGTCTTGTTCTGCCCCCCTTCAATTTTTCTTTACTAAACTCCAAATTTCTCCAATATTTTGCAGAAAAAAACTACGATTACCTCAATTTTTTTTAACTCAGAAATTATGTTGCAATTCTTAAAAATACCCCAAATTTCTCTGAACATGGTAGGTAGTTTCCGAAAAAAACCGAAAATTGAAAAATTTTTGAGATTCCAAAATGTTTGCGAAAAATAAATCCTGAAAATTTCCAAAAACTGTTTAAGTAGAGAATTTTTAGATTTTTTCTTGCAACAAATTCTATATTCATGCCATTTGAATCTCCTCAAAAATAAAAAATCGACATAACATCCCCTTGACATAAAAATCGAAAAGAAATAAAACAATTTTCCGACATTAGCTTCTTGAAATTGTCACTTAAAAAGCCCTTACGCTAATGATAATTACCCCCCCCCCTCTTCGTCTCCCTCGAGTTTCGAAGATATTTCCGTTCACAATCGCCTAATAATGACTAGAACGATTTGAGTTATCTCGATCCTCCACTCGTACGTCATTAACGTCCAAAATATTTTCAAGGCCGAAATAGTCTTTCTGGTGGATGCATCATCCTCCGTAGGCGAGGAAAATTTCCGAAGCGAATTGAACTTCGTCCGGAAATTACTATCTGATCTTAGGGTAGAACACACAGCGACAAGAGTTGCGGTCGTAACTTTCGGGGGAAAAGGCATCTCGAGGAACATTGATCAGATTACGTCCGCCGAATTCGCTGGGGACAAGTGTCGATTGTTGAATGAAGAGTTGAGAAAGATCAACTATACTGGAGGCGGAACTTATACGAAAGGAGCACTTCTGGAAGCTGTAGTATGTTATTTCATGAGAGGGGACAAAATGGACTGTTTTTGATCGTCAATAACTCGAGATCGGCAGAGTGAAAATTCTCAACTTTCTTTCAGTTTCAAGGCTTTTTTATAATCGTTAAAATAAGTTCAGATTCATTCAAATCGGACCGTTGCATCGGGAGATATTGAGCGAATCCTTTTATAAGAGATTGTTCAATGTTTCACAACTCGCAGTCAGCTGAGGCAAAAGTGACGATTTTTTTGTATTTTCAACATCTTTTTCTAATCTTGAGAATGAAGCCAGACTTACTGAAATCGTATCGTTGGGTCGTGAGATATTGATGATCAAAGCGGGCCCTTTTGTAATTTTTTTTGTGGAAGTGTCTATTGATGAATTTCTTCTCTAGACAATTCTCAAAAGAAGTCGGGAAGACACTAAGAAGGTGGTATTCTTAATTACTGATGGATTCAGTAATGGAGGAGACCCGAGACCAGTCGCGGAAATATTGAAAACCCTGGGAGCAGTGATATTAACCTTCGGTATTCGAACCGGAAATGTCGAAGAACTTCATGATATAGCCAGTGAGCCTGGTTACACCCACAGCTATCTTCTCGATTCGTTCAAGGAGTTTGAGACATTGGCGCGACATGCACTTCACAGAGGTCATATATCTTCATTTCTTCCTCGATTTTTTCATGTTACCAATTCATATTTGTCTTTATAGACTTGAAGGAAGGAAAATACGTTATCTTGAAATCGAGAAATCTATGTCAAATCCTTTGCAAGTCAGCCCAAGAAGTGGTTGGAGATGGCACAGAAAGAAACACATCTAACATAATCAATGGAAGCTGTTGTAATGATCTAGCTGAATGTGCGTGCGGTACCACTAGTGGTCATTACGCCTGGCTCTGTCCGGTTGGATATTATGGGTCTGGACTCAGAGGAAATTGTTACCGTAAGAACCAAAATCGATCATAAAAAATTGCATTTGTTAATTTGCATTTATCTCTTAAACGAGTGGTTCTAGAAGAAAACATAAGAAGACCTTCTTTGTAGCTGATAAAATTTTCTACAAAAAAGTCCTTAGAAGTTTTTCTCTAAAACATATAATTATCGAGATAACCTCATTAAACGAAACGCAAAAAACTATGATCATCTTTCTTCACCTTCAGCCTGTCCAAACCGCACCTACGGGTACTCAGAAACCCCAGGGGACTCCTTCTCCAACTGCCATCCCTGCCCTAGTCCCAACCACATAACCCTGAAAACCCCTGCCACTTCCCCTCACGACTGCATTTGCGCCTCAGGCTTCATTTCAAATGGCCCTACATGTCAACCGATCACCTGCCCCAAGCTGAAGGTTCCTGAGAATGGTTACCTAGTAAAAGCGAATGCCTGTAACAATATGGTGAACGCAGTCTGCGGTCTTCGCTGTAAGATTGGCTTTAAACTGATTGGAGACAGCATAAGACTCTGCGGAAGGGACGGCAATTGGTCAGGAATAGAAGCCCAATGTCTCCTGAAGACATGTTCAGTGTTGAAAGCACCGCCTAACGGGGAAGTTGAATGCGAGTATGACGAAGAGTATGCGAACCAGAAATTTCCGAAACTTGACGCTTCTGCAATGCCGATCGACACCAAGTGTCAATTCAAATGCAGTCAGGGGTATCAGCTGCTGGGCAGCAAAGTCAGGAATTGTCTTCCTGTCTCTAGGTGGGATGGGCTTAAGGTGACATGCAAACAGATCAAGTGTGAATCGTTGAAGAACATTGCTCATGGACTCGTCACACCTGATACCTGTCTATCTATGAAGAAGCTACCTTTCGGAACTGTCTGCAATGTGTCTTGCGAAGAAGGCTTCGTTCTTCAGGGACCAGCGGTCAGAAAATGCACGGGAAACGAACGCAACGGGAGGATTGTGGAGTGAGAGACACAGTGTTACTAAGTGCGTTGATAAGACACCTCCGGTGATCAGGTGTTCTTCTAATTCAACTTGGAAAACTGCACCTGGGAAAAGATACTCTTTGCCCAGATGGGAGGAACCTCAAGTGAGTGATAACAGTGATGAGAAGGTGCAAGTTTGGACGAAACCACATTTGAAGTTTCCTTGGAAGGCGAAAATTGGACTGCAGGTGGTGACTCACGTCGCGCAGGATGCCGCGGGGAATCGTGCCAGGTGCAGATTTAGTGTCGAAACTCTAGGTAAGATTGGGAATCCTATTTTAGAAAAATGGAGAGTGAAGTTGGACTCCGCCTTTCAAATTTCCCGCCTTCCCCTGCGCTTTATATATGCGCGTGCGGGGTGTGCGCAGTGAGTTGCGCAGTTGCGTCAAAAGTAAAGTCACAGCATTATATCTGTGCGTTCGCAATTCAGGAATGAGTGTGAGGATTAGTTTTTTTTTTAATCAATGGAGGACATTAATATGTTATTAAGAAGAGAAAAAAGGAAGTCCAATCGTATTAGACTTAATTATTCTCAAAATATATATGGAACATAATCACTGATGTTGCATTCATGTTGACATTCTTCTTGTTCGATATTCTAGATGAAGAACCACCTCAAGTTCAAAACTGCGTCAACCACATATGAGAGGAATATCGGGATATTCCTCTCCACAAACCCTGCGGGTGCATCCAACATCACCTGGGACGATCCAGTATTCCTCGACAACTCCGCAAAACCCGTGATAATCACAACATCCCATGATCAGGGAAGCTTCTTTCCGATCGGCACGACCAGCGTCACCTACACCGCGAGGGATCTCAGTAAAAATATCCTCCAATGTGTCATAAATATCACAGTGCAGAACGTCTGCGAAGAACCCCCTCCCTTATCAAACGGTCACTTGACTTGCGAGGAATCATCCTCCGACGGTGCTCAGTGCGTCATCACCTGTGACGAGGGGTACGTCTTTCCCCTGACACCTTCAGCTAACGCTATGGACCAAGTTGTCCTCTCCTGCAGTGCCCAAAACATCTGGAACCACTCCCTACCGTCATCCTGTTTGATAACAGAGATTCCAGGATCGGTCGAATCCACAGGAACTATCATCCTGGAATCCTCAGAGATCTGCTCGAACTCTTCTCTCCTTGAATACCTGAAAATCAAAATCCATCAGGATCTAGCCACCAACCTCCCTGATCAATGTTCCGCCAACGGCCTCGACTGCCACCCCTCCTACCTAGACCTGGACTGCACGGAATCCCTTCCGGCGACCACCAAAATCCTCAGGAGGTCTCTCCCCTTCAGACCGGCGAAGCGAAGACGCGATAGGATCGAGATAACTTTTCGAATCCTCAGTCGAATCATCTCGGAACATCGAAGGGACCCCGAGGGGGGCATCCAGAGGCTCCGCAATGAGCTTCTGAGCCTGACGAGATCAGGCAAATTAAACCTTTTAAACGAGAAGACCAACCAAGAGATAGCTAACTTAGTACTGAACCTGAAGACTCTGTTTGACACTGATATCAAGAATGTCTGTGACCCCGGGAAGGTCATGAGAAGGTTCAAGTGTGTTAAATGCCCCATGGGGACTTTCCATAATGTCAACCGGGGGTCCTGCCAAGCCTGCAAACTGTCCGAGTACCAGGATAATCCCGGTTCGACTTTCTGTCAGAAGTGTCCAAGAAGCATGTCGACGAGGAGAATGCACTCGACCAGTCGACATGACTGTGTGAATACCTGTCAACCAGGATATTATTCTAGACGAAGATATCACAAGGATCAGAGGATGTCTCTGGAGCCTTGCACCCCCTGCGGCATAGGATTCTATCAGCTTCTCCAGGGGGCGACAGCATGTGCCATCTGTCCCACCAACACTACGACAGACTTTCCAGGATCTGTGGACCTCCAACAATGCAGATCGATCGAGCCTCCTGACCCCTGCGAACCCGACTCCTGCCTTAATAATGGAACCTGTATTCCTGGAGGGTTTGGTTTCTGCTGCGAGTGTCTACCTGAATTTACCGGATCGCGATGTGAAAGCATCAGAAACTTCTGCGAGTCGTCACCGTGTCTGAACGCAGGGACCTGCCAGTCCATCGAGACATCTTACGTCTGTAGTTGTCCTGAAGGCTTCACCGGCTTCACCTGCGAGACCTACATCGACGAGTGCTCGTCCAACCCCTGTCAGGATAACTCAACCTGCATCAGCACGGAAACAGACTTTCATTGCCACTGTCTCGACAACTTCGGAGGTGAATTCTGTGAGATTTCCTTGGATCTCTGTCAACCAGGCACCTGCGAGGAAGGCTCCACCTGTATCATCATTAACAACACCTGGACCTGCCTCTGCAAGCCAGGATTCCTCGGTCGTCACTGTGACCTCGTCCCTTGTGACTGGTTACCCTGTCATCCAAACGCTATGTGCATCGATCTCGGGGAGATCAATGCCACTCACGACTCCTTCAGGTGTGATTGTCCACCTGGATTCCAGGGGGAGAACTGTCTCACCAGAATCGACCACTGCGACAATTCCCCCTGTCAAAATTCAGGGATCTGCATCAACAATCTAACTAATTTCACGTGTAGTTGTCCGCTGGAATATGATGGTCTCACCTGCGAAGTTAAGTTATCTTCAGACTACTTACTGACCTTTGTAGAGCCTGGAACGACGAATTTTGTCCTGCTTGATGGACCCGAAGAGGATCTACGAGAATTTACCATCTGCCTCTAGATCCAGTCGAGGGATACCTTCAATTACGGAACTGTCTTCTCTTATGCAACAGCAGGTGAAGAGAACAACATCACCTTAACCGACTACAATGGACTGGTTATCTACGTTAATGGAGAGAAAGTGATCACGGATATCAGCCTGAATGATGGATTCTGGCATTTCGTATGTGTAATTTGGGAGATCGAAGGAACCTGGTCTATCTACGTTGATGGAGTGCTTGAGGAGCACGGTCAGGATCTCTCTTCAGGGTTTTTCATCCCTGCAAATGGAACTATTGTGATCGGGCAGGAGCAGGATTATCTCGAGGGGGGTTTCTCAGCGTCTGAATCCTTCCTGGGGATGCTGACTCTGCTGGATGTGTGGAAAACAGCTTTAGATGAGAATATCGCTCAGAGCATGAAGGAGCACTGTGAGGATTACTCAGGATCGTTGATCCCCTGGTCTATTATGAGAAAACGTCTCCATGGAAATGTGAGGATTCTGGTGAGTCCGTTCTGCCGCGGATGTACGTCACCACCAGCTCCTGCGAGGGGATACGTTAAACTGAGTGAAGATGGACTGAATGCTGTGTATTTTTGCGAACGTGGCTATCAGTTCCCCAGAGGTCGAGTCCTCGGCAACTCGTACTACTTCAACGACGAGATCTTCTACACCTGCGAGGAGGGCTACGATCTGTGGGGAAATCCCCACAGGGTCTGCAGCGCAGACGGCCGCTGGACCGGCCGCCCTCCGATCTGCATCGGCGTCACCTGCAAGAACCTCCTGGCACCAGTGAACGGAGACATCGAGTATATCATCGAGGAACATGAGCGAGACGACATCACCATCCTTCAAGTTGGTCAGCAACTAGACTTCAAGTGCAATCCTGGGTTTAAACTCGTGGGGGAGAGGATTCTAACGTGCTCTGAAAACGGTTTCTGGGACCACGAGGTGCCTGAATGCATCTCCATGGGCTGTCATCTACCAACAATTCCTGTTGTCATCCTCAATGTCAGTTTGGAGATCTCCAATGAGACCTTTTTCGTACATGATGAGGTGCTCGAGGTGTCCTGCGCCCCTGGATTTCCCTTTAGAGATGCTTTGCAGAAGCACTTCCTGAAATGTTCTCAGGATGGCACCTGGAATTCCACCTCTGATTGTCGACCCGCCAGGTGTCCAAGACCTACAATCCCTCATGGGGAGATCGTAAATCATATTGAAGACGCTGCACCTGGAGGAAACCTGTCCTTTCAATGCGAGGAAGGTTTCAAAGCCCTTCCAGAAGAGATCGTCTGTAAGGATGATGGCACCTGGTCGACGACCCCTGAATGTCGACCATTGAAGTGCCCCGGGGTCTCGATCCACCCGATAGCCTCTCTCTTCATCAACAAGTCATTATCAACGAGAGTTGATCAGTTCACCCTAGCCATCGAGGGGGACAAACTCGGGGACAATTTGATGCTTCGTTGCAGAGACGAGTCAAAGCAGCTGATTGTCAATGACACGAAGTATCAGAACGTCTCCTGGAGGTGTGGGGAGGACGAAGAATGGATACTTCAGCCCCTCCCAGGGGCTTTCCTCGATGACGAGGGGTTGAAGAAGTTGTTGCTGACTGAGGATTTGTGCGAGGGGAGGTGTCCACCCCCTATGGCTCCAGCAAACGCTGTTCTAGTTCCCTCGAGTATCACTGAGTGGAGGGTCAACGTGACTGTCAATTATGTCTGCAAACCTGGGTTCGTCCTCCAGGGGCTGGCGACAGCGACCTGCACCCCCTCAGGAACTTTGTCTGGGCTGTCTCTCTGCAGACCCATTGAATGTGACGATCCCCCGAAGGTGACGAATGCTGAGGTGATCCTGGGGTCCAACCATTCTCATCATGCTGTCGGGGATGTGGTGACTTATCAGTGCCTTCAGGGGTTCAGGATGTTTGGGCAGAGGAGCTCGAAGTGCCTGGAGTCCTCTAAATGGAGCAGGGTCCAAGGACAGTGTTCGAGGATCTCCTGTGGGAAACCAAAGGTTTCGGAGGGGGTGAAACTCGAAGGGAAGTCTTATCTTTACATGGAGGAACTGGGGTATGACTGTGGGGGCGGGAGGAAGGGGGTGATGAAGTGTCTGGAGGATGGACTTTGGAGTGGAATTCCTGATTGTTGAAAAGGAGTTTTGGTTTTGGGGAAATGTGAGATGAAATTCCCCTCCATCAACCGAAATTGACATTTCCTTCAATAAATAATTATTCGTTATATGTACTAAATGATTCCACACAATTAGAATGAATGAATTGATTTAATTAATCAATTGTGTCTTTTAATTAATTAAAAATATACATTTGGGATACAAATGTAACAAATTGATATACAAATTCAAATACGATGAAATTTGAAATTTTTTATTATTTATAAATACTCGATTTATTCTTTCACTCTGCATTCTCACTCGCCAATCGATAATTATAAACACTGATACTGGCATTCGATTGTATCATGATAATATGGATGAATTAATTGTAACATTGAGCTAAATGAGAGAAATGAGAAGACTAATGGAGGAAATTATGAAAGAATTATGGATTTAATCAAGTCTTCATAGTTCGGTTTTCGATGGGCTGGAGTACTGTGGTTTGAGCTCCTCAATTCGCTTGATGAAGTCGGTTTTTTCGATGCAACCCTCACAGCTCTCGTCCCAGTCGTTGAGGATTTTCTTGAGATCACGGACTTTCAGTTTTTTCAGGTCTACTGTGTTCAGATCAATTTGTTTTTCTGCAATTGTAAATTGAAAAAATGAGGGATTTCAATAACAAAACGAGGGTCAATGATGAATATTTTGTATTATCACTTCGTCATTATTATTTTATATAAAAAAATAATTTTTTGTAGCTATGTAGCTCCTGTTTTGCATCAGACAAATATTTAATCCTCTTCCAAATCTATTTTTGAGTGAAAATTTGCTCATCTCAGGCAAATTTCTAAATGTCTAATATCAAATATTAAGGATATCCAAGTACTTTGACTTTTTTTTCTCTAGTGAAAGCTTTTTTACTTTTGTAGTCAAACATCAGAGCTTTCATTTGAGCCCCATTAACCCAACGTTTCTAGACATTTTAAAATGATTTTATTATTTAAACTTTGCAGGTCTGAATTTGAATTTCGATATTGAATCGTTACAAAAGATTGTAAAAATCTGAAAAAAATTGGAGAGTCCAATTCTAGAGGATGATTGATGAAATAATTAAAAAATTGCAATTTTTTAAAATTACGAGCATTTTCTATAAATAGAAATCGTAAAAAATTTATTCATATTCTAAATTTCACCAAAAATCGTTTTCATACCTAAAAAAATTAAGTTTCCGTCATAAACAACGAATGTTTAAAAAAATAATTCTTTGCAAAATGTTTTTTTTTTTCAAATTTTTTTCAGGCAATTTAATTTACAAATTTGATGGTTGACAATGGTTGAATCTATAGTTTTACTTAATTGAAAAATATACTTGGATATCCTTAATATTGTTTAATTTCAAAACATCTACATACCAAATCTAAGATCACAAATTTGCGCATCTTTTTTCTTCAGTTTCTCGCAGATTTTATCAGCTGGCAGTGACCAAGAGAGTGGTTTGCTCAGTTCACCCAAAATGCCAGTGGCTGATTCTTCCAAACCACCTAAATAGTAACACTGCAAAGTAAAAAAAAATGAGATCATCTCCGTGAGAATTCAACTAATGAATAACATAATGAATATTTCTTCAATACTCACAAATCTATTCTCTTTGGATTTCGAACCCTTGCAGAATTTCTTGAACTCATCCTCAATTTTTTTCGGGTCTTTCTTGACATCATCGCTCAATGTTGCAGCGAATTTCTTAACTGTTGCTACACAAACTGTTGGAGATTGAATTTTATGAATGAGTTTTAGGAGTTGAAGTTTTTATTTCGTGATTTTTATATCTTCGATGATAGACTTACCCTCGCATTCTCCTTCTTTGAGTGCTGACGCTTCAAAAACTATTCCTAGGATCACAAGGAGGGATATTAACGTAACACGCCACATCTTGATATTTTTATTACAAATCTGCAACAATCAAAAGTAATTTCATAACTATTCACATAAATTAAGTCAGTACGCCAATGATTGATTTTCAATCAATAATTAATAACTCGAGACTGGCAGAGTGAAATTCGATGAGTTTGATCTCATTTTCAAGATCTCTTTTTCCAATCTTCAAAATGAGAACTAACTCGTCCAAATCGCATCGTTTGGTCAGCAAATATTGAAGATTGAAAAATGTCGTTTGGGTACATTCTTCACGAAATCAAGTTTATAGTCTTTGTTAACTCTTTAATTATCTCGATAACAAATGATTACAGGAACAAATATCAAAAGACAGTTTTTGTAGCTCATGAAATTACCCACAAAACACGTCTTCTGATATTTTTTCATAAAATTACTTATCACAAAGATAATCAACAATTCATTCATCTCCCGACGAAATTCTGGAAAAATCGATTTCTAATGCATCTGTCAACAAAAAGGAACAACAAACCCAAATTTCTAACATTCGTACTAATAATTTAAATGAACCATACTCCAGCTGCTCCAAAACATCTAATAATCCCAGTTTTCACAATAAAATCCTTAAAAAACTAAAAATTCTCAACAAAAACTTAAAAATGTCTTCTAACCGAAATGCTGACAGGTTATGATAATCGGATAAATCACTGGATTCCCCTTTTCTGTGAAAACTCGACAGTTCAAGGCCACTCGAGGCTATCGCGAATATCGATTGATTTGTTTATCGAAATATAAATACCCATAAACAATGTTAACACTGAAATAACAATAATCCTCCTGTTACTTTTGCGATAATCAGTTTTATACCACGTGGAATTCTGTCATAAACCATTCACAAAATCAAATTACGAATGTTTGTTAACTGTCCAATTATCCCGATCACAGGAAAAAATATCAAAAGACCTTTTTTGTAGTTCATGAAATTATCCACAAAACACGTTTTCTGACATTTTTCGATAAAATTACTCATCACAAAGATAATTAACAATTTATTCATCTCCCGACGAAATTCTGGAAAAATCGATTTCTAATGCATCTGTCAACAACGAGAAACAACAAACCCAAATTTCTAATATTCGTACTAATAATTCAACTGAACATACGCCGGCCACTCCAAAACGTCTAATTATCCCAGTCCTCACAATAAAATCCTTAAAAAACTAAAAATTCTCAAAAAAAAACTCCAAAATGTCTTCTAACCGAAATACTCACAGGTTATGATAATCGGATAAATCACTGGATTCCACGGTTCCCCTTTTCCGCGAAAAATAGACAGTTCCAGGCCACTGGAGTCTATCCCAAATATCGATTGATTTGTTTATCGAAATATAAATACCCATAAACAACGTTAGCACTCACAAATAACAATCGTCCTCCTCCTTCTGTTGCTTTTGCAATAAGCGGCTTTATACCACGTTGAATTCTGTCAAAGCCCCGAAATCCCAGCTGGCGCTCGCCAATTGGCTGATGAAACGTCGACGTTAGACATCTCCCATTGGTCCACGGTCAATATGTACAGTTTATCATTATCGTGACGTCATGCAAATTGACTATACCTAATTGCACATTCGGCCCCCTTCAGGGCAGATTTAGAACTTTGTTCATCGCAGCATAAACAAATACTCCAAAACAACAAATGAAATGAAATGTTTTTTTTTTGTTGATTGCAACACATGAAGTGATAAGAATTAAACTAGTGCATTGATTGTTTCTAGAATTGATTTTAATAATTCAGGAGGAGAATCAAAGAATAAAAATAAGTGAGAGTGATCGTGAGGGTTATAAACATAAAGGTAATATGCAATTAATAATAAAATGATAATTGAATAAATGAATAAGGACCGCTTTTAATGTTCAATAACTTGAGATCGGTAGAGTGAAATTAAAGAATTTTTCTTTCATTTTGAAAATATTTTTTTAAGCTTCAAAATGAGCCCTGATTAATACAAATGGCATCATTTGATCAGAAGATTTTGATGATTGAAGCAGGTTCACTTCACCTTGACATTCTCTAGAGTAAAATCAGTTTTATGATAAATTTGCATTTTAAGGCCCGGGTGGATTATCTTTCGATCGCCATCTCGATTTTTTTTCATCTTCATAATGTAAATATATCACAATTTCCATTGTGATTAAATATCACGCAGTAGTCCCTAAGAATTATTATTGTCCAATGAAAAAAGTAGAAAAGAAATAGAACATTTTCAAAGAGGGTTTTTAATCAAGATTAAGAAATAAGTCCGATAGAGAGGACATTGTGAATGGATAATTTATCATATGGCAACTAACGATCTGACAGCCATTGACTACTGTGACAAACGACAACCTAACAGCCATTAGATACATCAAATTATTAATTTGCAATTTCCTCCCTATTGGGTTTATTCCCTAATATTATTCAAAAACGCTTTTTGAAAATGTTCACCTTTTTTTCAACGTTTTTTTTCATTGTACATTGTACAATCATAATTTTTGGAGACTCCAGGGCGATGTAAACCTGAATAGCAATTGGAGATCATTTCAGATTATCAAAATAAAAAAAAACAAAATCATGTTCGAAAGACAATCCAGCCGAGCCTTAAACACAATTTTTTCAGAGACTGAAATAGTTTTCAACATCGAAAATGGATAATTTGTTTGGAAAAGATGACTCTGAGAACGAAAACGAAAATATTGAAATAGGGAATAACAAGGATTCAAACAGAGACAGTGATGTTGGGGTTTCTGATAAGGATGATATGATTGACGTTGAGGAACATGAGATCAAGGTAAATAATTGTGGTAATAATTTAGCAATAAAAAAGTGCTTGTGAACACATGAATTTTTTCCCCAGAATTAAAACGACAATTGAATTTTAGTTTTGAGGCTTTCGCGGCCATTATTAATGACGTGGTTGGCTTCCGGATGGATGCCGCGTTGAGTTTCAGCATTGCGCCGACGTTTCGCAAACATTGCAGTCTGCATCTTCAGGGCTATGAGCTCCGATTCTGAGCTCCGATGTGTGGGGGCAGTCCTTATATACCTTCCCTTGTGGTGGTGGGAGAAGGGGAAGGGGGGGGGGGCAGCCAATCATATGTTTTTAATTGATCAGCTGGTCAATTAAAAAACCGGGAGGACGGTTTTCCAAATGGGGTTCACTTGATATCCTCTGTCCCTGTTGAGGTTGTTAGGGTTTTTATGGATCTCCAAACCCTCTCGGTATTTCCTTTCGAAATACCCTTGAGACTTGGCCAGCATTTTGGCTTGGTCGTAGTGGATAGTATGTCCAGTATCCATCCAGTGTTCAGCCAGGGCAGACTGTTCTAAGTGACCGTATTTGGAGCACCGCTGGTGTTCTTTGATCCGTGTACTGATCTTCCTCCCGGTTTCTCCAATGTACACTTTCCCGCATGAGCAAGGGATCTCGTACACTCCTGGTGTACTCAAGGCTGGTCTTGGATCCTTCGCGCTCGGCAGCATCTGTCCGATCTTCTTTGGGGGTTGGAAGATCGTTCGGATGTTATGTTTACCGAGTACTCTGCTGATGCGTTCTGTTGTGCCTCTCAGATAGGGGAGGAGGGCCATTTTAGGTCTTTCCTGGTTTTCCTCAGGAACAGTCTCCTCTTGGAGAGATGAGAGCTTGCTCTGTAGCTTTTGCTTGACCTTTCGAATTTGTTGGATGTTATACCCATTCGTGGTCAGAGCTGTCTCAAGATGTTCAACTTCACTGTCAACGTTTGAGGGTTGAGAAATTGTAAGTGCTCTATACATGAGAGAGCTGATAACGGAGTGTTTCTGGGAGGGGTGGTGATGGGAGGTAGCATTGAGATACCTGCCTGTGTGTGTTGGCTTGCGATATACTTGGTGGCCCAGAGTGCCATCCTCGTTGCGCCGAACCAGAACATCCAGAAAAGGAAGACATCTGTCCTGCTCAATTTCCATGGTGAACTTGATGCTCGTGTGCTGATTGTTCAGGAACTCCTTCCCCTTCTCCCACCACCACAAGGGAAGGTATATAAGGACTGCCCCCACACATCGGAGCTCAGAATCGGAGCTCATAGCCCTGAAGATGCAGACTGCAATGTTTGCGAAACGTCGGCGCAATGCTGAAACTCAACGCGGCATCCATCCGGAAGCCAACCACGTCGACAATTGAATTGATGAATTTTAATTGATAATTTTTTTAAAGACTGAATTGGATAGTTCTGGAGCAGAAGCAGCATCTGATACCGATCTGGGTCCTTCTAAAGATCTCCCCACGTCTCTCACGACAGACAAACGACCCCCAGAATCCAGGGACAGCAGCAATGAGTCCTCTAGGATGGAAATAGACAATAGTAGAGACAAAGTAGTTGATGATTTGTTTCATTCGGATATCGTTCTTCCTCAAGCATCACCAGTTGTTGTGAAGGAACGACGAGAGAGCAAGGAGAAGAACAAGAGGGAGCTTGAGGAAGAGGAGCGAGAGAAAATGCAGTAATTATCACAATTTTCAAAGAATCAATGTCATTTTTTAATCAATTTTTTTTTCAATTGTTAATCTGCGATATTTCCATCGATTTCGTTAGAGTTTTAGTTTCTAATTTCACTGAGGATCAGTTGGATCGATATGAAATGTACAGGAGAGCTGCATTCCCTAAAGCAGCGATAAAGAGAGTGAGTAAATAATTTTCTCATGGATTTGAAGAGGTACTTTATTGACGAATTTGAGATTTATGGTTAGCATAATTACATTTTTAGGGGAAAATGTAAGATTTTTTGAATGAAAATATATTTTTTTGTTACTGATGAAATTTCCTGCGCAAAATGTCTCATCACAATTTCAAGATCTGAACAATTAAATAATTCACAGATTATGCAGACAATAACAGGATGTTCAGTCTCGCAGAATGTCGTAATTGCGATGTCGGGTATTGCTAAAGTATTCGTTGGTGAGATTGTGGAAGAAGGTAAATAATTTAATTGTTCTTAAGATTGAAAAAAATTTGTTTTTAAAAGAAGAACAAAAATTTTTTTTTCGAACATTAAAAAAATTTTTTTTATTTGAGATTAAAAAACAAATTTATTATTTTTCATCAGCTCTGGATGTAATGGAGGCCAACAATGAGACTGGTCCCCTCCAGCCAAAGCATCTTCGAGAGGCTGTTCGTAGACTGAGATGTCAGGGACAGATACCCACTGGAAAAACGAGAAAAGCATTCTTCAGGCTCTAAATCTATTTTAATCCGTCAGCTGATCTATTGTTCTAATTTAAACAATTATAAAAAACAACTATGGAATAACTTTTTAAGACAGTAGAAACTTTTCACACAATAAAAACCATTATTATATCCAAATAAATGTCGTTTTTATTGTTATTAATATTCCATAAAAAATTATTTGATACTGAATATTTACTGTAATTAATATTTATTATTCATTGCTTTTGATAAACATTTTTGGATTAATCATTCCATTGATTTTCTTCATTGAAAATTTTAAAAAAATCTGCAATAAGTAATTTTTTAATGGGAATCGTTTTTAAAAATTATTTTTATTTCAAGTTAATGTCGTTTTTATTATTATAATTTTTTTCTTCTCGTATACCCTTTCGGGTCTTTACAATTTGTTCCCTTCCCACCCCCCCTAACCTCCTGTACCGCATTCGCCGAAGGACAAGGGAAAACCTCATTTGAGGGAAAAACCTGCCCAGGTACAGTCGTCTCTTGCGAGACTCCTGCTCAACAATGAAACCGTGAGATTTAGAGTATCGATACTATAATGAATATTTATTATTCATCGTTATTGATAAACATTTTTGGATTAATCATTCCATTGATTTTCTTCATTGAAAAATTAATTATTGCAGATTTTTTTTAATTTTTCAATACGAATTGTTTTCTTTTTATGATTTTTATTTCGTTCCGACAATTTTCCCGCTAAAAATGATTGATTCTATTCTCCAACCGTCACTGGCGCACGCCAAACTGTAAACATAACCTTGAGAACGTCCAGAGTCCGGCAAATAACCTCTCAAAACACAAATAAGACTTTTTTTAATGATTATTTAGTGATTTATTCACGTGAAATAAAAAATGTTCGAGGCGCACAGTTTGAACGCTGAGCACAAAGACTTGATTCATGACATTGCCTACGATTTTTACGGCCAGAGAATGGCCACTTGCTCCAGTGATCAATTCGTGAAGGTCAGTTCTTCAATGTTTTCATTAAATTTAAATGAAAATGAAAAAAATTAAGGAAACAAATTTATTTTTTTTTGCATGAAAAACTATCTTTGGGGTTTATTCCAGGTTTGGGACGAGGATGAGCACGAAAATTGGCACTTGACAGCCTCCTGGAAGGCGCACAGTGGATCTGTGTGGAAAGTCACATGGGCACATCCCGAATTCGGCCAAGTCCTCGCGACCTGTTCCTTCGACAGAACTGCAGCTGTTTGGGAAGAAATAGGTAATTAAAGCCAATTAACTAGAGATCGGTAGAATGAAAATGGGCAATTTTTTTTCATTTTAAAGATATTTTTTCCAGCTTTAAAATTAAATTTGACTCATCTAAATCGCATCTTTGAGTCACGAGATATTGATGATTTACGGATGTCAATTTTGCCTCTCTCTATGCTGCACTAATAATTTTCAAGGGGAATTCCTTTGTGTTATTGTTGTTAATTTTAATGCGCAGATGATTTGATTTGCAGTTGGAGAGGGCTCTGGGCCTGGAGAACGTGGCATGAGGCACTGGGTACGACGAACAAACCTGGTGGACTCACGTACCTCTGTAACAGACGTTAAATTTGGCCCAAAAACACTGGGACTTGTTTTGGCCACATGCAGTGCAGACGGGGTAATTAGGATATACGAGGCACCTGATGTTATGAATTTGAGCCAGTGGACACTGCAGCATGACATCAGTTGTAAATTGTCGTGCAGTTGTATCACTTGGAATCCATCATTATCTAGGTATCCATTAATCAAAACAAAATCATTTTGTTTCTGCAATATTTTTTGCATTGAAGAATTGACAAATTTTTTTCTTTGAAGAGAAGAACTTCGTAAATTTATTCTATAAATTTTCCATAAATTTTTTCTTACTTCAAAGATTTACCTCATTTTTTTATTAATAATATCTCTAGTGATTGTTTAATTTCCATGCAAATTACGTCCATTTTTGTATTGCAAAATTGCCAGCAATTTTTATAAAGAGAACGTATAGATTTGTTCAATTGATTAATTTTTCACAGAAAATTCTTCACATGAAAAATTTAAGCATTCATTAAATGAATCTCTATTGAGTTGTTTGATCAATTCATTTTTTCGTTGATTAATCCTTCAATTTTTTGCAAATTGCATTTTTTAATTAAAAAAATTACGTCATTGTTTATTAAAAATATCTCTAGTGATTGTTCAATTTTCATGCAAATTACGTCCATTTTTGTATTAAAAAATTGCCAAAAAATTTTGTGAAGAAAAGAACTTATAGATTTGTTCAATTGATTGATTTCTCACAGAAAATGCTTTACATAGATGTGACGTATTGGGATCGACCAATACGTCGATTCAATAAATAAGCACATTATACTGAATAATAATGGTTGATAGGAACGAGAAATGTGATTTCCCTTTCCTGTCAACCAAAGATTGGTCAGCAGTCCCACGGTGTCATTTGGACATCGTGGTAAGCAGTCCCATGGTTTATGCAGGTCCAGGTCGGGTATGATAAACTGTTTGACCGTGTTAGTCTATGTCAATGATGACCCAAGACAATATTAGTGAGAAAAACCGTGAGACTGCTTAGATCAGTAAACTGGGGCTTTGACGAGTTTTGAGGACTCTGGAAGCACGAGAGTACGATCAGGAGCACAACAGAGCGGATCCCTGAGCTTGGGCCTTAAGCCATACAATCGCGTCAAAGTCCCAAGTTTGAGTCGCGAACAATTTAGCAAAGCGTATACCAACCCAAGTCGAACCAATAGCGTGTACCACTATCGGTTTTAATATATCGTCCTTTTATGTATTAAGCACGTGAGTGGTTATTGAGAACTTCACCCTTCATATCCTTCGTCCAACATCCCTCCGAGTGAGCGAATCCCCCGTGAGCTCACCGCCGAAGCTAGTCAAGGTCGGAGTGACAACCAAACCAAATATCAAAAGAATAAAAATAGTGAAAGATTTTTAATTGAGTTTAACACACGGGTTAAACGTCCAAACGTCACATAAAATTTTTTAAGCATTCATTAAACGGAATCTCTATTGACTTGTCTGATTAATTAATTTTTTCCTCGATTAATCCTTAATTTTCCTGCAGATTGCATCCCCCGATGATTGCAGTGGGCAGTGACGACTCTAATACATCATCAGGTGGTAAAGTATTCATATACGAGTATTCAGAGAACAGCAGACGATGGACTAAAACCGAAACACTGTCGAACGTTGTCGATCCAGTCCATGATATTGCATTCTCGCCTAATCTGGGTAGAAGTTTCCACACATTGGCTATTGCCACGAAAGACGTGAGGATTGTGAGCTTGAAGCCACTTCAGTGAGTAATTTCATTGACAAATGAAATTATTTTTTTCCATGATGAGTTCCACAAATCGACTTAACTGAGTTTTCAAGGAATATCTCTCAATCTAAAGGAGATAACGAAATTGCCGTCGTGACGTTCTTTGTAGCCTTCAATCTGCTCTACAAAAAAGGTTATGACAAAAATTTTGCTATCTCCCCTAGATTTCGAGATATGAATTGAAAACTGGCCGGCAATCAAAAACGACTTGAGCAGTTTTCCTGCATCGCTTCTGAATTAATTGAATTCTGATCCTTCATTTCATTTTCCCACGAAACAATGTCAAACAATGTCACTGACAAGAGGAGGGATTAGCAGATAATTTAAAAGACTGTTTAAATGGTGACAGCTGCTATCTCTTATACACTTATATTGTATTATATTGCAATTTATTTATTTTTTTCTTTCTTTTGTAAATAGTTGCTAATGACCACGTTGTCGATGCGACTAGAAATCAGTAGCGAAGTGGTAAAACGGTATAAGTCAATTTTGACTATTGACCAGTTTTCAATGAATATCTCGGAATCTGAGGGAGATAGCACAATTTTTGTTGTAAACTTTTATGCAGAGCTGACTGAGAGCTATAACAAATGTAATTACAAAAATTTCGTTATCTCCCTTAGATTCCAAAATATTCCTCAAAAACTCAACGGGGATATAAGTTGACTTGAACCGCTTTACCACTTCGCTACTGAAATGAATTAATTAAAACAAAAATGTCACTGAATTCATCATTAAATTCAATAAATGATTTCGTCCCAGGGATAACGCACACAGTGGTCTCTCCCGTTTCGAAATAAAAACAGTTCAGTTTGACGATCACTACTGCACAGTCTGGCGCGTCTGCTGGAACATAATGGGCACAATTCTGGCCTCATCAGGCGACGACGGTTGTGTTCGTCTCTGGAAAGACAATTACATCAATGAATGGAAGTGCGTGGCTGTTCTCAAGGGCGATGGTACGTCAGCGCAGACAGCTGAAGTACCACAGATTGCCACACCCCCAGGACACAGTACTGGTGTTCAATTGCCACTGTCAACCACCAGGTACATTAAATTGGGATCCATCAGCCATCCTAACCAAGTTCCCTGGCACTAGCCCTCAACCTCTAGTTCAAATATTCCCAGTCTGCGTTAATTTTCTAACTTCTTTTTCTGTTTTCTCCTGTATCGAGTCATTCTACAATTTTTAGATCATCTCATTCTCCCCTTGATACTTGTAATTAAACCGAAGTGAATAAATTTTTTTTCTGACATTTGTTCTTTTATTTTATTTGCAACAAAAAGATTATTTGAAAGTTTATTGTTTCGAAGAACTGCATACGATTCGTTCGTTTTTATTTTAGTATTTTATTCGATGAGAAATTGTTTCAAAGCGTACTGAAAGATCAAAATGAAACTCTGAAATTTACATTTGCGAAAAATATTGGAACGATTGATGCTTTTATAATTATTTCAGCTGCAGAATTGCAGTCGTTGCGAACGAGACGGTGGAGAAATCCACAGCAACTTGCACACTGTCAGCGACTAACAAGTCCCAACAGCCAGTGATGAAGGGTCGTTTTAGCAAAATTACGTGGGTGGGAAATCCCAGTGAAATGACGTTACCACCCCTCATTCATGAATATTCACGAGTTAAAAAGTGAAAACTCGGCAACTTTTGGGATTTAATCTCTTCAACTTTGAGATTATCGCCTGACGTTTCAAGTTAATTACCGAAGAATGCACTCAATCTTTCATGATGCAATCATCTTAATTTATGAAAAATTTCCAAACACGAATAATAAAATCATTTTTTCTGGAAGTTTTTTTATCTAGAATTTCAGCGGAATAATGAAACCCGCGAAACATTTAATTGAATAAAAACGATTATTTATTTTAGAATATTTGCAATATGTAAAAAAAATTAAAGGAAAAACAAGATTACGCATTAATTTAAAGGTACATCGATTTTCCTTGCATAATACTAAGCTTAGGATGAGAATTCCTGTTTTAATTTTCTTAAAACTCGTTGATGCAATATATCGGCGCCTGTGTCAATGGTTCTCGGTTTAAATAATTGTGCGAAATGACATTACCACCCTCATTCATGAATACCCACGAGTTAAGAAGCGAAAACTCGACAACTTCTGGGATTTATTCTCTTCAACTTTGAGATTATCGTCTGACGTTTCAAGTTAATTATCGAAGAATGCACTCAATCTTTCATGATACAACCATCTCAATTTATGAAGAATTTCCACACACGAATAATATATTTCTTTGCATGATCTGTCAGCTGTACTTTTTATTCAATAAATGATAATTTCTTTAGCTTATCGATGAGTTTACAATAAACTGGCCGATAAGCCAAAGAAATGATCAAGAAAATTTTTTTCATCTAGAATTTCAGCAAAATGTTTGATAAAAAAATTTAGCGAAATAAGGAAATTCACAAGATATTTAATTGAATAAAAACGATTATTTATTTTAGAATATTTACAATATGTAAAAAAATCAAAGAAAAAACAATATTACGCATTAATTTGAGGGTACATCGATTTTCCTTGCATAATACTAAGCTTAGGATGAGAATTCCTCTTTTAATTTTCTTCAAACTCGTTGATGCAACATATCGGCGTCTGTATCAATTATCCACGTTTTAAATAATTATATTAGATGTACAGGCAGTGAGTCAACAGGTTGGTGCAGCCGTTCAATTCTCCTCGTTCCTTAATCCCATAAAAGAGCGTGGGAGACTTTTCAACATTAACATGACATCGTAAACGCCTTTTCCAATTTTTATGATAGCATTTGCGTCGAAATTCTGCCTCTATTCACTCTCACACACACTCACTATTTACATATTTACGTAGATCCCGGTGTCCTCTTCTATCCTCTGAAGAATTTTCTTTTTGCATAAAAAAAGAACATTCTTTATATTAAAAAATTGTCTATATTTTGCCTTTATTGTTACTGGTTTTCACCGCTAATTTCTCTGTTGACAGTTTTCATTGAACTTTTTTTTTTCGGCCGCTACATTTTAATGAGTTTTTGGGAAAAACGTTTATAAAAAGGTTTTCTAGCTATGAGTACAGGTGAAGGCTTACATAAGTGTTCATTCCCCTTCGTTTATATGTATAAAATCGTATCGCCTTGTTTATATACTCAAAAAAATGAGTTATAGATTTTTTATTGAGAAAATGAAACAATCGATTCGAGAGTGGATTTTTTTTGGGGCTGCGTAGACCTATTGTTTCTCGAATTATTCGCGATCAAGTGGTGATTGATAGCCGGCATGATTTCTCAAAGCACAGATACAACAGTCATAAATTATGCGTATGTGATTTTTTTTCTTTTATTTACAGATAAAGAAATGTTTCATCTGACGTTCTCGTGGGATTGAGAATTTCTGAAGGTTTTCGGGGGTTGAGGGTTGTTGGCGTCCAGCGAAATATCGTTAATAAATTTACAAATGGAGATAATTTGAATTTTTAACAACTTATAATTCCGTAGGCAATGCAGAGAAATTGAAAGTACAGATTCATCAATTTTTGGGTTTTTAAATAGTGAATTATCTCGGTAATGAGTGGTTTTAGAAAACAATGTCACTAGATTTTTTTTGTGGAAAATTTAGGGCTCTACAAAAATTTCTTATGACTTTTTCCCCTAAAACCAGTTATTCCCGAGATAAATCCACATTTATGAAAAAATATGAAATTTAACTTTTTAAAAAATTCAAGCTTTCACATTTCAAATATGGAAATATCTTCCCAACTATCGATTTTTGAAGAAAATGTCACAGGACATTTTTGGAGGAAATTTTCTCGTCTACAAAAAATTGATTATGACATTTTCCCCTACAACAACTCGTTTCCGAAGTAAATTCACTTTTATAAACATCTGCCATAAAGGTTTCCTGTAAAAATCTCGAATTACGAATTGAATTCTGATTATTCATGTTCACTCTAGTGTTTGTGAAATTGTCATTAAGAAAACTGAAAAATGCAAGAGAGTGTTGGTGAAGGGAAATCACTTAAAGAAACACTCAATAAAAATGAGAAAAAAGGTGAAATTAATTAATTTTCTTCTCTCCGGCACTTTCCACCTTGTTTTACGATGAAAATACGTGCTCGAGATTTCAACCAAAGTACAACGTACAACAGAAGTTAATAGAGAAGGAGAGTTTCGTAGGAAACAAGTTCGAGGAGAAATACGAGGACAAAGCATCATGTTTTTGCAAAATATTTCGTGTGAAAGAACCATCAGGTAGCGTTTAATTCCTAGCAATAAAGAACATTTCATTCAACACCACATTCTTCAAATGTTTGTGAATGCGTAAAGCCCCAATTACATCCCAATTTTTTTCCAATTGATTTTCCGAAATAGAAATTCAGAATTTTTAGAATAACTGAAATCAATGATTTTCTTCCACCTTTCAAATGAACATTTCCGGCTAAATGAAGAGATTTAGGAAAAAATGTTGCAACGAATTTGTTCCAAAGAATTTCATGAGCTGCAAAAAGTTTGTATGACATTTTTCTCCAATCCTAATAGTTCCTGAGATATTTGCGAAATAGTGAGGAGGTATTAATTTAAAAAAATCAAATGAAGAGAAATTGTTTCGATTTTTCGATGCATTTTTGTGACGAAACAAAGAGGTTGAGAAAAAAATGTTACAAGATATGTTTTGTAGGGAATTTCATGAGCTACAAAAAGTTCCCGAGCTATTTTTCTCTAACCCTGATGGTTTTCAACATATTCGCGAAATAGTGCGTCATGAATTTCTACTCCCACCATAAAATTCTCATTCTTCGTGCCATTTTCCGCAATCTGTCCAAAGGAGATACAAAATAATGTTCAAATAATAAATTATTTTCCATTTTCAAATATCATGAAATTCGTCATCCAGTGCCCATCACTCCCTCTGACTATTTAACGAACGCATGCTTTTGTATTCCCATTAAAATTTCATTTCGTTCTTCTCAGCTCATAGTTCCTTAATATTTGATGCTCCCATCTCCCATTTTCCTCCCCTCTTTTCACAATCCGATGAAATATCTGTCATATCACAAAGTAAAACTCTGACGACTAACGACTTTTCGCTGAATTACAACAAAATTCGAACCTGCAGACGAAAAATTACGAAATTTTTCCCTCTCACGTCTCTTCAAACCCATTTTGCCCCTCTTTAAATACAGTTAACACTTATATTTACTATGATGACTAATACTATAGTTTACTCATGAAAATAGCAAACCTAGTTATATGAGTGGATACTTTAACGATTTTCCATATCACGAATTTTAACTCACTGAAATTTAGTTGAAAAGTATTTTTAATTATCTTTATCATTTTGTCCATAAGTTTTTAATGCAATAGTCAAGTATTTTCAGTTGCCCAAGAGTCCAAAATTCACCCTCCTCCTTGCTCATATATTCATTTGTAAAAATAAAAAAAGTTTCTTTTTCAATTTTACAACTTGGATAAGTTAACCAATAATGGGATGCGTTTTTTGTTCATAAACAGATTTACAATTTATCGCTTGTGCACTCACATCAATTCCATTAACGGCAATAATAACATTTTTTCCCATAGAATTGATAATATTCTATTATTCTGTTGAGAATTCGTAACTGTAATGGTAAAACAATAGAAGTTAATCATTCCAACTTTAGTTTTTCTTAAATATCTCGGAATTTGAACGAAATAGCAAAAATTTTAGAAGGACCTCTTTTGCGAAGAATTTCAAGAGAAATTTTCCTATTCAGTCAGGAATTGATTGCCAAACACGAATTCATGTTAAGAAAAAAATCATATCCAGAAAAGAATTCATGGCGAAACCGGAATTTAAATCCAGGAAACAATTAGCGTCCACGCAGGAATTCCTGTTCAGTCAGGAATTCATAGACATACATGAATTTAATTCCAGTAAGAAATTAATGTCCAGATAGGATTTCATGTTCAGTAAAAAAATTAAACCCAGGAAAAAATTATATCCTGATAAGAATTTATGTCCAGACACGAATTCATATCCAGGTGAACATTCATTTTATTCCCGACAGAAATTCCTGTCTCGGTATGATTTTATCCTTCAACAAAAATTCATACCGAGACAGGAATTCATGACCAGAAAATATTCATGTCCAGACAGGAATTTACATCGAGTAAAAAATTAATGTTCAGATAGGAATTCATGATCAGACAAGAATTCATGTTCAGAAAAAGAAATTAAATCCAGGAAAAAATCATATCCAGATAAGAATTTAGGTCCAGGCAGGATTTCATATCCAAGCGAACATTTATTTCATTCCCGACAGGAATTCCTGTCTGGGAATGGTTTTATTCTTAAACAAAAATTCATACCCAGGCAGGAATTCATGACCAAAAAAATATTCATGTCCACTCCCGAGATATTTCACAAGAAATGAACTAACACTGGAATTTTTTTCATTTTCCCTGTGAAATTCATCAACTAAAAACTAACAGAAAAACGTAAAACCACCAAATTTACCCCTCGAAAATTTTCGAAAAATCCCAAATAAACCGATGAATGAACTAACATCTGACTTTATACATTATACACACGTCATAACGAATTGTTCACCTAATAAAGTACTCGAATAAAGCAGTCGAAATTCCCTTTCCTCCATATGTTTACGATTCCGTTGTTCTCGATGACGATCATCATCCTACCCCTCAATTTTATTCATCATCTATACAAATGTCGGTTTTCATCACCGGAAAACAGAACGATATGTTTCATTACGTCACGATTTTTGCGGTCATTGAATAAATCAATGACATTTTGCTGTTATTAATGCACAGAGAGGGTCGAGTCTGCTTCATTCCGGAGATATTCATTAATATATTATATTTATTGGTTTTCCCTGCACAACGAAAGTGAAAAATTATGGATGACCGGGGCAAAATGGATTGTTTTTAATCCATTAGTGAAGTGGGAAAACGTAACGAGTCCATTTCGTTGGCAACATTGCTCGTTCAATTATGTAACTATCTCGTTAACGGTTGCGTTTGGAATAAAATGTCTCTAAATCTTTTTCGGAGCTGACGAAATTTTCTACAATAACGATTATTAGACATTTCCGCCTAAGACCCCTTGTTCTCAACATAATTCGACGTTAACATAAAACGACTGACGACTTAAAAAAATCGACTGTCACGTTCTACCACTTCAATCGTCAATAACTTGAGATCGGCAGAGTGAAATTCCGAATTTTTTTTTCATCCTAAATTTTTTTTCAAAGTTTAAAATGATCGCAGATTCATCCAAATCGCATCTTTCAATCACAAGATATGAAAATTTGAACAATTTTACTCCATTTTGCTCCATTTTTTGCGAATTAAATTAGTCATTGATGATTGAAAAAACAAATCAACGAGGCTGACAATTCACGTATAAAATATTTAAATGACAAAGATATTTACATGTGGCGAAAAATCACGTAATTTATTCGTTCTCAATGGCTGCATTATCATTATCATTATATTAATTATATCAACTTAGTACTGTAATTATTATGCTGAGTATTACTCTTAGTTGGTATTCATCATTAATATCATTGCGCCCTGGTTGTGTTTTTGTTTAAAAATATTCAATCATTCAAAAACTCTCAGCTCTCGTATTTCTCTGTCGATTCACCTAATAGTCGAGCATTATTATTACCAAATAATTACGAAATTATTCAGTAATAATCATTGCAATCATGTTTTTTGATAATTAATATAATTAATGAACCAATTTTGGGTGAAGAGGGCAGTGAATGTGATTCAATCAATGACATTTCCACCAATGCGATATCGCCTCTTCTTTTTCGGAAAAACTGTAATTCATCCCCATCCAAAAAAACTGCCCCTTCATTCCCTAAAAAAATGATCTTGACAAAGGGATGAACCCCAAAACAGCCAAACCCACGAGATAAATGTGATGAAGTGATGAGGATGACAATTGAGTAGTCGAGAATTCCCCCAGGGTAACCAGGTCACACAGAACTCTCCCTCTTTGTGACTTGTGGCATTGTCATGGACGTGTTGGAATCCTTGGATGCTTGTATGGTAGCGAGTCGTGGGCCTTGAATTTTGGTTGGCTCCATGTCCTTAGTGACTATCGTAGCACTGGGACATGTACGGCCAACAATGCTCAGGCCAGTGTATAAAACAGCTGGTGGATTCATGGTCATGGTGCTCATTGTCATGGCCTGAGGAGTTGAGTGACTCGGCCAATGTTGACGAGGTAGCGTGCAGACGCCTGTTCCATATACCGCGTCTGAGGTCATCATTGGCTGGAACTGAAGGAGACAATTATTGGACGTTTTAGAATTTTTTTTATTGCAAAAAAAATTTGCTCAGACAGGAATTCAGGTTCAGACCGGAAGACAAGTTTAGACAATAATTTATACGCAGAGAGAAAGTCATAGTCAGACAGGAATTTATGTTTAGTCAGGAATTTATGTTCAGGCGGGAATTTATGCTCAAGCAGGAATTTATGCTCAGACAGGAAATTATGTCCGAGCGGGAAATCATGTTCTGACAGGAATTTATGCTCAGGCAGGAAATTATGATCAGACAGGGAATTATGTTCGGGCGGGTAATCATATTCAGCCAGAAAGTTATGTTCAGACAAGAATTTATGATCAGGCAGAAATTTATGTTCGGCCAGAAATTAATGTTCAGACATGAATTCATATCCAAAAATAAAATAAGGAATTCATATCTAGACCTAAATCCAAGACCAGACACGAATGCTCTTTAAAAAATCATTAATTAAGCTCGTTTAAAAGAAGGAATATTAATGAATCCATTTACAAACGTAGGAAATTTAAATTTTATGAGACTGAATTCATCGGCATCATGGTCTCCATGAATTTATCACCACAGACCCTCTAATCCACTCATTAGATATTCCCTCATTACTTTTGATACTCCCTAGATTATCTGGAATTATCCAGAAGGATCGACGAGAAATTAGAGTCGCATTACAATTCCCAATACCTCAGTTCACGCAAAGGGAATAGGAAATTTTTTTCAAGTCGACCGGGTGGAACTGCTTAATGACAGAGGCCCATTATCCCTCATAATTATGTAGATGATGTACACAGTGTTGAATAAATTTGCGGGTCTACCGTAAATTCAACAAAACTTTTCTTCACTCGTGTGACACTTTGTGAACCTAAACTCCCATGGCGCAATTAATTTTATTTTCAAAGTTCCGTAGGAGACAATTCCTTTATAAACTTCACAAACTTTTTTATACATGTGAAAAATCGAATGAATGGGCAGTGAATTTCACTACAAGAAACTTCATTAATATGAAAAATATGGAAATACTATATACGTGGAGATGGCTCTGATAAAGTTATCATGAAAAAAAATGGGAGTTGAGGGGGAATTGTGTGACGAAGCTGTGATAAATTTGATGGTGCTTGCACAATCGATAATCCATCATAAACTAACTTTTGGAAGCTGTCAACTTTTTCAGGAAAAACTTTATCCTCGCACGAGAATTTTCCCTCTACTGCCTTATCGTTTTAAGAGCATTTCCGACGTGTCTCAAAATATCGGATTGATTTTCGGAGGACGTATGTGTTTGTCCACGATTATTCATTGATAACTGTTCAAATATTTCAACAAAAAATCTGAGCTGGTGCTGAAATTTTTGGTAGTACTTTATATTGAATAGTAAAATAGCCGAAACGACAGAAATACAGATGAAAAAATTGTATAGAGAAACCTAACAAATTCGTTAGAAAATTCTATTGGATTTCTATTAAACTTTCTATAATCTTTTGGCCGATTCTATTGAAACGTTCAGACAATATTTAATAGAAAAAGTCAATCGAATTCGATTTTTCTATATAACTTATTCTATTGAGATATTTTCTATAGTACTTCCTCGGCTCAAATTTTCTAAGTTTTTTTGTTTGATTTTCTTGATGAGAAGAAATTAAGAATAAAATGAAAAAAAATTCGGAATCAAATTCTATTGGCTTTTCTGTTGAATATTTTCTATTGAACATTTCAATAGAATCGACCAAAAACTAAGAGAAAGTTCAATAGAAATCCAATAGAAATTTCTAACGAATTCGCTAGGATTTTCTATTAATTTTTTTCGTGCGTGAAAATATCAATCGCGTTGAATAATTCGTACAGATTCATCGAACCAGGAATTTAATACCAGAACGAAAGAATAAATCCATTTTTGCAACATTTTTTCACCTTGGGGCACTAACTCTTCAAATGTTCAGCAGAAAATAATTTAGACTAGGAAAAAATAACTCTCGAATTTTAATGAGCCGTTGTATCCGGGGATTTACGTGTATTCAATAACATGGGCGATTTGGAGGAGAGGCTCTTTAAAGTTATCACATGAATTTCATTGCTCCATTCCATCGGATTAGCGCAATGTCTAGTGCACTCTGGTACGTTTTGTACATCAGAGGATTAGAGAGATTGTTGAGCCGGCAACAAGGAACCGAGAATTTCACATTTTTATTTTGCATTCAGGCACAACTAGGAGATAGCATCGCCGATCTTGAATAGAAAATCAGCTAGGAGAATTATTGAGTGAATTTTCCCTGCATCGCAATCCTTCCAACATTTTTTCCGGAATTTGAATTCAATTTCTGATGGGGAAAATGACCCCGAGGCATACGATCGTACGAAATATTTTTCTACCGTTTCTCGGATATATCTGATGACAATGATGTGCGTGTTGTAATGATAATCTCTCCGAAATATTGATGAGGTTTGGAGCGAATTCACCCCGTCTTTTGTTTTCCGTTCACAATGCGTGCATTGAATTTTGCCAGTACAATGAATTCTTAGTGAAAGGGGTTTATGAAGTATTTTGTAGAATTGAATATGGTAGAATAGAGTTGAATGAGTTGGAAGTGGTGGAATGTAACAGAAAAGAGCAGAACAAGTCAATCTTTCCATCTTATTTTCAGAGGTAAATGTAAAAAGATTTTTAATTGATAATTTCATCAAATAAAAAAAGTCTCATGACGATGGCCGGAGTTTTGTTCCTCGTTGAAAAATTCCCGGATTTTTTTTTTTCATTAATCCTTTCTCAGCAAATTGTTCTCATTGAGATTAATTTTCTGTACGAATTTTTTTCATGTGGGATTTTGTATGGAGTTTTTTTTTCAGAAAATGCTAATTGAATTTTTTTTTCTTGGAACGAGAAAAATGAAAAAATTAATGACAAAAATCGTTTTTTTTTCATTCACGATTGTTTAGTGAATTCATTGTTTACCGAGCAATGTTGATACGTAAGTTTTAAATTCACATTCAATTTTTTGTATGCTGTTGATAACATTGAAAATTAATAATTTTAGCTTGTTGGAATGTGAGTAATTTTGTCTGGTTGCAGATGTTCTATTTGAAGAATTGAATCCTATTTTGACGAAAAGGTGTGTGTAAATTATTCATGATGTTCAGAAATTGTCGATTGCAAGAAAAAAAAATGGATATTACATTAAATAAACATGAATCGATGTTGTGTTCGAATATGTGCCTGACTTCATATTTTCCAGGGAAATTTTACATGGGTTTGTTTCTTGGGGACATGGGATATTTTCGGGGGAAAATTAATAATAATAATGATAATAAAATTTAATAATTATAAAACTGAATAATCAATTATTTGAAATAATAATAATTCTTTTCAGTAAAATATAAAAATAGTTTTTCTTTTTGTCTTTCAGGAAAATTTTCCCCCTCCCCTGGGATTTTTCTCCGGAGTATTTTTCACGGGGAAAAAATCTGGGAACCTCTCATGACATTCTCTCCTGAAACGACTTCATTAGAAACTAAAGAATTAAATTACTCTTCATCAAAAGTGAATAATTATTTCAATATAAAATTGAGTGACGAATAACGAATAATGTTCAATGACAAAATGCCCCGAATTAATAAAACAAAGGGGACATTTGCTCGAAGCGCGTCCATTGCAGCACTCATCAATGTCAAGATATTTTATGAATAGAAGTATTCAATCCATCCATTATAAAAAAGCGACAGTTTGTTGAGGTTCATTAAACAGGCATTACCGTTTAATTAATCAAAACGAATAAATCTGAACGTGACATGAAACGAATTAATCGATCATCTCAAGCCCTCGGCTCGTCCCCACGGAATAAATCCGTCGGAAAAATTCAATAGAGCTTTCCCCGTACACACAAGTAATTTTCCTTTCAACTGGTTTTTTAATGTGAAACGCAATCTAATTAAATTATTGTTATGATGCTGTTTCTGTAGAATTATACGAAGGCGATATCCCTTAGGATCCCTATTGAGATTCCATTGAAATTGGGTAGTACTCGAGTACTTCATTGAAGTATCATTATTAATAATCCCCCGGGAGAGAAATTTTTTAATAAATTTCTCCAATGGAAAATTCACCCTCTCGATTGCACGGGAATTTCATTACCTCTGCTCCCTCGTTAGTACTGCCCAATTTTTCTCCCATTCGAAATGAGAAATTCGGTGAAAAAATATCGAGTTGATTGAGCTCTGAACGGATGCAATATTTTGTTGAATCAATACAATCCGGAATTTGTTCAAACCGCAGCTGTTTGTCTCGGTTAAATAGACTGAAAAAAACGTTTCTATCGATTTTTCTTTTGTGACAAAATGAAACTTTTTTAATCTTGAACAAATCGGGTCTGATTTTAAAGTTCGACAGAAGGTTTGCAAAAATGATTGTCCAGACCTAGACGAATTCTAATTTCGTGTAAATTCAAACACCCCTTGTTTTCCTTCCGATAGAGTCCCAAAACAGTCCACAATAAAAAACTTCGTTAACAAAATTGCAAGAGCTTAAGACTTTTCTCCAGCAGCTTGCAACTCCGTAAATAGAATTTGTAAAACCAAGTTGAAGTATTACAGACTGAGTGGTGCAGACATCAGTTGCCCCAATTTGTATTTTTCATTCCACTTCACGTATAACTTGCCTCCTTTTTTCGTAATATCTCAACTGTGTAATTCACAATCGATAAGATATTCGTTCTTTTCAGACTGGAATATTGGATTTTGAAAACTGAGAAGAGAGACTCAAGGAGACATGCAAGACTAATTGATGGCGTGAAAGATTACTGTCGTCTTTTGCCGATAGAAAAAACGCAGCTCGTCCGTGAAATATTTTCCGCGGAAAAAAAGATGAGTGAAATGTTTTCTCCTCCAGATCTTTCATTGCTATCGACGAATAATTTGTTCGAATCATCTCATTCTGAGTAATTCATTTATTGGGAGATGTAGTCCGTTGCGACGCGCATGCTTTCACTCCCGGCGTCAGTCGGCCCTTTCCGTGAGCGCCGAACCGCCTAAGACGACGCTTACTCACTATTAACCATATCGAATTACGAAAGGGCTATAACGAATTTCTATTAGTCTCATTTGCCGAAAGATTGAATTACATGATGTAACGATAATTCCTCCGGTCATAATTTTAATTCCATAAACCTTTAGCATGGAATAGTCAATTGAATTTTAATCACAGCGCCCCGATAAATGCAGTATTCATCACTTCAAAAATACGGTTTCATTTGAAGAGACATTTATTCGATCGACTCGACAATTACCCAAGTGCTATCGGGATAATTTAATCGAATTGGGAGAATTGGGATATGAATCAGTTAATTTGATTATTCAGAGCCCGGATTTCATCCCTCATTTTTCCAGAGGACAATTCGCCCTAAATTGTGTATGGCTGACGTATTTTCTGGCTCTAGAATCCTCAGGGAAATGATTAATAAATAATGTCTGTTTCTAACAAAATTACTTCAAATTTGACATTTTATCCACTTTTATTCTTTGTTTCACATTTTTTGTTCCCATATTATAGTATGGACTAGCGAACGGGCGCTTCGCGCCGTTTTAGTTTTTCAATGTCTAGGGAAAATTTTAAAATTGATATATTTTTTCGAATAATGAACTTATACCCATAAATTCAATTTCTATCCTCACATTTTCATAGAATACATAAAAAATAGCGAAGAATTCAAACCGACGATGAGAAATTTTATCGGATTATTATTCTGTAATAATGTAATAATAAATCCCCTGATGATGACCCGAGGGTGAAAATACACGGCAATCAATTGACTCAGTCGCTGAGGATTGCCTTCGTTAGGACCCTTTTCCTCACCAGTGAAGAATAGCATATCAAAGATATTGAATACTCACACTCTTATGTTTACTCGAGGACATAGCAGAAAGCTCCCTCAAGGGCATGCTGCTCCTAATGGTGCAGTACCCAGCATAACTGCCATGTCCACTCATAGAAGTAGGAGGTCCACTTCCCTGTTCAATTAAACTACACCTAGCCCTCGACGGCGAGGTATCAATAGTCGAAACAGCCTGGAGTCTGTGCTTCCTCACAAACTCAATTTGCTGTTCCTCCCCCCCACTGGCGACTTGCTGAGGAATGATATCGGGATTCTTATCATCCCCCTCACTGATTTCACCACTAGCCTCCAGTGACTTGACAAACGCCGTGCTGACATGCTTCTCCTCAGTTATCAAACTACACCCCTCCCGAAATCTCAACTCCCTCTGAATGGGTATGCTCTTCGAGCTCTTGTGATGCTCCTCGAGATGTGGCTTGCCCTGATCATCAGGATTACCATTCTGAATCCTCAGAACGACAATGACAATGACAGCGACAATGACGAGTGCCGCAACAACGCCAATCATGACACTCAACATGGGCGTCAACTTGACATGATGCCTGGGTCTCTCCCTAGACTTCCCATTGTCACTCGTCAGCTGTTTCTCCGGGAGTCTCAATGTCCCGGCTTGCACGACCATGGGTTCACTCCGTCCCTTCTCATTGAAAGCGTAAATACAGGCCTGATACAGCATTCCAGGGTTTAAATGAGTCACACTGAAGTGGGGAACAACCGAAGTCAAGTTGGCCCTCAACTCCTGACTATTGCTCTCCTTAACTTCAAGGAGAAAGGACTGCTGTAGACCTCCGTTGAAGCCTTCACTACATCGAACCGAGAAAGAACTCGTAGAAGTATTGTGAGTCGAACAGTTGTGGACCATGTCAGGATGGCCAGCAGGTATAATATGGTAGACACAAGGTACTTGTTGGCTTCCTATGATATTACTAGCCCAACAGAGAAGCGTTCCATAATCCAACTCCGTCATTGGAGTGTAGGAGACCACCGAGGAGATCCCTGTCTTGGCGATGTGACCCGCAGCGACATCAATGCTTTCAGCTGAATTGTTGAAGGTCCATTTGAACTCAACCTGCGGTGGATTAGCCTCAACCTGACACGAGATGTTGGCTTTCTCCTGCTTGGCAACACCATGAATCTTCATTTGATTCGGCTTACACGTCGGTGCGAACATGATGTTCAGGTGGAAGGGGGTGCTCTCCCCGTCGCCCTCTGTGTTGTACCCCACGCAGGTGTAGTTGCCCGCGCTTTTTCTCTCCACCCCTTGCAGCACCAGAGACTGATTACTTATGATGATTCCATGGGGTATCGTGTGGTGCAGCGTCCGTCCCTCGTGCCGCCACTCTACCTTGTAGACCGGTGGTTGAGCCTTGATCAGACAGTCAAAGTAGACGTCTGTTCCCTCGCGGATGGCGTTTCTGTTCAGCGATGTGCCCAGCTGGATTTTGGTTTCTGGCTTGTAGTTGATCTCGAGGATCCACTCGTCCTCTATTGGACCCATCGACAGCTCACGGTTCTCCGAGCGACAGGACAAGCGTCTCCCCGCGTCGGTCTTCGATGGGGTGAAGGAGAGAAAACTCTTGGTGATGTTGCCGTCGTTGGACGTCGACTCGTGAGCGGTCTTCAGGTGCTCGCCGTCCCACCACCAGGTGACTAAGGCGGGAGGACGCGAACCGTAGGACTCGCAGGTTAACTCGTAGTGCTTGCCGGCGGACAGCGGCTTGTTGGCATTGAGAATGTTGACGTCGAGGGGATCCACTGGGAACAAATATTCAGATATTAGTTTGAGGGGAGACTATGTGGCCTTGGGGTCATAAAACAAGATTTCAATTCAAAGCTCTCGAAGAACCTGATTGTCAACAGGGCTGCCCACGAGACTCAAACGAGACTTCACTTTGGAGGGATCGGCTTGGTCTTGAAGATCACAGAAACTTTCGGTATCGGCAGTCTCAAAAAGCCAGTATCGGCTCTTCTCGTGATGACTCACAGTCAATTTGTCTCATCTCGGTTTCAAGTTTTTCGCGTTTTTTATGTGTACAAGGCCGAGACGAGACGATCGAGACTGAAACCGAGATTTTATATTGAAGAAGCACACGAAATTTGAGACCGAGATGAGATAAATTGACCGTGATCCTTCACGGAAAGAGCCGATACTGTCTCTTTTGAGACTGTGACAAGCCGAAAAGTTTCCGTGTTCACCAAGGTCGAGACGATCCCGTCAAAGTGAAGTCTCGTTTGAGTCTCGTGGGCAGCCCAAATTGTGAGTCGACGGCTCGGCTTCAAATCAGACATTAGTCTTTCGAATTGCAGATATTTTTATCTACATTTTTTGTGATCTGCATTTGACTGAATGAATGTTAACTTGTTGTGCCACCGATGGCTTTTTTATTATTGTTTTTAAACTTGGGAGTCCATTAGTCTTGTTTGTTTAAGCGATTGAATTGAAGTTTTGTGTACTTCATTTCGTTGTGAAGTGATTCCGCTGCAGGGAATCGCTTAATCAAGCGTTTCCCACAAAATCAGGGATTCTTCAGACATGATGGAACAGTAGAGAATATTTCTAGGGGTTTGGTCAAGTTTGTTGAGTAATTGAGCGGTGAAATCTGGGTGTTATGAAGTTATCTTGGAAATGAAGCTAAAAAATTCTCACAGCGAGGAGATGGTCGAGGTTTCTTACATAATTATTTGGATTCCAAAAGAATCTTGAGTTGTTCCAGGAATTTTTTTTCTCTATTCTTTAATGATAGTCTCATTTGGATGTCAATTCAAATTAGCAAGGCTTGAATTAGCATTGCAGGTCACCAACCCCTCAAGCGACCAAAATTAAATCCATTTTCAGACATTTATCCTCATTGGGATGAAAATTCACCGGCAATAAATAGATTGAATGTCACAACATTTCAACGACATTTGGAGTTCAGTCACCGCTCTTTTGAGCCCATTGAATCTCAATCCCGGGATTAGTTTTGCCAATGACTAAGGTAATTATATTCACTCAGAGGATTTCTGATTAATGAGCGGAAACGTACATAATTAAAATGCATTCTATAGACGTCCATGCGCTCTTACTTTTTGATTTCCAATTAATTCTTTTTTTCATTGTATATATTTTAAGTCAATCCTCAGATAATCATGCAAGGTACATTGTTGACTATTTGAAATTTGAAATTTCATTATTTCCTTCCCCCTAAACTGAATTAACGTGATCTTGGTTGTTTTTTATTTATTTTCATGATCTGAAATAATCTCCAATTGCTATTCAGTTTTAGTAAGCCCCGGAGTCTCCAAAAATTATGATTGTACAATCAAAAAAACATTGAAAAAAGCTGAACATTTTCAATGAGCGTTTTTGAATAATATTGGGAAATGAACCCAATAGGGAGGAAATTGCAAATTAATAATTTGGTGTATTTAATGGCTGTTAGGTCATCATTTGTCACAGTAGTCAATAGCTGTCAGATCGTTCGTTTCCATGATAAATTATCCATTCACTATTTCCTCTCTATCGGACTTATTTCTTAATCTTTATCAAAAAAGCTCTTTGAAAATGTGCAGTCATAATATTTAGGGACTCCTGCGTGATGTAAAATCCAATGGAAATTGTGACATATTTTACATTATGAAGATGGACAAGCAATCGAGATAACGTTCGAAAGATAATCCACACGGGAGTGAAATGTTGATTTTAAAAAATTTCAAAAATCAATAATTAATATATGAATTTTTTTTTATAATTTATATATTGGGCTTAATCCAAATGACTGGATCAATTTTTATCATTTGGACATTATAGATTCCTTCACGCCAAACCAGTTAATGACCGCAGACGCCAAAAACTAAAATATAATTTAAAAATTCGGTTGACATGTTCTCCACAACAGAAATCAATAATGAAATAAAAATAGTCCCCCACCTAAACCAACTCCCAACGAAGTCAAATCTAAATTTTAAAGAAAAAAAAAAGTTTCATCTGGTTACTTACAATTCATCTCAATGCCCACAGTAGCGGACAAGAGCGTCGACTTGTTATAATTGGTGGCCGCACACGTCAGCTCCGTATAAACATCCCGCCTTGCCAAATTCTTGATGACCATAGTGCTCCGGATGATCCCCTGCTGTACCGTTTCAGCCTTATCCGTGAAAATCTGTTTATTCCGATACCAGGCGACAGTGGGACTCGGTTTTCCCCCGTAAACATCGCAGTGCAACTCCAGATCACTGCCTTCGAGATACGGCCCAACCTGAGACGATCTCGTAACGCCATTCTCATCCGTTATCACAATTTCCTGAGGTGGTACTGCAAATTCGAAAATCGATTACTCCATGCTCAGTAATATGGCTTTTTAATCAGACTAATTAAATGAGAGTATTTCGTTTCAATTAATTTGAATGATATTCTCAACTGTTCGACGAACAAAATTTCTAATATGAGAATAGCATTCTAATAATTACAGTCAATATAATTTTCAAATTTTTGCAGCCGATGCTGATTGAATTGTCTCGATGCTATCATTATGGAGATCGTTCGGTTTTTTATTATATGAAACTGATGGAGACGGATCGCGTCGAATTTTGATGGAGTGACCTGAAATAGGCGAATAGGTGAATAGATATCGGAAGGTATCTTTTGTTTGGTCGATAAACTTTGCTCAGGTCGTATCGGTTTTCACTCAATATGATCATTGTTTTTCATGCTATCAATAAGGACGCGTATCAATAGCCGAGAATAGCGTATGAGCTTATGAGGCCAAAAAGTCTTTCATAAATCATCATTATCCTCTGAATAAACAATACACTGTAAAAACCTTCCGGCTGATGTGCTCTAAGTATATGTGCAGGAAGTTTGTTTCAGTGTGCAGTACTATAAAATTATATCACATCAATTCGAGTACTGTACCCAAATTTTCCTATCCTGGTGAACAGAATTCACATAACATGAGTGTCATAAATTTCTTACTGTCTTGCATGAATTTTCATGTACATGTACCAAGAAATTATTCTACGATGGTATCTTAATTTCAAGCACGGATACACGGAGAGAAATATTCAATAAAAATTACGTATCTTCCGTAATTCCGGAGCGACATGTGGTTGTAGGAAATTTTACGTAACTGTTACGGAATTTTTCCCGAGTGTTCCCTAATTTTTATCTGAATCTCCTGTGAAAGATTACGATACCGTCACTTAAATTTTCTGAGTCGATTCCGCAATCGGTGAGTTTTACTGACCATTTCCCTCCGTGTATATAATTAATATTAGAATAATTAATAAAAAAAAACATGAACCGTAGTTGTTTTGTGTCTTTTCATCCTACAGGGTATATTGACGAATCGCATTCATGATTATTCAGCTTAATACTATTTAAAGAAACCTAATTATTTACTTAACCGGGACGCGAAACCATGTCTTTGAGGATATTACCCTCATGGAAAGAACATCCCGACTAGAAATTTGATTCGGCAAACCCTTCGGCCCTGATGCGGCATGCCGAGCTTGATGTTCGGTGCTGGTGTGGTCAATCGAGTCCGGCCCAGATATGAGGCGCGTTACGCGAGTTTCACGTTCGGACCGGATCATGATTGCCGTATCCAAGCCGAGTCGTGGGGACCAATTAAAATTATTATTAATCTTATTGGTAATTTCTCATCAATTATTGTTCATTCAATCGCCACTCTCAAAATTGTTCCGAAAATTTTTAAATGACACCACATACATATTTTCATCATGTTTTTCAACATTTAAATAGTTTGATATGATATTACCAATTATAAATTCACCCCTCCCCCTCCTACTTTCGGCAGATGTTCGGTAGACATTCGGCAATCGGCTAGGATTTTATCAGTGTCCACTAGTCCTAAGATGGAACACAAGTAATGAGATCACCCTATTCGAGGGTCATACGATCATAAGGGTCAAGCAGAAGGGTTGAAAAATAGAATCTCGAGGATCAAGTGAGGTCAATGAAGAATATAATGATGAGTATAGATGGATACTGAGGGTGAATTAGCAAAAAAAAAGTAAGGCAATTATCTTGGTTACATGGGAGGAATGTGCAATCCTATATAATGGTCGACTGACCCTAGAACAAATTGAAGGGGTGGGGGGGTCTATTATGAGAAGAATATTCTTCCGATTTGTCTAAGTTGGATTCGGCTGGCCAGATGGGGTATGCCTTATCTGGGCCTTATGAGAACCACATGAGGTATACCCTATTCGGCATGCCTAACGAAAAACGAGACTCGCGCCGAATTCGGTGGAGACTAGATTCGGCATGCCGTACATAAATTCTAGTCGGGATATATCCGGACATATATCTCAGTATATTTCACTTATATTTCGGCCAAAAATGTCATATGCCAGATATATCCTAGATATAAATATGCACATATATCTCGATGTAAAATATTTAACACTAGCGTAATATATCTGCAATATATCTCAGATATATTGCCGGCCAAAAATGTGGTATGCCAAATATATGCTAGATATAAGTGCTGGATATATCTCATTCCCATCAGGGTAAATCTATATGGTACGCAATCGGCTATCGACGCATTTCATATAATGCATAATTTCAAATTTTCCACTTCAGGACATTATACCTACTGTACTTGTTCTTTAATATTAGCGATAATTCAAGGTGCGCGACCGAAGTATTCAGATACTGTACTCGATAATTAGTAGACTAGTCGACGAAAATTAGGATCTTCATGATTATTTTATGATTGGGCACAAATGTATACAGGATAGTAATTTTTTACTGAAGTCCGTTAATTACACGTACCGGTGAATAAAAATTATAGCACATTCGCATCAGTTCATATTCTATAAGAATGAAAATAAATTTGAGGTGCCTGAGTGTGATGAAAGCATGTGAAAATTAGAGTTATCCTTTAGAGTGTACGAATGGAGTAATCGTTCTCTTTCATTTTGAAGCATGAAAAAAGATATTGAAAATGGCCGAAAATATTTGAAATTCTTATTCTGCCCCGACTCTTTGATAATTGAGCTTTACATGCACTAGGGCAATAGTCCACATGTCACGAGTGATATTAGTCGCACAATTATGAAAATGGCATAATGATATGTTGGAGGGTATAGGCTATAGTGAAACTATAGATGTAGTTCTAAAACTGTTACCAAAGGTTACTTCGGTACGTTTAATGAGGGATACAATGACTGTATTGCTAGTCGAGGTGTTGAAATTGACCTCTTGAATTACACTTATAAAAGTAACTACAGCAGCGTTGCAACTTTTAATGTGAAGGGGGCAACTTCATATTATTTATGGCGTAAGCAATGTCTATCTTTTGTTCTCAACGTGACGAGAGTAATTTTTCGGGATTAAATTTGCAAGTCGTTCTAATTTCCAAGAATCACATAAAACGGATGGAGACGGATCGCATCGAATTTTGATGGAGTGACCTGAAATAGGTGAATAGGTAGATATCGGAAAGTATGTTTTGTTTGATCGATAAACTTTGCTCGCGTCGTATCGGTTTTCATTCAATATGATCATTGTTTTTCATGCTATAAATCAGGACGCGTATCAATAGCCTAGGATGAGGCCAAATAGTCTCTCTGAAGTCATCAATATCTTCTAAATGAACAATACGAATGGAGTAATTTCTCCTAAAACATCTTGAGAGATGCCCAAAATGTTTGAAATTCTAAATTCTGCCCCGACTCTTTGATAATTGAGCTTTATATGCACTAGGGCAATAGTCCACATGTCACGAGTGAAATTAGTCGCACAATTATAAAAATGGCATGATGATATGTTGGAGGGTATAGGCTATAGTGAAACTATAGATGTAGTTCTGAAACTGTAACCGAATGTTACTTCGGTACTTTTAATGAGGGATATAATGACTGTATTACTTGTCGAGGTGTTGAAATTGACCTCTTGAACTACACTTATAAAAGTAACTGCAGCAGCGTTGCAGCTTTTAATGTGAAGGGAGGCAACTCATATTATTTATGGCATAAGCAATGTCTATTTTTTGCTTTCAACGTGACGAGAGTAATTTGTTGGGAGTGAATTCACAAGTGACAATTGCCCGAAGGCTCTTGACCGCGATAATTAAGCAAATGCGGAGGATGCAGTGCAAATGATACATTATGTTCAGCGGAGAGTAACATCTCGCGAAACACAGGCAGAAATATCATTCTGGACATCTGAATAATATTAATTTGTCTGAATCTCTCAACGGGAAATGCAATTTCATTGAATTCATAACTGAAGAGTGCATTGTTAAAAATTTTCGTCTGAATTTTCCGTGTCAAATTCCGGTGTCAGTTCCGGAAAAATGAAATATTCCATTGATTTTCCGTTCAAATGATCTGGAAATCAATAAAATACTTGATTTTCCAGTTCAGTTATCCGGGGAAAATTCAGGAAAATCAGGGAATTCAAGATTTAGGGAAAAATGGAAAATTCGTGTCATTTTGTTTCTGAATATTCATGTTCCACTGAAAAATCATGAATTTCCGTGAATTCTACTTAAAACCTGAAATTTCATAACTATTTTTTCTCTAAATCCGATTCAATGTCACTCTCATAAGATTTACTATTATATCTTCCATGAAATTTGAAAAAAATTCTACCAGTGTATTCTTTAATTTCATTATTTCAACGCCATTTCTGGTTTTATCAACATTCGTCGACATTAACCCTAGTCTGGTCACCAAGACGCGAGACCCTGCGACTTCGGTCACCCCCGCGGGGATTCGCCGCCGTGTTATGTTAGGCTTCAGCGTTGCCGAATTCACTCTACACTATCCGGGCGCGTTTAGCGAGTTTTGGGCAACGCCGCGTCCTGGGCAATTTCATTTAACATGAGAAAAAATAATTCATCTATCCGAAAGAATTTGTTTTCTTTCGGAATTTGGAGAAATATGTTGTTCTAAAAAATACTATAATTTTTTAGACACTTCAATTGACAAAGTCAATTTTTTTCTAATTTTCCCGGTTAGCCAGTCAATTGTAATTAAAGAAAAACGATGCGCCGCGGGGTTTCCCTCATGGGGTGACCAATCTAGGGTTAACGTGGAGCTCTTACCTATAACCGTAAGATTGACTTTAGAATTTCTCGTCTGTCCCTTTTTGAAATCGACCCTGCACCGATAGATACCAGCGTCCTCCTCCCGTATTCTATCAACTGCAAGCCTCGCTGGTTTTTCATCCGGTAGAAAATAGGCTCTATTGGAGAAAACGGCGTTGTCCGACCATCTCTCAGCAATACCAAAGTCTCGCCCGCGGGCATCCAAACTGTATACCGATGCATCGAGGTCCTCACGATACCAGAGGACAAGGTGAACTGAGTCGCCTTCATCATTCGTCGATATGTCACAGGGTAAATATGTGCCATCACCCTCCACAGCGACTACATGGGATGTCGGTACTGAAAGGTTAAAATTAAAGAAAAAAAATTCAGTTAAGTGGATCTGTGAATTTGTCGGATACTCCACTCGTCCCGAAACTCAATTTCAAAATTTCATCTTTACAAAATCGTTGATATCTGGGGAATTTCGGAGTTTAGGAAAAAATGTCATAAAACCTTTTTTTGTAGCCGAGGAAATTCCCCACAAGAAAGGTCCTTTAGTATTTTCTCCTAACTCCACTCATTACCCAGATAATCTTAAAAAACGAAAACAACGTGAGTTGGAGAGACTCAAGCGTGATCGACCCGTTAATCGTTGATTATCTCAGGAACTATGACCTCTAAGAAAAAACTTCACAAGACCTTTGTTTGTAGCCAACAAAATTTCCCACAAAAAAGCTTTTCTGACATTTTCACCTATCCCCACTCCTCATTCAGATAATTTCCCCATTCAGGAATTGAGGGCAATGAGGAGGCTGATCGATTAGCTGGAGAAGCCACTGAAAATCCTCCTAATATGGAATTGACCATCCCGTTCACAGATTACCGCGAGGAGTTCAAGAAAGAATCACTTGACTCAACGCTAGAAATCTGTCTAGAACAGGGATCAGACAATGCCACAGTTGGGAAAGGCAAAGAATATTTTAGAGAATATTATAGGAAAAGTCGAAAACCGTGGTTCCACGATAAGAAGCTTTCGAGGAAAACCATAGTGGTGGGTGAACCGAGCGAGATGCAACCACTACCATTTAGCTGCATCTCGTAAAAAAAAGAACTTAACAAAATCAGCTGAGTGCGAATGTGGACACCCAAGTGAAGATCTCGACCATGTACTCTGGGACTGCCCAAGATACGATCTCCCAAGGCAACAAATGTATAGTTCTTTTCGATTGAATCAAATTCTCCCTCCGTACAGTATCAAAAACATTTTGAAAAAACTAGACATAAAGTGCATAGAAATCGTTACAAACTTCCTGAACGAAGGAAAAATTAACATCTAAACGCAAAAAAGGTATTCTCTAAAACGAACCACAGAACCACAAAATGTAATAGCACTCAGCTTATCGAAGATGTGTATATACCTCCATCTTTATACCATACTATACTGTCAGTAATATTACTGATATAATTATTATCACTGTTTATATATTTTTATTCGCTGTATGGACCAACCGGTCTCGAGCTCCTTTCAATAAAAAAAAAAAAAAAGATAATTTCCAAAACCCAAACCAACGATTCAGAAACTCTCTCATCTCTCGAAAATCATCCTCCAATTGACACTAATCACCAACAGTCCCAAGATTTCACCTCACCAGAGCAAAGAGGCAACAAGTAAATGTCATATAAGTATATTCCTCGCATACTCTAAATGTATATAATGGATGAACAGACGTGAACAGAGCGGTCATGCGCTGTGAGCTATCGATCGATGTGGCTTCATCTATGTACTCCTCTGCACGCACGTAAATGTGGGCACGCTGTCTACATCCCTCTCAACTAAACGCAAATTATCCCACTGACTATCAATACAACTAATACACCTCATGTCTCAATCATCCAGATCAATGAGCCCAATCAATCCAATCCATACGTACCGTCCCCCCATCACTCACTCCCCATTCTTTCCCTAGAATTCGCACGGACTCTCGTGCTCAAGACACAATCAATTTGCGTGCATCTGGCGACACATTTCTCGAAGATTATATTTCCATCACAAGTTATCGTTCATCCTACATTATGTGACAGGATAATTGCGATTGTTCGCCTATGTAGGTCGCTGATAATCCCCATATTTCATGAGACGGGGCTAAATGGATCGTTTTGAACTTAAATCCCTATTTTTCCAAATATCCAGAAATTTTCCAAATGAAAATAATTCACGCTTCTTTAAAACTCCACTCTTCAATCTCTAATATCTGGAGATTCGCAGAGTGAATTTTCAATTTTTTTCTTCCATTTTCAAGATATTTTCGCATTCTTCAAAGTGAGTTGAAACTCGTCCAAATCGCTTCGTCAGTTTCTGAGATATTCAACATTTAACAAGATCCATTTTCCGGCCCCTCAAACAAAACCTTCATTAACGCTTTAGAAACTAATAATTATAATCATTAGAGTACTCACTATCCTTAACGCAGAGTGATCCAACAATCCACACGCACAGAACGCTGATAAAAAGCGCATCGTGCAGGTGTCTGTGATAACTGACGCACCTCGGCTTGAAAATCCCCAGCTGGAATGTAATCATGATCGTCGGACCGATGTCACTTCAGTCTCGTGCATTCTCAGGTAATATAACCCAGCCGTATCACATCAGTCATTTATCCTCCCGCATCCTGAAAATCCCCCACAAACACCCGAACCACTATTTCCGGAGGTGCATTACCCGGGGTCAGGGGATTAATCCCGTGAAATTCCTCCCCTCTCGTGAAAAAGCCCTCAATATTTTCAATCCCTCACAAAACCACTCATCAATTCCCTTCACCCACTCTCCATCCCCCCGCAAATCCCCAGCAATTATGAAACCACCGAAGAATGCATCGATCTCTTCCAATAATGATGTGTCATTATTGGCATTCGGATTAAATTAACATTGAGATATCGAGGGCTTTCACGGTAATAGAGACATCGCGCTCACAAGAACTTGTCACTTTTTTAGAGCTCAATCTCCACTCACACCGGCTACGCTAACATCTTCTCGAGCCCGAGCCGCTTGTTTTCCTCCGATTCATCTCGCCGTGAATTACGGCTTCGACTTTGAAAAAAATAATTCCGCTCCCCCAAACTTTCAACTTCAACTATTGTTTCATTTTTCTCCGCAGACACCTCCTCGCTAGCTGGATGAAGCTAACACTTGTATCCCTCACATTATTAATCCTTCACACATGCCCACTATTGGATCCAGCCGGAAGACAGTACCAATGTCCACCTTCAGCCGCCGATACACTTGAAGCAGTGAGCACCTGGCGCAGGTGCTCCTAAACACCCCCGATAACGCGAAATATATTTTTCAGATGATTGAAGGACCGAGTGAACTTAACCATCGAGTTGCAGCGGCCATCGGAGATTTTCAAGCTCTCGTCCTTTCCTCTTGGCCTCTCTCTTTTCTGGCCGTCGCCAAGTCGATCGAAAAGTATCACAGTTGATACGTTGTACGCGGGCGCAAGCTCTGAGCTTTAATTCGCATGCGTATTGAACCAACGGCCGGCCGCAGCCACGATTGTGCTCCCGCATGGGGTTCTCCAGTTGTCTGCCAGGTGCTGGTAATTCAAGGTTTTGGATACTTCGATATATTTATATTTCAGGTGCATCAGGAGTGGAACCAATGCATGTTTAATCGAGGATGATGCGAGGACAATGAGGAAAATTGATTCATAGACGAGGAGTTCTTGGTGGTGTTGCTTTGACGTGTCTTGGAGGGATGAATACGGGAGATGTCTTGGATCGCTGGATAATTGGTTTTCGGTTGGGATTTGAATACATGAATTTGGGACGGGAATTTGATTGTTGACGCTGGTGCTGATGACGTAGATTTTTTAGTTGATACATTGAGAGAAAAATTCAATAAAAATTACCAGAAAGAAAACGTAAGAATTACGTTTCGAAACGTAATCCGGGAGCGAAGTAAAATCCAATAAAAAGTGTGAGTCGGAACTGAAATTGTACGAATCGCCACGTAAATTCTACGATTTGTTCCGTAAAAATTAACCACCCGTCTGATGACTCACCGCTGTGGGGACAACAGGTCGTTCCGTAATTTTCCCCAATGATTGAGAAATTTTACGGAACGGAACGCAGACATAACTCACCAGCTTCATAAAAATTGTTGAACGTTCAAGAATTTTTCTTCTTCGGGAAAAATTACGTGACAATTTCGTACTTTGTTCGATGATGAACCTGAAAATTCACTGAACGTTTCAGATTTCTTCTCTTCTATTCCTATAAAAATTGCCGGAAAACGATTCCCCATTGCGGATTACGTGAATTGTTCCGTAATTTTTACTGAATATTTCTCTCCGTGTGGGTTTTTTGTATTGTTCTTGTGTAACTAAAAATAAAAAAAAATGATGAGGCTCGTGGGGTCGAGGGAATTGGGGTGATTTCCCTCGGTCTTTTATGCGCTTAAATGCCACATATCCAGGAAATGGAACAGGGTTCTGCCCTCAGGTGATCCCTCGTGGTCATCCCTCCACTTAGTGACGACACTCAGCAATGCTTAGTAAGTTTTCATAGCGCAAATTGTCTTTAAGGAGAGTAGACTCCAGGGGCGGTTCATTGATGAAATCCTTCTGAACGTCAAGAGAGAATGTCGAAGTATTTTTTACCCAGGAGAATTATCATCTTGACATTTGTGATGTCCCAGATTTGGTCAATTGCGTTATTGTTGAATATGTAGCATTGTGATGAAATATTATATTGAAGAGCACGTGGTAATTAATAAACGGGGTTTATTAAAAAAGGGACGAGAGCAAAATAAAACGTCAAACGTTAAAGAGATTAGAATAAAAAAAATGACAAAAGAATGCTGTTATGTTCAGAGGTGAGGTTCACGGAAAGAAAAGAATGAATGCCAATGGAATGCATTTGGAAGAAATTGTTATTCGTAACAATATATTTATTCATGTTTTTTGTGTTACAAATGTTTTTCTTTGTTTTACACTTATGTAGTCCTCCTCCTCTCCTTAATAATCAGTTAACATCAGTTATATAAGATTTCTTCTATGTTCATTTTCCTATTATCCTTCATTTTAACTCTGCTTTAAATTAGTTAAGATCTAATATCACTGTTAGTTCTCACTTATTTGTTGCTTTTCTCATTATTACACTATCACCCCCCTCTCCCTTGCCCCACCTTCTTCCTACACTGCTTTCTTCTCAGCCACTCCTGTCCCTCCTTGCCCTCTCTTTGGTTTTTTCCTCTGCTTCTTTCAACGCCTTCGTATTGTGATGAAATCAGTAGCGAAGTGGTAAAAGGAGATGAATCAATTTTGACTATTGACTAGTTTTCAATCAATATCTCGAAATTTAAGGAAGAAAGCACAATTTTTGTTATAACCTTTTTTGTGGAGCCGATTGAGTGTTACAACAAACGTAATTACGAAAATTTCGCCATCTCCCTTAGATTCGGAAATATTCCTCAGAAACTCAACTGGGAGATAAGTCGACTTATTTCCGTTTACCACTTCACTACTGAAATATAAATAATTAATGTATTATTTAAGAGACGGTTGAGTCTGCACAGATCAGACCTGAATTGGACTTCGCCGTGTACATAAGTCGTAAACAGTTTGTAATCAGTCATATGACACCATTAATATAATCAAGTAATAAATTCTAAATAAATAAATATTTAAATGCCGATAAACCATTGGTGGGATTTATCCCTTCAAGCCTAGAAACGACTGTATTATAAGTAGCCCCCACGCTGGGTACAAAACACATTCTCTTCTGAAATCACTCGTTGCCGAGATGCTTATTGGATATTTAACAAAACAGATGGATTGCCGTAATTTTTTCTTGTGTTTTTTAGTTGATAGCCTTTTTATGTTGTTTGTTTGGGTTTTCCGTTCGGAAAATGAAAAAATGATGAGGCGCGTGGGGTCGGGTGAGTTGGGGTGATTTCCCTCGGTCTTTTATGCGCTTAAATGCCGCATATCCCGGAAATGGAACAAGGTTCTGCCCTTAGGTGTTCCCTCGTGGTCATCCCTCCACTTAGTGACGACACTCGGCGATGCTTAAGTTTTCATAGCTCAAATTGTCTTTAAGGAGAATAGACTCTAGGGGTTCATTGATGAAATCCTTCTGACTGTTGAGAGAGAATGCCAAAGTATTTTTTATCTAGGAGAATTATCATCTTAACATTCTTTTCTGAAATCACTGCTTCGATATTTAATAAAACAGATAGATTGCTCTCATTTTTTTATTGTCCTTTGGAAAACTCGAACTGTCAAACGAAGCAATGACCAATACCCATTCCTCAGTTGATCATGTGGTTTCAACAGAGTCTTGGAAATTTTCAACAAGTAACATTTCCACCGAAATTTTAAGGAATTTTGTCATTGAAAATTCACAATTTCATACGAAGAGAAATATTCAATAAAAATTACGTATCTTTTCCGTAATTCCGGAGCGAAATGTGGTTGTAGGAAATTTTACGAAACTGTTACGGAAATTTTCCGGAGCGTTCCGTAATTTTTATTTGAATCTCCTGTGAAAAATTACGATACCGTCACTTACTGAATATTTCTCTCCGTGGGAACTGTCAATTCCAGTTTAATTATTGAGGGGAAGTTAATGAAAAATCAGGAAAATTGAGAGAATTCTCTCCACGAATTTCATATTCCTCAGAATTTTCAGGGAATTCCTCCAAGAATTCCTGGAATTGCAAAAATTGTAAAGGAATTGCCTGAAAACTCAAGGGGATTTGGCAGTGAATATTCATTTTCACTTGAAAATTCACCAAAATTGTGGAATTTTTTACTTCCGCCGCTGAAAAAAATGGGACTTTACTTGAATTTTCAGAGAAACTTAAAATTCCATTAAATTTTTCCCCTTAAATCGAATGCAAGGGCTTTTGCCGGAAAATTCAGCCAAATTTTTTAAATTGTGAACCATGAACTCGAGACCGAACGCATATCCTAGATGTAAAAGCAAGTGACAGTTTGCATTTTTTGAAAATAAATACAGTGATTAATACTAATAAACTAGGAATTTGCTTCCGAATGGATTCTCATTTTTTTAGAATTGTTATTTTACTCTTCTTCTGTTGTTTCATGCAATAGTACTATCATAAATTGAAATGTCATCAACATTTTTCTGTATTAGTTCGTTCTTTTAAACGATTCTACATTCAAATCCTCAAGACTCGAATTCTTTTCCAGTCAGGGTTTAATCAAGGTTTAATCAAGCTTTCATCAAGATTTGGCTCAAATTTAATCCTCGATCACTCGCGCTCGGCCGCCGGCCTTCATCCATCGCACGTTTAGCGCAGCCCCGCTGAGTTAAACCGAGCGCGCTGTTGCCATCTTGGCGCTTCCCGCTATGCGCGCATTTCAAGTGTGGCAGTGAATGTAGCAACACTGTCGCTCGAGGGGTCGACAGGGACTGACTCGCACCGCATGGCGCGGCGCCGCTTTTCTGTCCGTTCGACGTTTCTTTTCTTTCTTTAGCTGAACAAATTTCCCGAGAAAAAAACGGGCAACGCCAACGCTTAATAAAAGGATTAAACTAGGGACACTAATTTTTTCA